TTGTGTTTTGTGCGTGCGCGCGTTTGTGTGCATGTGCACACATGAGTGCATGCGTGTGTGTGTGTGCGTGCGTACGTGCTTAGAATAGAATGAACAAACCTTTATGATCCCACAAATGAGAATTCCAAGTGTTATACAGCTTTTTGCTTGCATGTGTTCACGTGTGTGTGTGTGTGTGCGTGCGTGTGTGTGTGTGTGTGTGTGTGTGTGTGTGTGTCAGGCATGAAAACAGGTCAAGAGTGAAAAAGGGGAGACAAAATGAGAAAAAAGTGAGATGACACCCCCCCCCCCCCCCCCCCCCAGCCTAGACCAATGTTCCTCAACAGGGGGCCTGTGGTCTGGACCCGGAACCTCCACTTTCAGCCCCTAAAGCCGTGATGCTTTCACGTTACTGAGGCAACGCGGTACGGTGCATGCCCTATTTAAAGCCATACTATGCATCTTTTAAAATATTTTTTAATAATATTCAATGAACACTGTGACATACTCATCACAATGGATGTCAGTAAACAAGGACATTTTTAGCTCTAGCTTGGCCACTGGGGTGTTTCCTACTTCTTTTAAAAAGGCGGTTGTGCAACCAATTAAAAAAAAACCTGGTTTAGACCACTCAAACCTCGCAAACTTCCAGCCAATCTCCAAATTACCGTTTTTGTCTAAGGTCCTTGAAAAGATTGTCTATTCACAGATTACAGCACACATGAATAGCTTTTCTCTGGTTGACGTGTTCCAGTCTGGGTTTAGGCCACTTCACAGTACTGAATCAGCCCTTCTTCGCGTGACCAGTGACATCCTGGTGGCTTCTGACTCTGGGTCTCCTGTTTTGCTCCTTCTATTAGATCTTTCTGCAGCATTTGATTCCGTTGACCACGATATTTTGCTGGATAGACTTGAGTCATGAGCAGGGCTTAGGGGTACCTCACTTCAGTGGTTCTGCTCATACCTGTCAAACAAGAGTTTTCAAGGTCCAGTTGGGTAATTGTTCCTCTACATTCCTTCCACTTCCATGGGGAGTCCCGCAGGGATCTGTGCTTGGGCCTCTCCTGTTTTCAATTTGCATCCTCCCCCTGGGTTCCATCTTGAGGAAATATGGCCTGGGCTATCATATCTATGCAGATGATTGCCGGGTCTATCTGGCTTTGAACAAGCCAGGCTCCCTCTCTCTTCTGGACCAATGTTTGGCTTGCCAACAATTTCCTGAAGCTGAATGATTTTAAGTCTGAGGCCCCGTTGACTTAAATTCATTTTTTCGTTCTTTCCAGCCGACCGGAAAGGGAGGAGACATAGGCTCCTTATTACCCAACAGTTGGTTTGGACCTTCACTGTCAGAAACTGAATAACAAACACTGTTACTAAAACAACAACAACATAACACATTTAATAATAACCCTTTTTTTAAGCAGCTTATTAAAAGATTGTTTGCCTGGAAAACCAGCATGTTTGCCTTTTCCAGCTTCAGCAGTTCAGGACGTTGTGGACCTACTGCTGAAAACTCGCTTCGATGAGCTTGTTGCACCAACACATGGGTACTTTGGTGCTAATCGTGACATCTGGAGAAGGCTATTTACACCAGAAAAGTGCATTGCTGTCTCTTAATAATAGGCTCGAGACAGAAGTCTGCTATTTCAGCTACGGCTCACTCCTCTGCTGTGCAGACGGGTGTCTTCCGTGTTTACTAGCTCTTCTTTTAAGTTTGCTTCGTGTTTTTTTGAGACACCAAGTCAGCTGGTGCGCTAGCGGTCCTTTCTCTGTTCTGGGCGCGCCGTGTCAGCGCTGTCACGTGGAACATCTCTAAAATTTGGACCAAACATTTTTAACTATTTAAGTAAAACAGAAACCGTTATCTTTTTTTTTTTCATTTAAATCCTGTTTACTTATGACGGTAATATTATTTTAACACCAGCTGTATACGTTAATACCACCCAAGCGTACTTCTCGTATTGCGTGGATAATCTCAAACATTAAGGTCTACACACTTTTTTCCGGAACTGCGCTGCTCTGGGTGGCTGCATGTTGGAGTAGCTCTGTTGACTATATGTAAGTTTTGCCTTTTCTTGGGCATTTTTTCTTCTAGTTTCTCAAGAAAAACTGTATTTTTTGGACACTTTACTTTTCTGTTTCTGGTGCTGTGAAGCTTGGAGGATTTTTACTGCTATTTTTTCACTTTTTGAGCATTTGTTATGATGCGTAACCATGGCAACAAGCTGGTTTACAATCGGGAGCAGCTGATTAACATTGGAAAGGCTGAAATAATACCTCAACTGAAGCCACAAATCCCAAATGAGCTAAAACGCAAGAAGCGTGGGTGCAGAGCGGGAGCAAAACGGAGACAGAGAAAGAGGAAATTCAAACCATCTCTTCCATCGATCATAACGGGCAATGTGAGATCACTGGCCAACAAGATGGAGGAACTCCAAGCCCTTTCAAGGACTCAGCCAGAGTTTCGGCAGTTTCAGAACCGCTGGAGGAGATAATGCAGAGAATCAAGTAAATGATGGACAACCCTGAGCATTCTCTTCTCAAGACTTTCCGACAACGGAAGAGTGTCTTCAGTCAGAGGCTTCTTCAGTTTGGCTGCAACACTGACCGCTACTGGAGATCCTTCCTGCCAACAGCCGTTGTAATATACAACAACTCTTTGATGACTTGATTATTATTATGATTCTGAGCTACTACAGCAATCAGTTTCCCTTCTGGGATTAATAAAGTATTTTTGAATTGAATTGAAGGGATGTCCATGGGAGATGTGCTCTTGTGGGTCATGTATCACCGGTTCCAGCAGTTCTATATATTTATTTTACTGCTGGTGGTGTTGGGGAAGTCTAAAAAAATTATTTGCAATATTTCTCCCAGTGGTATTAGTTAAACTGGTTAATCGATGTCACCTATGCTTTTGTGTATAAAATGCGTGTGTATGCACGTGCATGCGTGTGTATGTGTGTGTGTGCGCGCTACTTCACCTTCTACATACTCCATGACCATGCAGAGGTGCCTTCGTGTCTCAAAAGAGCAGAACATGGAAACTACAAACGGGTTTTCAGCAAAGGTGAGGATGTCTCGCTCTACAAACACTTGTTGAATTTGATTTCTAAGAATCAAGTTCTGCCGGTTGATCTTCTTCATAGCAAAACGTTGGCAGGTTTCCTTGTGTCGCACCAGATAGACAGCTCTGCATGGGAGCGAAGGAAAAGCTCAGTTCAGTTCTGACCGCAAACACAGACCCAAACAGGCCCGCCCCACTCACCCATAGGCTCCGTTACTGATGAGTTTTATTGTCTCGAAGTCACTCTCCAGAGGCTTTCTGCGAGGGGGAAGGCAGGCAGCGCAGCTCTGAATCACACACATTCAAAAACAAATAAGATGAAATAAACAGATCATGAGTTTCAACTCTAACATAAACATGGTGTACCTGTGCAGGGGTCACATCGCCGGAGTCATTAGACTCTCTGCTAGCTGCTCTCTGAACCGGACTGGTCTGACCTAGATGGACCGCGTCTGTGAGCATCCGTGTGCACGCACACACAACCACACACACACACACACAACCACACACACACACCGTAGAAAGAACCAGTCAGCCGAAGTAACAAAAGCCAGGATGAGGATGCATTATTTATCATTTTTTAATGATGTAAAACAAGGAAAACTGGGAATTGATTCCAAATGTATTAAAGTTTTTTTCGATTGCTAAAACACGTTTTTCAAAACTGCACACACAAAACCCCAAACATAACACACAAATTCCTAAACCGTGGCTTCCCTTTGCAACAAAACCCTGCCACCACATATCGTAACATGTTCCCAAAATGGAACACGTGTTTTCATTTGGTAAACACAGCCACATTTTCACATGACACACACACACCGTTCATTGCTTAAACACAAGTAGCCTTTGGGTGAACACGACCAAGCACGGAGAGAACACTGAAGAGCAAAACTGAAAACACAACCGTCTAAATGGAACACAATGGATTACACACTGAATGTATGACAGTGCCCACTTTTCTCTGAGACAAACATTAGACATCAACACAAACATTTTATTTTTACGGTTAACCCCCCCCCCCCCCCCCCCCCCCAAGCATAATCATGGGGCATCATGCCTCTGGTCTCTGTCTGGCCAGAGGGCCTCATCAACATCACAGGCGATGTCCTCCTGGTCCAAACAGCTCTGGAAGTACCGCCTCGAGTGCCTCATGAAGCCCTGACAGGCCTCAAAGGCCACGTCTCTACAAGCCTCCTCCATGGCTTGAAGCAGTGGGACCTGACTCTGTGGATTCCTTTCGTACACCTTCCACCTTCAGGCTGAGAAAAACTCCTCAGTGGGATTGAGGAAGGGGGAATAAGGTGGAAGGTATACAATGGAAAACCGTGGGTGGTCCTGAAACCACTCATACACCTGGGTAGCCTTGTGGAAACTTACTTTTATGCTGCAGTCCCTGATTGCAAATTGCTCGCCAGACCCGAAAGTTTAGAGATTTCAATATTTGTGTGTTGCTGATCGAAGCTTTGAGAATTTATGTGAGAAGTGTGTGTAAACCTGAAAATTGTGTGTTGTGTTTTGACAGCAAGGTCATGTGAAACTGACATCAGAGTGTAAAGGAGGAAAATCAGAGTTCTAATATGATAAGGAAATCTTAAGTAGTGATAAATTGAGTCAAGCGATTGGGAACAGAAGTAGAGGTTGTGAAAATTGTGCCTCATTTTTGCTTTTTGAGTTTCAGCAATCGAAAAAAACTGTCATCCATAAAGGACAACACACTGAATCACCGTGAGACTCATCCAGGAGCCTCCACTCATGTTCAGGGGAAGGAAAATGGTGAAGAATACAATAATAAATAGGACAAGATTTAAGGATTCACCTTCCAGTGGCTGTCTGGTGAGGCCGAGCTGGTTGATGATGTATCTAGGAATATCAGTCTTGATACCATGGCCGACTTTGGCTTGGCCCTCTGCAGCCTCCATCCGCTGGTAAAACTCCTCTGGATCAAACTCCTGGGGGAAAAACACACACAAGCAGAAAATGTATTCTGTTCTGGTGTGTATTTTATTTCTCCAAAAGCATAAAAAAAGGAAAGTGATAGAAGAATCAACAAAATACCGACGGATTCCCCCCAGAAAACTTGCTAAGCCCAATGGTGGAAAAACCCACGGGTGGTCCACCGCGTTTTAGAAAATAAATAAATAAATAAACATTTTTTAAATGTGAGGACGTTAAAAAAACTATTAATAGTATGTGGTCCTCTTAGGTGTGTTCTTGCTGTGCGTTATTTCTAATTCCATGTTGTCGTTCTTTTTTAAAACACAGAAACGGTTTTGTAACCTGTAAGTGACGCTACAGCGTCGGCGAAACTGTAGCGTCACTTACAGGTTACAAAACCGTTTCTGTGTTTTAAAAAAGAACGACAACATGGAATTAATAGTATGTGGTGTTATAAGCCAACTCGTAAATCTACTAAGTACTTTTATTCAATTTTAACTGCTTTGAAAACTGTCCACACCACTAAAGACACACTCAAACAACTTACCAGCAGCTTGGAGAAATAGTCACAATAATTTGGCAAAACCAAGCAAGGCAATATAATTTTATTTTGGTGTTTTAGCAGCCATTAAAGGCGTTTGAAGGTGTGCAGCGCTGAAAAAACCTTTGTAACGATTATTTCCAATTATAATCGGTCACTTGAATCTTTCATTCAGGCAGAACTTGAAAATAGTCTCCTACACCTGTCTCCTACATTAGCTTGTGATACAAAATAGATGTTAAAACTCTAGGATTTGAAAAGCCTGACTGATCTACAGTGGGAATGCGAACGTTTGGGCAGCTTTGTTAATCTTCATTTATTTTCCTTTATAAATCGTTAAATATTGTTAAATATATCATACAGGAGACACACACAGTGATATTAGAAAAGTGAAATAAAGTTGAGTGGATTTTTAAAAAGTGTGCAATAATTTTTTAACTAAATTAGGCAGATGCATAAATTAAAGACATGAACAAACACTTTTGTAGATCCTCCTCTTGCAGAAATAACAGCATCTAAATGAGTCCTATAGCTTCCAACGATAACCTGGATTCTGAATGAAGACATGTTGGACCATTCTCCTTTACAAAACATCTCTAGTTCATTCAGGTTTGATGGCCTCCGAGCACAGACAGCTCTCTTTAACTCACACCACAGATTTCCATAGATTCAGGTCTGGGGACTGAGACGAATATTCCAGAACGTAGTACTTGTTCCTCCGCCGTAGTAGATTTTGAGCAGCATTTAGGGTCGTTGTCTTGTTGAAAGATCCAGCCCCGGCGCCGCTTCAACTACGTCACTGATTCCTGAACATTGGTCTCCAGAAGCTGCTGATATTGAGTGGAATTCAAGCGCTCCTCAACTTTAACAAGATTCCCAGTCTCTGCACTGGCCGCACAGCCCACAGCATGATGGAACCACCACCATGCTTTACTGTAGCAGGTCATCAGTTCACAGCAGCTTATTCTTAAACTAAGCTAGCTTGTCCAAATGTGCTTTAGCACAACTCAAGCAGCTCTGGTTGTGTAAGTACATTGTACTTACGGTATATAATAAGAATAAGAATAAGAACAACTTTATTTATCCCAAGGGAAATTTTTGTGTCATGTACATGCTCAAAGCAGTCGGAGAGACAAAGGAACAGGTGAAATAGATATATGATATACAATATATTCATTCGGACGGTGGAAGGAATACTTTGAGGAGCTCCTCAATCCCACCAATGTGCATTCCGAGGAGGAACCAGAGCTGGGAGGCCTGGGGATGGACTGTCCGATCTCGGGGGCAGAAGTTGCTGAGGTAGTCAAACAACTACACAGCAGAGGAGCCCCGGGGGCGGATGAGGTTCGTCCTGGGTATCTCAAGGCTATGGATGTTGTAGGGCTGTCATGGTTGACACGTCTCTGCAACATTGCGTGGTCATCGGGGGCAGTTCCTAGGGAGTGGCAGACTGGGGTGGTGGTCCCCATCTTTAAGAAGGGTGACCTGAGGGTGTGTTCCAACTATAGGGGGATCACACTCCTCAGCCTCCCTGGAAAGGTCTACTCCAAGGTACTGGAGAGGAGGGTCCGATCGATAGTTGAATCTCAGATAGAGGAGGAGCAATGTGGTTTTCGTCCTGGCCGTGGAACTGTGGACCAGCTCTATACCCTTGCAAGGGTGATGGAGGGGGCATGGGAGTTTGCCCAACCAATCCACATGTGCTTTGTGGATTTGGAGAAGGCTTATGACCGTGTCCCCAGGGGCACCCTGTGGGGGACGCTCCAGGAGTATGGGGTGGGTGGCTTTCTGTTAAGGGCCATTCAGTCCCTTTACCAGAGGAGCGTGAGTTTGATCCGCATAGCCGGTAGTAAGTCGGACCTGTTCCCAGTGAGGGTTGGACTCCGCCAGGGCTGCCCTTTGTCACCGGTTCTGTTCATCACTTTTATGGACAGAATTTCTAGACGCAGCCGTGGTGTGGAGTGTGTCGAGTTTGGTGGCAGGAGAATCTCGTCTCTGCTTTTTGCGGATGATGTGGTCCTCCTAGCTTCATCCAGCTCTGACCTTCAGCTCTTGCTGGGTAGGTTCGCGGCCGAATGTGAAGCGGCTGGGATGAGGATCAGCACCTCCAAATCTGAGACCATGGTTCTCGACCGGAAAAGGGTGGCTTGCCACCTCCGGGTCGGGGGAGAGGTCCTACCTCAAGTGGAGGAGTTTAAGTATCTAGGGGTCTTGTTCACGAGTGAGGGTAGGAGGGATCGGGAGATCGACAGGCGGATTGGTTCGGCGTCTGCAGTGATGCGGACGCTGAGCCGATCTGTCGTGGGGAAGAGGGAGCTGAGCCAGAAAGCCAGGCTCTCGATTTACCGGTCGATCTACGTCCCAATCCTCACCTATGGTCATGAGCTTTGGGTAATGACCGAAAGAACGAGATCGCGGATACAAGCGGCCCAAATGAGTTTCCTCCGTAGGGTGGCCGGGCTCAGCCTTAGAGATAGGGTGAGGAGCTCGGACATTCGGGAGGGACTCGGAGTAGAACCGCTGCTCCTCCGGATCGAAAGGAGCCAGTTGAGGTGGTTTGGGCATCTGGTTAGGATGCCTCCTGGACGCCTCCCCGGGGAGGTGTTTCGGGCATGTCCTGCCGGCAGAAGGCCCCCGGGTCGACCCAGGACACGTTGGAGAGGTTACATCTCCAATCTGGTCCGGGAACGCCTTGGGGTCCTGCCGGAGGAGCTGGTGGACAAGGCCGGGGAGAGGACGGCCTGGAGCTCCCTAGTTGGGATGCTGCCCCCGCGACCCGGACCCGGATAAGCGGAGGAAGACGAGACGAGACGAGAATATATTCATTTAAAAATGACTACAGTAGTACCATGTAGGATAGTGCAAAACAAACAATCGCATATCTCAATAATTAAATACATGCCTGCATCCTTGTGAATAAGTAATTAAGCCGTCGGTGCAAGCGATTCACAAAAGTGATTAAAGTACTGTGTAAAAGAATATGGGTTTGTAGCAGCGTATGATATGATGGGGGGATAAAACATATTTACAATCAGAACTCTTGGGTAATATTGCACAGTCGGTGAGGGCACAGAATAACCTAGGTAATAGTATTTGGAGAATCACCTACAGCGTGAGGAAGAGTTAAACAGTCCTATTGCCACTGGTACAAATGATTTCCTGTGGCGGTCAGTTCTGCATTTCGGGGCAATGAGTCTTTTGCTGCGTGTGCTTCGGTGGTCCATCATGTGGGCGTGCATGGGGTGGGAGGGGTTGTTCATGATAGAGAGAAGCTTTTTTAGCATTCTCCTCTCAGACACCTCCTCCAGGTTCTCCAGTCTAACACCCAGGACACACCCAGCACTCATAGCACTCATCACAGACATAGAATCACAAAGTGCTTCACATAGATCAAAACAAAATAAAACATAATGATCTCAAAATAGTGCTGAGGGCGGAGAAAATGCTTCCTCTGCATCACTCTCACTTCCAGCATCTCCTTGTGTAATGATGCAAAGCTGATGCAGGGGTGAGGTGGTGCTCACTCCTCACCCCTGCAACGTGGACCTCACGGGATGAACCATCAACCCTCCTCAGTGGTCAACTTTCCTGGCGGGGTCGCCCAGTGGGACAGTGGAAGGGTTAAACGTACATTATTTCTCACTTTTGAGTAACCTTGCCTTTTTTTAATCTCTGCCAGTTCACCACTCAACTTTGTACCATTTCAAGCCATTCACTGGACTTGAATGACTTCAACTGGAATCAATAACTGGAAAAATTGGAGTGTTCTAAAACTTTTGACCGGTAGTCTATATGTATATATACATCTCAGAAAAGTGTCAACACACACACTTTATAAAAGCTTGCTACTTCCCTGCGCGCACGCATTCTCCTCCTCCTCCACCTCCCTGCTCTCAGATGGAACGCGGCAGCGAAACTGTCCTCTCCAATTACTGAGAAACCAGTTTTGGACCAAAACTCGAACTCAACTCCCCCCCCCCCCCAAAAAAAAAAACAAAAAGAACACAAACTTTGAGAAAACACCAGCAAAGGCTGAAATTGAAAGAAGACAAACCTGCTAAAGTTCTAGACAGAAAACTGTGGTGTTTGGAGGGGATTTTGTTTGATTTTATGAACTTGAAGCTCCAACTACTGCGAGATGTTGGAGCAAAAGTAGCAGTGCCGCCGCGATACAGGTGTTGTGTCGATATGAGTTCCTCCGTCGAGATCTGTGTCTTTAGAATAATCAAGCCCTGGTGCCTATAGTGTTTTTGAACCTACCTGAGCCAGAGGGTTCTGCTCAGGCCACATGAATGAACCCTGGGTCCCACATGGTAAACAGCTGTTATTGGTCCTCTCCAGCAGGAAATGATTATAGCAGAAACACTGGAGACAGGCCCACCAGTTGCATTATGATCACTACAGGCTCTTACCAGGCACTCCAGAAGTCTGGCGGGCCTGGAGATTATGATGAGAATCTTCTTCACCAGTTTGACGATGATGGTCACCTCCTCGCTCTCTGAACGCTCGTATGCCTAGTCAGGACAAGACAATGGATTATTGTTGGAGCTCAATGCAAATAATCGGAGCTGTGTGTCATAACAGCTGATCCATAGAGCAGAGGGAGAGAGAAGATCCGTCTGCTACTCACCCAATGCGTGTTCTACATGAAAATCACTGTTTCATCCAGATTACTATTAACATTTGCTCCTCAGCAGGTCTTAAATCAAGTTAAACCTCAAATGAATAATTTTACTAAACTTAAAGTCCATCTTTTAAGTTGTTTTAAAATCATGAACATCTTTCCATTTGGTGAAAAAATAAAGTTGATCCCACTTTTCAGTGTTTGAATAACTCTGATATTATAATTTGTCTTTAGCTGTGCAAAAAGGCTGCTTCAACAAAAACCTAGCTAATTTCTGTCACGTGACGTCGGAGAGGCAAGACAGCGGAGACTCTCACTGTCACCACAGTGTTAGCATAAAGTTCACAAAAGTATCAAGATCAGTCAAAATTATGAAAGTTTTTTTTATGTGGAGGTTGTTCCAACTCCTCTGTCTGGACTGTATGTCGTGTATTTTGCTAACGTCATAGCTGCACCGCTAATACTGCAGGTTCTGACAGTCATGAGAGAGAGTAAGCTCCTGCAGAAATTCAGGGGACTAAAACAGTCTGGCCAGCCAGCCCCATGCTTCCTTGTGGGAGGTCGTTAAGTTCTCTGTGTAGAATTAAACAGAGGACGAGTCTGGCTGGCAGGCTAGAATAAAACAGCCTGGCAAGCTGGTCCTGTGCATGTAAATATACATCCAGAGCAAGATCTTTTTCTATTGCTATAGTTGGTCTATATTTCTGAGCTAGAAAATTTAAAAACTGTTATATAATACTTGTTGACATGTTCAGATGTTCTAAATAGCTCTTACATCTACATTTGTACTTGTGTTTTATAGACCAATCAATCAAAGATACTTTATTAAACCCAGAGGGAAATTAGAGTTTCAGTACACACAGTTCAGAGATCAGACATACATGGGGAAGACACATGACAAGAATTGGTGACTGTGGTCATTCGCAACCGTGAGTCGCGCTACCTTAATAGAGATAAGAGGGGTTTACATGAGGATTGGTTAAGGTGGAGGGAAAAAGAAGCACTTCTTTGCTCTGCAAAAAAACCACCTCAACAGATATGCAACAGATTTCAGACAACACAAGTGTCCACTAGGAGGGGTGGTGGGTTGGTTCTATCCCAGCTTCAGTTCCTGCAGCCACGATGAAGCAGCACATGTCACCTCAGTGTGGATAGGGGGGAGCATTAAGGGTTGGAGGGTTGCAGTGACCCCGGACGCTTCGAAGGCCTTCCCGCAGTCCCGGCTGGGAAAGGAGGCAGTTGAGTTGCCATAGCGACGGCACATTCTACATATCTTCTGAGGGGGGAGTTTTTGTTGGAGCCTTGCAGGCTCAAGGACGCCAGATTCCGATTAGAAATTGTTTTGGGGCCAGACAGAAATAATTTCCTCTCTGTCTTAAAGTTTGTTGGTCCTCAACCTCTCAAAATCCCAATAATAATGGACGTTAAACTATCCCAATCCATGCTGATTCGTCCACTCTATCCTTGATGGCATCCATCTTTTGTGCCAAAGAATGAATCTCTGCCAAAGTCCAGAGCTTACAATTCATCTCGACAATTATGTGAGTCTGTGAATTCACAGCGCGGTGCAAACCATCTCTGAGCTCCGGGATGAGGCCAACATTCCTCGACAGCTCGTTAATTTTCCGGTGAGCCAGGTAGCCTCCAAGGCCAATGAGCAGGAAACCTGACACCAACACCACGAACATCCACACGTCTTCAGAGTCCTCCACAGACAGCTGAGATAGGCAAATTAGGTTCCACTGTTCCAGGAGTCCATGATATGTCCAACTGGGTCTGCACCAGCAGGACATCCGGGAGCCCCTTCTCCCGTTCTCATCATTGAAAACATTTTATCAATCGCGTTGAGAGCAAGCCCCCACAATGTGGGTCAAAAATTGAAGCAAACGTGGAAATGAAAAAAATTGCAGTTCCACCCTCATCCACTAGGGGCTGGTGTCAGAAGCGAGCAAATCCTCATTGACTCCCATGTTAAAAATACCAATTTCACAGCAGAAATAAACATGTTTACAGCCTGGTACCAGAACATGTTTTTGGTTTAAATGATCTAGTTTACACTCATGACAACTCTGAGGGGGGTGAATTTTTTTCTCACTCTTCTGTTTAAGTGTATTAAAAGCCTAAAATTCTGTATAATTAATGAGCATCAGACCCACGTGACCACAGAGCTAGCTCCGTGGAAAGGCCTCAGTCTGAGCCCTGGCCTTTCCTGAAAACTGTTCCGCTATTTTCAGTCTCTCAACTTAGACCATTAGTTGTGGCGTTTGTGTATTCATTTTTAGATATTATTTGTGCAACTGTTGGACAAAATGTCTTGCTGTGGCATTAATTGCACTAACAGAGCGTCCAAGGAGTCTCCACTTCATTTTTTTCAGTAAGTAAAATTATATTTATGTTTTTTAGGTCACTGCCGAGCTGAGCTTAGATTTTAACATGTACTGTTTAACCATGAAATTTAAATGTAATAGGGTAAAACCCAGTGCATTTAAAGGGACTTTACAGAGTTTTGAATTTTTATGCTCGTGATTGCCCCCTCAGGCCAAAAGCGTAACGGCAGCTTCAATAGTAGGCTCGTGCACGAGGCGCGCATGCTGTACGTGCACACTCCTTAACGAAAATAACAGCCGAGACAGTCAGCTCCATGTGTGTGTGTGTGTGTGTGTGCGTGTGCGTGTGTGGCCCGGAGGACAGAGGACAGGAGAACACGCAGCTAATTAATTAAATAATTTGGTTCTGTACCTTTCTCTTCAGCACAGCCGACAAAGGTTTAAGATGGGTCAGTCCTCCTGCATGCTCAGATCATTCCCTTCCCATGCTTGAAAAATTGTTCCAAAATGAAAGTTGAACCCACATCTTTTTTATCTGTGAATTCAATGCCGTTCGGCGAGTCTCAAATAAAAATTTGGGCATCTTACTGTAAAAAAATATACCATTAATGTAAAAAAGAAACTCTAAATAAACTATGTTCACATCCAGGATCAAACCCAGGACTTCTACACAAGAGTCCGTCGTCTACCTAGGTGAGCTACAGTGCCAGTAGCATCTTTTGTATCTGTAACATTTATATCCTTGATGACAGCTGAAACAACGTTCAAAGAACGGTTCGGAGTGAAAATGGCTATTTTGTTGCTAATTAGCAGGAAGTATCTAGAAGAAAGTTCTACAGAAAGTAGCTAAGGGTCCTCAGAAATGTAGCTAGCTTTGTCACTAGGCGTTAGGAACAGCGACAAAGTGGCACTGCCTCTCTCTCTGCTGCTAAAGCTACGGATAGCAAATGCTACGGGCGATGCCTGAGCGTGAACGCGCATGAAGCAGCCTGCTCGACCCGAGCATCTCTCTTTTTCTGTGATTTTACAGAAAAACAGGCAATCACAGTAAAAATGCCAGGGCTCATTCTACAGGACCAGGGCATTGCAGGAGAATGTATGAAGAAGACATTTATTATTTCTATACATGTTTTGGCTGTCACACTTCCATAACACCCCTTTAACAAATGTTCATTCCTATAATGACTTATTCCAGATCTTACAATTACATCAGACTAGTATAATTGTTGAATTTAATAATGATTTGTTTATCATTATATTCAAACATTACCATATTCACTTCACATTAATGTTTAATAAGATTTACTCCACATTAGGTGAAATAACCTAAGTGTTTGAGAAAAGTGTGGTGTCTGAGGTCTTCAATAACCACCCACTTTTAACTTGTCAAATTCAGATCTGTCCAATTTGATAAACAATAGTTATTAAAAATAGCTGACACTTTCTCTAGAGTCAGTTCCTGCGAGCTGAACAGTTAGGCCAGATTGCTTCAGCGGGTAAAGAACCATCCTCCTCAAGGTCAAACCTTTGCAAAACTGCAAAGCTGCGTCAGATGCAAACTTCATCTGACCACCAGCATTCACCTTGAAGGTATGCCAGGTTTTATTATTCGATAGTTTGTTAAACCATACGGACTTATTTTACAACCTGGACATCACCATTTTTTAAGACACGTAATTAGGTATTGCTAATTAATACATCTAAGCTTACATATCACCATTTTATTCATTGTCTCAGTTATCTTGTTTCACCATCATTCACAATAATTTGTTCTGTGTCATCATTAGTAGTAAAAATATAGATTTAAATAGATTTTTATAAACTATATTTTAAATAAGAGACCATGGTTCTCGACCGGAAAAGGGTGGCTTGCCAACTCCGGGTCGGGGGAGAGGTCCTACCTCAAGTGGAGGAGTTTAAGTATCTCGGGGTCTTGTTCACGAGTGAGGGTAGGAGGGATCGGGAGATCGACAGGCGGATTGGTTCGGCGTCTGCAGTGATGCGGACGCTGAGCCGATCTGTCATGGGGAAGAGGGAGCTGAGCCAGAACGCCAGGCTCTCGATTTACCGGTCGATCTACGTCCCAATCCTCACCTATGGTCATGAGCTTTGGGTAATGACCGAAAGAACGAGATCGCGGATACAAGCGGCCCAAATGAGTCTCCTCCGTAGGGTGGCCGGGCTCAGCCTTAGAGATAGGGTGAGGAGCTCGGACATTCGGGAGGGACTCGGAGTAGAACCGCTGCTCCTCCGGATCGAAAGGAGTCCGTCGAGGTGGTTTGGGCATCTGGTCAGGATGCCTCCTGGACGCCTCCCTGGGGAGGTGTTTCGGGCATGTCCTGGTGGCAGGAGGCCCCCGGGTCGACCCAGGACACGTTGGAGAGGTTACATCTCCAATCTGGTCCGGGAACGCCTTGGGGTCCTGCCGGAGGAGCTGGTGGAGGTGGAGGCGGCCGGGGAGAGGACGGTCTGAAGCTCCCTAGCTGGGATGCTGCCCCCGCGACCCGGACCCGGATAAGCGGAGGAAGACGACGACGATATTTTTGCCTCTGTCTCAAATTATTACAAAGGTGTGATTTCCCTGGACTACCTGGTTTTATCTTAAATCATTTACCAACAAAATCAATAATATTGGTAATTCATATTTATATGGAATATCAAATCTTCTTGATCATTTATTAAAAGTAACCACTTACATCACGTTTCATTGTGATATTTATTAATTAGATATCACATTTATTATATTTTCATTATGTTGCTGCTTGTTTAACTGGCTCTAATGTGATTAATCCTCACTGTTAAAAGCTCATTTTAAATTCATGTGTGTGTTTATATATATATATATATCTATAGACATGAACAAAAACAAGAAATGTATACATTGATATGAATTCAATTAATAAAACAAAAATTTATAACGGAGGTCCAGAGTAGGGAGGCACATTCTTCCAGAGACCCAGCTGCTGACACTAGAGAATCACATTTGACCAACAGAACAGCTGGTATCAGTAAATAAATAATCAGAGCAACTTTAGTGGGATGTTTGTGTTTGTGTAACATAAATGAACACATTACAGATAGATTTTCTCATGAGGTATTTGTATTTATAACTTGGGCATTTCTCTGCATCAGATGATAACTTTAGCTCAGTGTACGTAGCCGTGTCCTGGAGACCTACTATCCAACACGTTTCAGTTGTTTCTCTGCGGTTCACTCAGCTGTTCAGCAGCTCCGCTATTTGCTGCTGGTTGAAATCAGGTGTGTTGATGCAGATAAACCTCTAAAACAGGCTGGATATTAGCTTTCTATGACCGTGGTGCCAAGCCCTGCAGATAATCTAAAGCTATAGCTAACGGCTAATTACCATACAGAGCTGGGGTCTCATTTATCACACATAGCGTAGAATCCTTACTAAAACCGTACATGTCGTACAGGTTTGTGATCTATCAAACATGGAGGACGCACAGCTGCACGCAATCTCCGCTTCATAAATCGGAGACTATCTAGAATGTTTCTCAGCTGCTTTTTAGTCACATCCCGCCCTCGCCACGCCCACTTACTGCCATAAATGGTCAATGCAAAGTGCCTTGTGGACCTCATGCATGTACATAAGCCGGCTGTTGCAGCGCTCCGCCAATGACATGGCGACCGTAGATCAAGGCAGATCAAGGAAGCGCAATTTCACAGAAGCAGAAATTGAGGTACCTGTGGGTGAGGTAGCTTCCTTTATCCATCTTTTATATTTCTGTTGTTCGGTGTTTATGATCCTTGTGTTGTCCCAGTCCGTTATATGGATATTTATAGAGATAAGGAGACGTGGATGTGGGACTATGAATAGAGACGATGGGGTTTACACATTGGACCGCGCATGGGACTGCATCATCGGAGAGGGGAGAGCGACAACATCCTCTGCTGCCCGCGGATAAACGGAGTAGGAAGTGACGCCACCATCAGCGTCAGCTCTGAGGAAGTTTGCAGCCGCGAACGAAACTGTCAGCAGAAACCTTTTCTGTGTTTTAAAAAGAACCAACAATGTAGAGGGTGGAATGTTCTGTTGGAAACAACTGAGTAGGTCAGAGACATTTCTTAAAGTTTGAATATTCTCTAATAAATGATTGCTACGAACACAATTTTTGAAACGCATTCATGAATTATAGCTCGAAACTAAGATATATCCGTTAGCTGTAAGCCAGCATGCTTCTCATTTCCATCGGACCTACGGTTCTGTCAGGACAGTGCCAGAAATGGAGAGAGGGAGGCTCATCGCTCCTATCTCTACCCATTATAATTTTTGTAAAATTTTCTGAAAATTTCAAGTCGTACCTCAACTTCTACCCGTGTTTTAGAAAAAACATCAAAGATTTCAAGAAGATCTTTCTACAAGCTACAGCCAAACATTTGTGGCTGTTTCTGACACATTTTGAATGAAGTCTCTAGTTAAAAGTTACCCCTATCTATAGGGTTTTAGGTGAAAAAAACACACATGATTTTGTGGACAATGACCAATCCCGTTCATTCAACTGGAAAAAAATCACGAAAGTTCAATCACTTGAAAAAAATTTAAGATATCAATGTCGGTATGATACCCAGAAAGAGCATAAAGAGCAGAAAATTTTTATACCTCATTTGCGGAAAATTTGAAGGAGTTGAAATGGTTTAAAAAAAATACGGAAGCAGAATGAAGAGAAAATGGATCACTATAGTTTGAATGCTGTAATTATGCACCTACTTAGACATAATGGTACACATGGCTGCTGTTAGAACAGACAATGACCTAAGAGTCGTGTTCCCTAGTACGACTGCAGAACAGAGCAGATAAACACTTCAGGTGCAGACCTAACACCAGATGATGATCAATTACACTGATGAGACATTTCTGCTGAAAGAAGGCCAAAAACCCACCTCATGAAGCAGCTTCTCCAGTTTATCTTGTAGCTCCACAAAGTACAGAGAGGTTACCAATCCATTCTGGGACTTGTCAAGACAGTCCCTGGCCAGCTCCACTAACTGGTGCTGAATAAATCCCAGCACGCCATCAGCCAGGGGCAACGCTGTGTCTGGACAATACTCCAAGATAACATCAAGGAGCCGACCCTCCATCTGCGCCGTGGCCTGGGAAACAGAATTCCAAATTCTAATCAAAAAAGCACATTTACTTTGCCAAGAACATTTACACTCACCTAAATGCTTATTAGTAACACCTGTTCAACTTCTCCTTAATGCAATTATCTAATCAACCATTCATACGGCAGTTGCTTCCATCCTCTGATGGCTACTTCCAGCAGGATAATGCACCATGTCATAAAGCTCCAATCATTTCTAACTGGTTTCTTGAACATGACGATGAGTTCACCATACTACAACGTCCCCCACAGTCACCAGATCTCAACCCGATAGAGCATCTCTGGGATGTGGTGGAACGGGAGCTTCGTGCCCTGGATGTGTATCCCACACATCTCCATCCAGATGCTATCCTGTCAATATGGCCGACATTTCTAAAGAATGCTTTCAGCACCTTGTTGAATCAACGCCACGTAGAATTAAGGCAGTTCTGAAGGTGAAAGGGGGTCAAACACCGTATTAGTATGGCGTTCCTGATAATCCTCTAGGTGAGTGTGAATCTTCTGTCTTGGAAACCTTTTACACCAGTTTCTACATCAGCTGGACCAGAACACAAACAACAAGCAGTGAGTGACCTTACCTTGGGAAAGCGCTCTTTATAGACGTGGTTCATCATCACAATCTCGTTATCAAAGGTTCCACAGGTCCGCCCCGGGCTGCAGGACAAACCAGCAGAGCACATAAATAATAAAAAATAGATCCTCACGGGTTGAGTTGATCACTAAATCAATGCTTCACTGTCAATAATAACATGCATGCTATTTATAACATGCTAGGGGTTGCATGACTTAATTTTTTTTAAAGTCGACAGTCAAGTAATGAAAATCGAGTCGACTTCAACTAGTCGTTGATGACGTCATACACCTGAAGGGGGGGGGGGGGGGGGTCGGTAGGTTCGCTGGAGTTTTTGACAATTAAAATTGCGCCCACATTTTCTAAGTTAAACACATCTCTTTTAACAACGGTAGTTTCTGCTTCAGCCCTCTCCCCCCTCCCCCTGCTTCAGCCCCCCCCCCCCCCCTCCACCGGCGCAGCGGCCGCAAACTCACTGATGCGCCTGCAGCCTCTCAGAGTTCCTTCTGCTCTAAACATTAAAATAATTATTTCATTTTCTGTTCCTCACTTCTGATTACCTTCAATGGTGTCTGTTTGTTGCAATCAGCAGGTACAAAAACTAACTTGTTTTTATTTGACTATTTTTCTGTCCTGTCTGTTTATTATCTTCCTGCATCTCCTCTCAATCCTAAAGAGAAACTGCTACCTGGGTTCATATATATTCACCTTATGAGTTACCTTTGAACTGCAGTTCTAAAAGATCTACCGACCGCAAAAAACAGCGGAGCGCTCGCTGCTTGGCGGCCGACTACATCGGGACCGTTTTTGCGGCGGAGTTCGTGCCGGAGTGGAGATAGAGGAATTTTGGGGGTGCGTCACCGGAGGACAAAACAGGTGATGCGCCTCGCTCCGCAGCAGCGAAACGCATCAGGCACAAATAACAGACAGAAAACATTAAAGGATTGCGTGCTTAATTTGTTTTTGAGGTGGTGACACCTGATTTGGCGGTGCTCAGGACACAGATGTCTGGAGCAGCGCATCAACAATCAGAGCTTTGCATGCGCAAACTGGTTGAAGTTAGGATGGGGGTGAGGGGAAGGTAAAATTGCAAGAGGGAAAAGGTCACATCCATGCTTTCGTTCTTTTTTAAGGTCACAGTTTGGGTAAATGTCCGTTTTACCGCCGGTGTCAGTACCGACGCTCTGGCACGGCGCGTCGCCTCCGCCTCCCGACGCAGGGGCTCATCACCTGCTGGAGGACTGCATCTTGTTGCTCATTATCACGTGACAGCGACTAGTCGATGACAGGCATAAAAAGTCACTACAGAGCAGTGAAGTCGACTAGTTCATACAACCCCTATAACATGCATGATTACTAAGAGCTTAATCATGACGGAAACGATGACTAAAAACACTTTCAAAAGACTGACATTTACACATGTATGCGATGCATTGTAATGGTGACTGTAAGCAATATTGCTCAACTCTAATGATCGTGACACCCTGCGGATAAAACCTAGCGTCTGACCGCTCGTTTTTGCCATCTCATTCTTTTGGTTTCAACACAAAGCTCGTGGCCATAGGTTATGATAGGAACGTAGATCGATCAGTAAATCAAGAGCTTTGCCTTTTGGCTCAGCCCTCTCCACCACGACAAACCTGTACAATGCCAGCATCACTTTCGATGCAGGAGCAATCTGCCTCATCTAGGGCTACTAAGTTAATCGAATTTTAATCACAAGTAGGATCTGAGATTTGAACGATTATAAAAATAAAACAAACTGATTCTTTGCTTCTCCCTTGCGGTTTACTCCAAGTTGCAAATTGAGCCCACCTCCCAACAGAGTGGCCAACTTTTAGCATCTTCTAACAACTATAAATATTATTTCTAACCTTTTAGATTCCCTTCTTTGGCTTTTTTTTTTAAGTAACTAGCGATCAACCCAGAAACATTTCTGGTAACCCTCGAGTTACTTTCTAGATAACCATCGTCAATGTTTTCCGTAGGTTAGCAAAACACTCAGCTTATGCTCCAGACATTAGAAAAGGGAATGGTGAGGTGATGTCAGTCTTGAACAAAACTGCTCTCAGGGGAGCCGGAGTGAGCGATGCGCTTTGTAACCGCAGGCTTCAAAGCCGCTAAAAAAAGCTAAATTTGCATGAGCAGTGCATGCATTCAAAAATGTCTTAAAAATCGAGATCTTAACTTAAGTCTAAATAATCGTGATTATCATTATCGCCATAGTCGAGCAGCCCTAATCTCATCCCAGCTTCTTCACACTCCAGCCATAGCTTTTAAGGTCTGTCTACCCTCATTCTTCAGTGGTTTCTCCTCCTGTTCCCTCCATGAGTGGATTTTACAAACACCATGGATCTAACCCTGCTAACCTACATCCACTGAGTCCTAGTCCACACGTAGCCTGTTTTTTTTTTTAAAACGAATATCCACCCCTCCAAAAACTTGCATCCACACCACCTCGTTTTAAAAAAAAAACTCTGTCCACACGTACCCGGATAAATACGTTGTAAGGGACATGCCAGACCTGTAGGCGGCAGTACTTCCCCCGTTCTTAACCTCGTCCTTCGTCTGTGGTCTTCCGCAAGGAGCAGTAATTCCGCTTGCAAAAACAAACAAGCAGAAAGCGCTTGGACAATTGATAAAGCGAGCGCAGCTCTGAGGGCATCCATGCTGTCGGCTAGTGTAAACACAGGTCGCACACGTGATGTCAGCATTTTTCTGTCGCGGAAAGTGACGTTGCAGACCTTAAAACTCCGGTTTTGTCCGTCCACACGCAGACACCCAAAACGGAGAAAACGCAGATCTTCACTTTGGCCGGAGTTTTTAAAAAGATCCGTTTTCGTGTGGATGACAGGCCTAAACGTAGAAAAATATCTACGTTTTGGCAGATCCCCGGCTACGTGTGGACAGGGCCTAAGTCCAACTGTTTCTGTAGTTTCAGTAACAGGTGAGGTGCTGGTTAATCGTATCTCATCCTCAGGTTAGAAATGATATCAGATGCTAAACACCATCCTTTGCTACGGTTAAATTAGCCGTTCCTTCAGCATAAAGGGAACAGTTTATTATGGTGTGTAACTGACGGCATGCAATGCGCCGGAACGGGAGGGGGTTGTAGTAAATCAGAAGTCTTCCTCTTTGTCTGCTTGAACTAATTTTGGTCAGAATTAGAAGCTCTGGGTTTGTGGTGATTGCTAATCAACTCTCTACAGAGTAAGAGTGTTTGTTGGTAGCTGGCATTGTCACGCTCACTACATCGATTACAAGTCAAGCCCTGAGATATTAATAAAATCTAGAAGAGTGGAGCTAGCCCGGTAAATTGGCTTGTACAGGGTATCTGCAGGTTTAAGGGAACCAAATTTAAGACTTTTTAAGGCCACTTTGACCAAATTTAAGTTATTTTGTTTTATTAATTTAAGCTATAATTTCCAGCTATTGCCTGGAACCGGTGCTAACCACGTCATGAACGTTGGATTAGCCATCCAGTTACCATTAATGTTGCACTTCCCCACGGCGCAAACTCCCACTAGCATGCTCATCTAAAAATAGCCCCCTTTCACAAACCAACCGAATGTGTACGGTTCCGCTTATGCCAATATCATACACAAAAAATGCCTAACTAACTAGAAATTCATGAAAATTTTATAGAAATAAAAGAATCTTGTTTATTGGGCCTTTGGTCATTTAAGACCTTTGGAAACTATTTAAGGATTATTTGTCATTTTTAAGGATTTTTAAGGCCTTAAATTTGGAAAAGCTAATTTAAGACTTTTTAAGGACCCGCAGATACCCTGTTGTAACAATTGTGATTCTCATTTTAACTAGAATTGTGCAGCCCTAGGTCTATGTAATTACATGGACACATCTGAGAGGGACTAGCAGGTGTTGATGTCATTGTAGTACTTGAGTGATCGGTACCTGAGACTCCGTGAGCGGACCCTGACAGGGTGTGCCGAGTGGGCTTCTTCACTGTCCACCACACTCTCTTTGTTCCTAAAGTGTCTGAAGAGGAGGTGAAGGTCATCTTGGGTGGGCTGAGAGGGCAACTGGTGCAACAGCTCATGAGAAGACGATGACTGCAGGGGAAAATTATTCTTTTAAATTGGTGGACAGAGGAAAGATTTGTACATTGCATAGTATTGTGGGCAAGGCTCCGGTCCGGGAGGGGCGCTGGCCGATCATTACACAAGCCTGTACAATATAAAAAGGCGCAAATGCACACCTGCACCGTTCCTACCCCTCCTGCTCGCCGGTCGCACCGGAGGTTCAGGGGACACAAAGAAGGGCCCTTTAAAATCTCATTTCTGATTATAGTCTGAACATTAAAATAGTCTCCTACATTTATCTCGTAGTTGTAAAACAGAATATGGACTGGTATCAAATTCGGACGGTCTGCCGCTCCACAAAGGGTCCCAAATCACAGCATAGCTCCAGAAGGATCTCCTTTCAGCGCGCTCACGGAAATGCATTTACCCCAGAGAGCACGCTCCGACAGATCCTTCATAATACTAATAAGAAACACTCTTTTATCTAGTGCAACTTAAACAAAATCACGAGGCACTTCTCAATGACAAATAAATAATACGATTTAAATATATTAATTAAAACAATTATAACATTATAAAAATTGTTATAGTAAAAAAAAAAACACAAAATCCAATGTACAATGTCAGATTACCATCGGGTGTTTTAGCACCAACTATGTGACTCAGCTGTTTTTCACTGAAATACTTTTTTACTGGGTAAAATAATTAGTGGACGACAAACGTGTGGAAGACCGAGACCATGGGTGTTGCAGCTCCCTCGTTCTGCCACTAGATGCTGCTCTTACGCATGGTCTGAGGTTTGGCTTACATTTAGGAAAATTTCTACACCCAAGTACAAAATGATGAATAGCATAAAATGAGTAAATGTGTTCCTACGCTCAAAATACACACAGATCTGCACATGAGTACGGTTGACACATGAGGCCCCAGGAGCTCCACGGGAACTCAGATCGGTCCTCACCTTTTAGTTCGATCATAAAATAGTTTTCTGTCACACTCTGCACTGGGACATTTACAAGTACCTCGTCTGGCCGTGTTACTCCCATCAACTCAGCTCTTAGCTATGTGCACACACTAGTTTCAGTAAAGAGTGGAAAGTTTTCCCAACCCGTTTCAGGTTCCATGAGAGGTGTTTGGTAACATGTTCATCTGAATCCTGACACCCATTACTGCTAATAAACTCAGCCTGTGTTTGAGAGCCGCCTGTCAATGGATCAATCAATCAAGTCTTTGATATAGTTCAGGTTCAGAGTGTTTTTTTCATTTACTGATCCTCTAAATGTGCTTGTAACCATCCGTTAATGACTGACCTAATTTCAACCACATGCAATCTGAGGCCTAGTCCACACGTAGCCGGGTTTTTAAAAAAACGAATATCCGCCCCTCCAAAAACTTGCATCCACACCAACGTACCCGGATAAATACGTTGTTAAGGACATGCCAGACCTGTAGGCGGCAGTACTTCCCCCGGTCTTAACCTCGTCCTTCGTCTGTGGTCTTCCGCAAGGAGCAGTAATTCCGCTTGCAAAAACAAAGAAGCAAAAAGCGCTTGGACAATTGATGGATCGGGAAGTGACAGAGCGCAGCTCTGAGGGCATCCATGATGCCGGCTAGTGTAAACACAGGTCGCACACGTGATGTCAGCATTTTTTGTCGCGGAAAGTGACGTTGCGGACCTTAAAACTCCGGTTTTGTCCGTCCACACGCAGACACCCAAAACGGAGAAAACGCAGATCTTCACTTTGGCCGGAGTTTTTAAAAAGATCTGTTTTCGTGTGAAAAAACTCCGTTTTCATGTGGATGACAGGCCAAAACGTAGAAAAATATCTACGTTTTGGCAGATCCCCGGCTACGTGTGGACAGGGCCTGAGATTTACAGCTCAGCCAATCAGCACTGGCGGTTAACAAGGCACCACAGCACTTTAAAACTCATTGATCAAGCGAAACAAGCAGGTGGACAAAATGCTCCCACAGCCGTAGGTTGGGAAGACAAAAAGCTGTCAGGAGTCTCCACTTACAGAAACGGATGAACTGGGAGCATTGGTGCAGTATCCAGAAGAGGGCACAGACGCCACAGACCACCTTCGCCCATCTGCATGGCTAGAAGAAACAAAACACTTTATTATACCATACCAAGTTTATCTGTATAGCACATGAAAACACGGCATGAGAGCCGACCAAAGTGCTGAACAAAAACGCACAATAAAAACAATCAAAAATAAAAACTAAAACCATTAAAATCGAGTAATCCAACTCGAAAAGAAAAGGAGAAAGAGAATAAGTTAGACTGAATTAAAAGCCAACGAATAAAAGTGAGTTTTTAAATGAGTCTTAAAAAGGGAAAGAGAGGAAAGAGACTGATCAGGAGGGGCACGTGGTTCCAGAGCTTCGGTGGAGGTGTTGGTCGGCTGATCGGAGGGATCTTGTAGGGACATGAGGGTGAATGAGCTCAGACAAGTAGCCAGGTGCTAAGTTATTGAGGGATTTAAAAACAAAAACCAGGATCTTTAACTCTATCTGGAGATGGATGGGGAGCCAATGGAGATTTGCTAAAACCGGTGTGATGTGTTCTCGCTGCCTGGTGCCAGTCAGGAAACGAGCTGCTGCGTTCTGCACTAGCTGAAGTCGAGCGAGAGTGTAAGTAAGTAAGTAAGTAAGTAAGTAAAAGTTTATTTATATAGCGCCTTTCACAGATATAAATCACAAAGCGCTGTACAACACGATAAATATCAGGGCAAATACCTCTAACCAATAAAAACATCAGAAAAACAATAGCAGTGATAAAGTAGAAAATAAAATCATGAGTATAAACAAAGAGAAGGTGTGAACCCGAACAAAGCCATCGTTTAGAAACATGTAGGGAGGGAACGCCTGGATGAAAAGGTGAGTTTTTAGATGATTTTTAAAGACCTCTACAGTGTTAGAGAGACGGAGATTTGAAGGTAGACTGTTCCAAAGTCTGGGTGCAAAAGTCTGAAAGGCCCTGTCCCCTTTGGTTTTCAGTCTGGTTCGAGGAACAGCCAGGAGGTTTTCAGGTGTGGATCTGAGGGTCCGAGAGGTGGTGTGTGGGGATAAAAGCTCAGATAGGTAGCTTGGAGCCTGGATGTTAAGAGCTCTATAGGTCAGGACTAAAACTTTAAACTGTATCCTATATTCTACCGGGAGCCAGTGGAGGGACTGTAAACCTGGAGTGATGTGAGCTCGTCTGCTGGATTTGGTTAGGAGTCTGGCTGCTGCATTTTGGATGGCTTGAAGGCGTGAGAGGGAGGTTTTGCTGAGACCAGTAAAAAGAGCGTTACAGTAGTCTAAGCGTGATGACACAAAGGCATGGATGATTCTTTCCAGAGTGGAGGAGGAGATACCAAAGAGCACTGAATTAGAATAGTCGAGACGGGAGGTAATGAATACATGGACAACTGAATGGAGATGATGCCTTTTTAAAATGGGCTTAACTTTAGAGAGACGCCTCAGGTGGTAAAAACAGGTCTTAACTGCCTGGTTGACATGAATGTCCATTTCTAGTTTAGCGTCCATCACAACCCCTAAGTTAGTGACACGGGTTTTCAACCCACTTGTGATAAAAGGAAGGTTATTATACATAAAAGAAGTCCAGTTGCCTTCATCTGACTGAGAACCTTCACCAGCATATAGACAAAAGAGCAGATTTTTAGCTCACGAAAGGCGTGTCGATCGCTCTAAAAGCCGGCTCTATGAAGTGAACGGCGGGAGCCGCCTCATCATTGGTCAGGTTTGGACCGAGCCAACGCGAGGGGGAGGTTTCAACTACCAAGGTGGAGGTTAAAAGTAGAGGGTATTTGTAATCTCCCCCTCGCCAGATGGTATGTTCTAACGTTCCCCTTGGGCGGCAAATACGAAAATTCACAGTCAGAATGCATGGGAATCAAACGCTTGATCACAGTGAGAGTAACGTTTTAGGTAGCAAGAGGGTTAAGGTTAGGATGAGGGAGAGGGGAAGGTTATAAATAGTGAAACGTTAAGGTTTAGGTGCGGTTAAATGAGCTTGTTTGGTGCCCCGGCGACGGACATCCCATCGCGTCAGTGTAACGCTGCATTGGGATCTGCAGTCAGAAAAGGGAAAAACACCTTTTCGCACATAAGTGACGAAAAAGGGCACTTTTGGCGTCAGGGGTCTGACGCGGAGGGTGTCTGACCAAGCGTTTGTTTTTGACGCGCTGGGAGTGAGAATGTGTTGTTCTGGGAAGTTTCTCATTTATGAAGCGGAGACTGCATGAAGCTGTGCGTAGTCCATGTTTGATAGATCACAAACCTACTTGGCGTGAGTACATTTTTTTTTGCTGAGCTTAAGTACGGTTTTAGTAAGGATTCTATGCAATGTTTTATAATTGAGACCCCTGTACTTTAGCAAGAAACAGAGAAATTGCATGCGAAACTCACTTTAGAATAACTTTGATTTATTGAATTTACATTTATTTAATTAAAACTGTTTCACATGAAAGGAACCTTAAAGAGAACTGGTTTACCTGCGGGTAAATTGGAAGTTGGAGGAGGTGCTGGCAGAGACATTTCTGGGGCTTTCTGAGGGACTGCTGGCCGCTGAGGAGGAAAGAGAAGAAACACAATCTGTCACAGCGATTAAAGTGTGGTTTGTGCTGAAGCATGAATCTGCAGGATGATCATGACGGAGGCAGATCTGAAATGTTTCCACCAACCATCAGTAACAGTGGTTCTACATGTTAGGACGTGAGAAAATTCCCATGGTCTTTTCGGATGTCCGCGTGGGACAAAGTCTGACCGTCTTTCATCCTTCATACTGGAAGATCATTGAACGCCTCACAATGGCAGCAGCCCCACAGGGGATGCTCTTCAGCTACTTAAAATCAATATTCCATGAAAACTCACATGAGCATAAACATGATCTAAACGTTAAATCCATTAAAGTCCCACGTTCCCCATCAGCTGATCACGCCGGCATTCGACTTTCTACTAACACTTCAAATGTCTGTGAAACCAGGGGTGTTTCTCAATGCCAAGGAACCTTGCCTTGATATCTTGGCCCCTCCCCGCCCCCGTTGCCAAGGAGATACGTCTCTGGGAGCCGCCAAGACGTGTTCCAATGTTCATGTTCTACCGAGGCGTGTGTTCTCCATTTGTTAACCGTTTAGCTGCCTGAGCAAGGACACACGGGGGGTGTCTTGTAGCCTAGCCTTGGTCAAAACATACCCAGAACACACCGCGGTATTTTCAAAAGGACGGCGGACCAGAAGCGGGCAGCTACTTGGGGGATAAATTTCAAGTTTAAAAGTAAGTCAGCTAATTTTTTTTTTAATTTCCAAAGAAGCTATCTATTGTTGGTTAGTTGCTTTGTAGTTGAAGCTTCGGTGGCTAGTAGGTAGTAACTCGCTTATATTTTTAATTTAATAAACATATACGCAATTTAAAAAGTAAAAGGCTCGTTATATATTTATATTGAAACTAATACGTATAAAACATAACGTTATCTCCCGTGTCACGTGATTTTACGTGACCGCCGTGGAAGCCATGGTCACATGATGCAAGTCTGTTCTATTTAACCGTTTTCTTTGACCAAGGAAGGACAGCGTCCTCGTAAGCAAGGCGCCTGGCCTCGCAAGGTATCTCCTCGCAAGGCCAGGCGCCTTGCGAGGAGATACCTTGCGAGGCCAGGCGCCTTGACATTGAGAAACACCAAGTTCAAGACAAGGTCAACTTCATGTTCGTAAAGTGACCCTGATGGTATTTAGCTGTGACAGCCACCTAGAATGATAATTGTCTGTGCACACAAAATGGGGAGCCTAATTCACGCCCACCTGCTTTCAGTCCATGGGGCCCCTAATGTCAAAAAATGGACTCTAACTGCTCACCTCACCAAACTGACATCAAACCATAATGAGAAGACAAGTGTCTGAGTTTAGCGAGCTTCACATCCTTTTTCCAGGGCAACAGAAGGAGCATTAAACGTGGAGAAAAGCAAGCTAACAAATCTTAAAGTATGCGACAGATCTCCCCAACTTTCCCTCAACTTTTCAGTCCCTGCTTATTTGTGGTTCCAAAGAGCTGATCCGGTCCACAAATAAGACTGTTGGCTGCTGATTGGCTAGGGCGGGGGTCGGCAACCCGCGGCTCTGGAGCCGCATACGGCTCTTCCATCCATCTGATGCGGCTCTCTGTGCTTGTAAAATTATGAATGGATACCGTAAATCCTCTAATATTAGCCTGTATTTAATTAACTGCCGGGTATCATATTTTGGCCGGTGTCGGAGTCGGCGGAGGTGAATAATGGCTGGTTTTTTATTGTGGCCGGGTGGAATGTGGTAACAAGAAAGTACGGGGGGCGGTTGTGTCATCTGTCTCACTTTTGATTTGCCAGTGAAAGACCGCGAGGGTAACTTTGACCGTGCGGAGACGAAGAGGAGGCGAAAATTTGATATCAAGTTCAAAGAGAATGTGCTGATTATGCTGCAGAACACTCTGGGGAGCAGTAGCAGGGGTTGTATGAACTAGTCACTAGTCGACTTTACCGCTCTATAGTGACTTTTTATGCCTGTCATCGACTAGTCGCTGTCACGTGATAATGACTGGCAAGATGCAGTCCTCGGAAAAGACAGCAGCCTGCTGTCAGCAGGTGACAAGCTCCTGCGCGTCTGGAGGCAACGCGCTGTGTCAGAGCGTCGGTACTGACACCCGCCGTAAAACAGACATTTAACCAAATTGTGACGTTTACCCTCTTGCAATTTAACCTTCCCCTCACCCCCATCCTAACCTTAACCAGCTTGCGCATGCAAAGCTCTGATTGTTGACGCGCTCCAGACATCTGCGTCCTGAGCACGGCCACAGTAACATTATCAAATCAGGTGTCGCCACCTCAAAAACTAATTTAACACGCGATCGTTCATGTCAGCTCATTTCCTTTCATGTTTTCTGTCTTTTTATTCTTTTGTTTGTGCCTGAGGTGTTTCGCTGCTGTGGATCTCGGTAGATCTTTTAGAACTGCAGTTCAAAGGTAACTCATGAGGTGAATATATATGAACCCAGGTAGCAGTTTCTCTTTAGGATTGAGAGGAGATGCAGGAAGATAATAAACAGACAGGACAGAAAAATAGTCAAATAAAAACAAGTTAGTTTTTGTACCTGCTGGTTGCAACAAACAGACACCATTGAAGGTAATCAGAAGTGAGGAACAGAAAATGAAATAATTATTTTAATGTTTAGAGCAGCAGGAACTCCGAGAGGCTGCAGGCGCATCAGTGAGTTTGCGGCCGCTGCGCGGGGGGAGGGGGGAGAGGGCTGAAGCAGAAACTACAGTTGTTAAAAGAAATGTGTTTAACTTTGAAAATGTGGGCGCAATTTTAATTGTCAAAAACTCCAATGAACATTAGTTCATTTTGCTCAAATAGAAATAGAGGCCTGCCTCTAATACTGGCCCTCCTTCCAATAAAGGCCTGGAGCTTGATGAGCTTGAGTCAAATACAGACCCGGGCCTGTATTAGAGGATTTACGGTATTTAAATAAAATGCTTTATATTTTACTGAATTAATTTTATATCTGTACGTCAATTCTATGTAAAGATTGTCTGCGTAAACCTGAACAGGTCCAACCCGGTCTTACTGTGAGACCGGGTTGACGGGTCACGCTTGTGCGTAATCATATGCGCTTTCTGAGCTGAAGAGGATGTGAGATTCTGGGATTCTCCTCAGACGGCTCCTGGATGTGTCGCCACATTGGAGACAGGAACAAGCGCTATTCAGCCAAAGTTTCATAGTCAGGGAACATTTTCTAGGTGACAAGTCTCGCTTCAGTCGGAGGAATCTTCCCACAAGCGCTCTGGTTCTGCGATGCACTCCAAGCCCCTCTCCACATCTTCAGCTCGCTGTGGATCTTATGTAGTACACGCTGACAGTGAGCTGCGCTGAGCAGTGTCCAGCTCAGATGTTCAGATGGGAATCTTTTCTTGAGTGATTTAGCTACATCTGTGATGTGCGTAGAATAAAACGTCAGTTCGTCTGCATGCGTCGGGGTAATTCTTTCTATTCTTTCTCCGTCAAAATAAACGGTCAAACACGGGAACTGTCCGGTCAACACAACACAAGCCCTGCTTTTAACTGTTCTGTTTTCTTGTGAAAATTGTTGCAAAGAGATATAATTTAACTTGATTAACACCAGAGTCAGACGCACTGCGCCGTTATCTCCGTCACTGTAAATGAGGGAAAAACACATTGATCGGATCCTTTTCTGACCTTCCCCACCTACAAAGTTTAATTACAACAATCAAACGTGACAGAGCCTGGATTTGTATTCTGAACAGTCTAAACATGTTTTAAAAAGAGACGTATGACAAAAGTGGCACCTGCTCAGTAAAACCACCAACAGGGTGAAAAATATCTAAATATTGTAGGCAGAGACGGGCTACAACTTCTGGATCCACTTTATATAAATCGTTTTGATTATCGTCTTATGAAAGATAACTTTGACGTACACGAGCGACCGGTACCGGCTGCTGTCACCTGTTGTGATTGGTTAAAGCAGCTCACTGCCGTCTGAGGGTAGGCCCCGCCCACAACCCCGTGGCTGCTGTGGCTCCCAGTGTTTTCTTTACTGTGGGAAACGGGTAAGAATGGCTCTTTGATCAATATTTTTAATGTACCGTATTGTCCGGACTATAAGTCGCTCCAGAGTATAAGTCGCACCAGCCATAAAATGTATGATGAAGAAGAAAAAAACTAAGTCGCATTTTGGGGGGAAATTTTTTTATTTTTCTTACAAAATCTGAGACCAAGCGTTTCACATTGCAAGACAAGTACCGGTAACAATAACAGAATAAACAACGCGGGTGCAGCAGCGCACCATGGTCTCCAGCAGAGGATGGCGGTGTTTGAAACCCTCCCCGCGGGACAGGGGAGCTCATTTCTGGGTCAGAGCCGGCCCACAGCAGCGAGCCAGAGGCTGCAGCAGATGATGGCTGGGCAGAGGAGCTGAAACCTTGGTCGGATCCAGCCCGCAGCTGCGCGCCATAGTCTCCAGCAGGTGATGGCTGTGTGTTCCTGCGGGTCAGGGTAGCCCACTCCTAGGCCGGATCAGGTGTGTAACGGTGTGCCACAGGCTCCAGCAGGTGATGGCTGTGTGTTTTTTATTCCCAGCGAGGCAGGGACGTTCATTCCTGGTCTGTAGCCAGAGTTTAAGTAGCAGGACCGGCCAGACTATGAAAAAAAGTGTGACTTATAGTCTGGAAAATACAGTAATTTTTAGTATTTGAGATAAAGTAGCAGGCTAAATGCATTTCATATATTTCTAAAACTTAATACCTGTTTGTATCTTGTACAGCCAAGTAGCCTTTATTCTGGACTCAGTACAACTCACCAAAAGTAAAGAGACATTATACAGATGAAGTAAGCACAAGATAACTTACTGGAAGAAACGGAATTATCATGAGAACCAGAACAAGAGAGCCTGATAACGGTCATGTGAAAATAATAATTAAAAAGTATGTATGTGTAATAGAAATAAAAATATTATCATCAGGCTGATGAAGTTTGCAGCCGCAAACGAAACGTTGCAGGTAAATAAAACCTGTGTTTTAAAAAGAATTAAAAGACGGAATTAGAATTTCAACTTAGCAAAAACACACCAAAGAAATTGCACAAATAATATCCAAAAAAGAATAGACAAACGCTACAACTACTGGTCTAAGTTCAGAGACTAAAAATTGCGGAGCAGTTTTCAGGCGAGACCGGGGCTCAGACTGAGCTACTGAGGCCTTTCCACGGAGCTAGCTCTGTGGTCACGTGGGTCTGATGCTCATTAATTATACAGAATTTTAGGATTTTAATACACTTAAACAGAAGAGTGAGAAAAAAATCCACCCCCCTCAGAGTTGTCATGAGTGTAAACTAGATCATTTAAACCAAAAACATGTTCTGGTACCAGGCTGTAAACATGTTTATTTCTGCTGTGAAATTGGTATTTTTAACATGGGAGTCAATGAGGATTTGCTCGCTTCTGACACCAGCCCCTAGTGGATGAGGGTGGAACTGCAATTTATTTCACTTCCGCGTTGGCCTCAATTTCAGACCCGCATTGCGGGGGCTTGGTGCATGCGGGTGTAGGCTTGCATGCGCGCGCACACACACACACACACACACACACACAAAGTACCTGTGGCGATTGGGAGAGGTGAAAGCGGTCTGGACAGCGTTGGCGAAGGGGTCCCAATAGCCAAACTCCTCCTCTTGTTGTTACGGGAGCTGGGGGAGACACATTTGGTTGTGACACTTTAAAAGGTGATGAGGATGAAGACATGCTGATAACTGAGTCATTATCAGCACACAAGACTATAACAAGGTCAGCCTCTGAATGCAACAGCTGTGATAAGGAAAACAGATAAGTTTTACAGTTCTGGTTATGACGCTCATAGAAACACAGACCTGAACAACAACAAACAGCTTGCACCATAACAGGTGAAAAGGAGTGAAAAGATATGCAGCAAGCATTTTATTCATGGACGGAAATGACGGGAAACGTGGGTTTAGAGGTGGCGACCATATGAGGAGTATGAGAAACAAATTTGTCCGTGTTAAAAAGTCTCTTAAATAAAGAAAAACTCAATATAAACACACAGCAGCGCTACACACTCTGTTATCTCGACGGGGAATTGCTTTGCAACGCTCCCCGGGAGACGGAGAAGTCTGAGGGTAAATCGTCTCCGTCCACGTGTGCGTGTCTCTCCCTTGTGGAGCTGACAGACAAGTAGAAATTAGGCTTAATTACCTCTTGTTAGCTTCTAACATCAACAGAGAGTTACATGTATTCATAGGTGTAGCAACAACAGTAGTGACGGTGATTTCATTACCTTTAGAACACGTATGTATGGCACATATTTGCTCTAATGGGGCTATTTGGGGGGGGGGGGGGGGAATGACGGGATTATGGGTTATATGGGGTGATTTTAACCTGTAAAGCACTTTGAGCTGCATTTTTTGTATATGAAAAGTGTTATACAAATTGTTTGATTGAAAATGTTACAAAATTATGATTATTATTACTATTATTACTATTACTATTATTGTTATTATTATTATTATTATTTAAAGCACTCCTCTTCAACGGACAAGTTTGTTACAAGGTCATGAATGACTACTTTAGTTGGATACATTTGTGAGCACAATTCATTTTTGTGTACAAATTTTGGGGGTTAGGTTGGGTTGGGCATCGTTTGGGTTAGAACGATTTCTAGAACAGAATTCTGAAAGATTTAACCAATAAAACTAGGGATGCACCGATCAGGCTTTTTTGCTGCTGATCACTGATACCGATCACGTGGATTGGCCAGAAATTTTCTACAACATTATAATGAGTGCTACAAACTACATAATCTGGGAATAAAGGAAATGTAACCTAATCTAAAATGGTCTGTACTAGGGTCGTCACGGTGTGAAAATTTAACCTCACGGTAATTGTGACCAAAATTATCACGGTTTTCGGTATTATCGCTGTATTTTTTTTTTAAACGTGTTACATTTTCACACAATTAAATAAACCCTGCATGTCAGGAAATATTGTCCTCAGTTTGTGTCTAAATTTAGCCTAAAATGTGTTATTTTGTAATTATGTTGTTTATTTGTTTACATTTTTCCCTTTAGTCTTTAAAATACCAATATTTGCCCATAACTTCTTATTTTTTGTCTGTTTGATGTCATTATTTTAAAAATATTAGTTCAGATGATAATCAGTACTCAAGTAGCCTTCTAATCAGATACTTTTGTATCCTTACTTGAGTAATAAACCCTATATCAGGAAAATATTGTCCTCGGTTTGTGTCCTTCCGGTGAGCTTTGCAGATGTGGGAAAATGTCATCAGGCAGAAATCGTTGTTAAATTCATAATTATTCTCGGAGAGAGACCAACTCTTATCTGCCCCTGGGAGCCCCGTAATGCATAGCGTCATTTCAACATGGCGGTGTCCGCGACACGGTTTATATGCAGGTAGCGGCGCTGCGGCTGCTTTATATAGCGACTCGTTGCATTCTCCCTCAACCCAAATCCTCGGATCACGCATTTCAGCTAAAACGCTAACGTTAGCCTGCCTTGCATTGACTGTAGAGTTGTGGGTGATGGTCACGCAGATGTGTCATGAGATTTGAAGCGTTGCTGCCTTTCACAGACACTTTTTCTGCTCGTGCTGCAAACAGGATAGCCGTCTTCTATCAACTGTCCCTCGGCATTCTTCAAATATCCAAAACATGTCCGTACTTCCCACTTTGTCTTCTTTGAGGGATAATAAATGTCCTGAGCGCTGCCGTCTCCTCCTTTGACCATTATTTCAGCTTTAGCTTCAAGAAAGTTTTGGTTGTAAACAACAAAGTGCGCATGTGCCACCGGCAACTTCAGCAGATGATACGGTGGCTGGTAAGGGTCACCGCGCCTACACCGCAGCCACGGTAATCCACTGAGATAATATAGTTTTTTTAAAAACAAGACGGTTATTATTATTGTCAACTTTTTTTTTATCGGGGTTTACCGCTACACCGGTTACCGTGACAACCCTACCTGATCGGTCTGCTTTGATCCATTTTGAAAACTCTGATCAAAACCGATAGGGGCGCTATCGGCCGATTGGGATCAAATGCCGATCCATCGGTGCATCCCTAGTTTCCTGCAGGAAAGCTATATGGACCAAATCCTTCTTTAGAGAGTTTAATATGGATCTTTCCTTAACCACGTTTAAGCTTGACGCATTTACTTTCCGCTTGGTGATGCGGCTCGCGGATGGAACGCGCTTCACAACTTGCAGCGTTTATGGTTCATGTGGCTCGTCTCTGCGGTGAGCCAATATTCTCCCAAACTGTAGGGGGCAGCATGGAGCTCTACAGCATGCATCCAACACTACACCATAGAAGAAGTAGAAATTACTGTTTACAACATGGCATTCCAGCATTTTTTAATAATAATAATACATTTTATTTGAGGGTGCCAAACCCAAGGTCACCTTACAAAGATAAAAACAACAGAGGTTAGATAGGGCAATAAGAACAAACAAGATACATAAAAATTTGAAACAATTCTAAAGTCTAGGTCTAAAGGGAATAAACTTGTTTGAATAAGTGGGTTTTGAGGTGTGCCTCGAATAATGGAAAAGAGTCCGTATTTCTAACGGCAGAGAGAAGTGAGTTCCAGAGCCGGGGAGCAGAGCAACTGGAAGCTCTGCTCCCCATGGTGGTAAGGCGAGCTCGAGGTTGAACCAGATGAAGTGCAGATGAGGATCTAAGAGATCGGGAAGCGGTAGCAATAGTTAGTAAATTACATAGATAAAGTGGAGCCATGCTATGTACAGATTTAAATGATGAAGATTGGTGGAAGGGATGCATTTGGATTGGAGGAAATGTACAGCTAGGTGTCATCAGCATAACAGTGAAAATCAACGTTGTATTTGCGGAAAATGTAACCAAGAGGGAGCAAATAGATGATAAATAAAAGAGGGCCTAGAACTGAGCCTTGGGGAACTCCTGCAGTAACCGGGGAAGGACTAGAAGAGTGAGATTGAAGTTGAATTAACTGAGTACGATCAGATATGTATGAGGTGAACCAGGCTAGGGATGTGTGACTAAAGCTGATAGATGCTAATCTTTTGAGAAGTATGCTGTGAGAAATGGTGTCAAATGCAGCACTTAGATCTAGTAGAACCAGAATGGAGAGATGGCCTGAGTCTGCTGCCATTAGTAGATCACTTGTGATTTTTACTAGTGCTGTCTCCGTGCTGTGTTGTGGTCTGAAACCAGATTGGAATTGTTCATATAGATTATGAGAATTGAGATCTGAGTGAAGCTGAGAAGCAACAACTTTTTCAAGGATTTTGGAAATTAATGGTAATTTAGATATTGGACGAAGATAATCAAAGTTGGTGGGATCCGCACCGGGCTTTTTGAGAATCGGAGTAATACAGGCAGTTTTTAATGCTGCAGGAACAACTCCGGTACTGAGGGAAGAGTAAATGATGGTGGATATGAGAGGAACCAGTGATGGAAGACAGGCTTTAAGTAGCACTGTGGGGAGAGGGTCCAGCAGACCAGTGGATGATTTGGATTCCCTGATTAAATTTGATATCTCAGCTGCAGAGGGGAGACTGAAACTTGAGAATAAATGACTTGGAGTTGTAAGGATGGGTTCGACTTCTGAAACAGGAGCTCCAGTAGCATGGAGTTGTTGGTGAATATTTGAGATTTTGGATGTGAAGAAGGACATGAGGGAGTTGCAATAGTCAGAGGAAACCATACTGTTAAACAATAAATCAGGAGGCTTTGTAATTTTGGAGAACAGAGAAAAAAGGTCTTGGAGTTACCTTCACTGGAGCTGATTAGATTAGAGTAGTAAACCGACTTGGCTGTGTGAATGGAGTCTTTATAATGCAATAAGTGATTCTTATATAGCTCTTTATGGATGGTGAGTCCGGTTTTCTTAGACAAACGTTCCAATCTGCGTCCTTCGGATTTAAGACAGCGAAGGTCGTAGTTAAACCAAGGCGCTGAGCGGTTAAATGAGACAGATCTTTGCTTAATTGGGGCAAAAGTATTGAGAATGTTATTTAGATTAAAATTATAGTTAAAAACAAGATCCTCGGGTGATGAGGTAATGTGAGCAGGCTGTAGATCAGATATTGCAGAGGAGAATGCATCGAGATTTATATTGTTGATTTTTCTAAAAGCAATATTGCGAGGGATATGGGTTTTAGAGGCCTTTATAGTTACATTAAACGTGATTAACTTATGATCTGAAAGAGGAAAAGAACTGGCTATGCATTGGGCCGGGGTAATACCCGAACAGCAGACCAGATCCAGAAGATGGCCTTTGGAGTGAGTGGGGAAGTTGATCTGCTGTTTGAGTCCATAACTATCTAAAAAGGAAGTAAAGTCTCTGGTAAGAAGATTATTTTCATCCATGTGAATGTTAAAGTCACCAGTGATTATCAGATTGGGAGAGAGTATGGAAAGGTGAGTGAGGAGAGCAATAAAGGCATTTAAGAAGTCCTTATTCGGCTTAGGTGGGCGGTAGACAGTACATATGATGGTAGGAGTGGATCCAGGGAGTTGTAATGCGCTGTATTCAAATGAGTGGAAGGATGGAGCAGAGACTGAAGACTTTCCACTGCTTCCGGTGAATTATCACGAGACCTCCACCCCTCCCCGACTCCCGCGGTTTACAGATGTAAACAAACTCAGGCGGAGTGGAGATATTGAGTGAAATAAAGTCCTTATTAGGGTGTTGCCAAGTTTCATACAAGCAGAGAAAGTCAAGTTTATGGTCAGAAAGGAGATCGTGGATGAGATGCCCTTTTCCCGTAAGAGAGCGAATGTTCAGTAGGCCGAAGTTGATGGTGGAGTTGCCGTGTTTGATCGTATGCTCAGCCGACCTGGCTAGGTGGGCTAGCATGTGGTGGTTGGCAGTTCGGGTCTTTGTATGGGAAGGACGGCGGGTTTTGGACCAGAAGGAGCTGACTGCGCCAGACTCTTGGACACAGAAAGTTCGTCGGGATCCTCGATGAATGTATCTGCGGCGTGGCTGGAAGGCGATGTCTGGATGGAGATGCAGGGCCGCTGGTGGAGGAACCGGCAGGGAAAAGCGCAGCCATAAAAGTTCGTGAGCAGAATACTGAAGAAGAGCAGTCACTGGGTAGTGGAAGATGGACAAGACGACCCAGGTGAGCACGGACCACACCCATAAGCCGTGGATCCACATCTTTGTTTGACTGTTGAGGCTGAGCGAGCGTGTTTAAGCCCCTCAGACAGGCAGTTATTTCAGTCAGATGGGAAGGTTTTCGAAAAGGTTCGAATAACAGTTCAGGTAGGCATCCAAAATGGCACAAAATAGCGTAAAAATGTATAAAAGCAACGTAAAAACAACGAACAACCAGTGAGCAATGGCAGCCAGACGCGCCAGCGTTCACTCACCAGGACAATGAAATAAGACTCTGAAACTTGCTTTTAACAGCGTCCTTGTCTTTTCCGACAGTGCGAGCTATTTCTCTCCAAGAATTATTAACAACATGTTTATCACGGTGATCTCTGAGAGCTGAATCATACAAATGTCTGTATTTACCAACCTCTGCTATACTAGTTCTTGCCAGTTCGCCATGTTTTTCTGCGTCCGACCGTCCGCATGGTTAGAAAATTTCCTAGGTGCGCGGTGCGGAAAGTTTGAGCCGTGCGGAGGTGCGGTGGTTGTTAAAATGACGCAACTTTGCCGTGCGGACCTCGCGGACGCGTCAAGCATAAACCAACCTTAACTCGGAAGTGCCTTTTTTCCCCCTCCACCTGAACCAATCCTCATGTGACCCTCTGATCTCTATTAAGGTAGTGCGGCTCCGGTTGCGAATGACCACAGTCACCAATTCTTGTCATGCGTCTTTGCCTATGTATGCAAGTCTGATCTCTGAATTGTGTGTACTGAAACTAATTTCCCTCTGGGATTAATAAAGTACCTTTGAATTGAACATGAAATGAACAACACTACTTTTGCATTACTTTAAGTTACTTTCACCAAAACAACTTCAGTATGAATCTGGTCATGTGACGCTCAGTGAGCTCATGACATATATGTGGAAGGTGATGTGGTGTCTGAGCTAGGGTTGCTGTTAAAAACAGTCAGATATAATAACAGTACTTTAAAATGATTGTTTATTAAATAAAAGCAACAACAATCTGTACTCTCAACACGCTGCCATCTTATATTAACTGAGCAGGAAGTGAGGTGGTGGGGGCTCCAAGCCTATATTTGCCTTGGTCCTCAAATGTCTTGATACGGCCCTGGATGTGGGACTGACTTCTGGGGTGATCTGATTCTATCACATGTATAAATATTAAATGCTTATATATTATTGCTTTTCACTGGTAAAAATGTCTATTGGGGATAAATCTACCTACTTTTTTTTCTAGATGTTATTAGAATAATTTCCGGCCCTTTCTCTCTCTAACCTTCCTGCATGCTGCATGTTTTCTCTGTCTTCCAGAAAAACTTTTTCCTAGATTTCCTACTTTCTAACTAATCAGCCAAAGGGATCAACCAAACCAGCAGCAATGAGTTGAAATCACCGGGGCACAGATGATGAACTCAGCTGAAAAGTACATGAAGTACCAGAGAATAGGGGCTGATATAAACGATCACAAACGAATGACTTTGTTTTGGTGGAGCGATTTTGTGAATATAACAGCGGCCGCGCGCAGGACGCAGCTGGAGTATTTGAGCCATTACTGCTGTGTCCTCTCTGTTCATAGAATGCCCGCAAAGCTGAGTCCATAAATGACGTCATATATGTGGATACTGGATCTTTTTTCGGGCTTCCCGCAATTTGAATTTTTAGGAAACCCACATCTTGATTCTGGCTTTAAAAATGCGTTGTAATTACAGCGTTACTGACACTTGTACCGAGTAAATATTACCATTTTCTTTCCCTGTAATGCCTTACATTACCACATTACAGCAAAAAGCAATGCATTACAGTAATTAATTACTTTTGTACCGCGTTACTCCCAACACTGGTTAACTGTAATGTCCTACAGCAGACACCATTTAGTTTATATTCACATTAATAACATTACTTTTCTTTCCTTATACCTTTACCTTTGCATAACAAAAAGTAACCTTTAGCCTAAAGTAACAGCTTTATTTATTTCAGAAAATACAATTTCATAATTTCATACTTAAGTTGGCCTATAGTCTTTTCTTTCACATCAGCCACAAGTAACTTAATACTTTGTTTAATTTGTCAAAGAGTGACAAAATAATCCAACTAAACGTGCAGTTCAGACCAGTCATTTCCTCTAAGCTAAGTTAGCTCCTAGCTTAGGCTGCATGGTGATAAACGCATCAACTCACTTCAAACTAAACACAAGAAAACGTTCGTTTTGTTGTCAAACTTAACTCGAAAATTCTATTTAGTTTTCAAAGTTTGGTAGAAAAGACACTTTGAAACCACTGTAAACAAACGTGCTTCACATTTACTCTGATCGTGCTCCGTTATCAAAACAGAGGGCGGCGCTGTCTCAAACAACAACGAGCCTGAATCAGCAGTCGGCCTGAAGCTGCTGTCTCGGGTCTGCAGCCAGTCTGACTGACTGAGACAGACAAACACACGCAGACAAGGCCGGATGTAGCCGACTGTTTAAGAACTGAAACGCAATTTTATCCTTTAGAATGTTTCCACCATGATGCGTTCACGCGCCGCGGGTAAATCCACCAGCACAACATAAACGTTCAACAATTGGTTTGAAGGTTTCACCACTAACGCATAAAGACCGCATAACGTCTCGTTACAGTAGGACAGCAGGCTCTAGTTACCCTTTGGATCTCTTCACCATGGCTCCTGGCAGGAAACTGGTTTTGTAGCTCGGCAGCACGGTCCAGTAGTAGTTCTGGTCAGACATGTTGGCGGTGAGCGAGCAGGCCTGTCGAGATGTGAGAATGGGTATCCTCTCACCAACGCGAAAGCTTCATGTTTACTTCCCTCCCGGTAGATGTGCAGTCATTAGCTGTGGCTAGGCCACACCAACGCCTTAGATGGAGATCTTAAAGGGTCTGGGCCACACTGGCGAGTCCAATAACGTAAACTCCATTCTGCTTCGGGACCAACTGACCACAGAACCGCGGCGGGGCAGCTCGGTAGGGCAGAAAAGCTGGAACGGTCATGTTCAGTCTGCACCTTTGTATTATTATTATTATTTTAAGTCAGCAGACCTTCCGAACCGAGCCATTGTCAAAGAAGCCCTTCGTCATCGACCAGAATCTCCGTTTAATCAAACTTTCCAGCTACATCGCGCGCACGCGTGATTTGCATCCGTAGGATGTCCAAGGAAGGTCCCGCCTTTCTTGCCTCTGATTGGCTAGAAGGGCTCTACTACGATTGGCTCATCATTTAGCAGCAAACTGTCTTCCCTCACTAAGATGAAGATGTTTTATACAGCGCCTCTCAAGATGAGGCGCTTCACAAAAACAAACAAAAAGTATAAAAATGTTTTTAAAAGGAGAAAAGATTTAAAAAGGAAGGAAGGAAAGGGAGAGAGAAAACCAATTGGAAAGAGGGAAATCAATGGATCCCGGAAAGACTGAATAAGGAGAGGGTGGTGACGAAGGTCATGCAAAAGGCTGCGTGAACAGGTGAGTCTTCAGCTGCTTTTTAAAGGAGACCACTGAGTCCACTGATCTCAGGCTCATGGGGGAGAGAGGTCCAGAGTCTGGGGGCCACAGCAGCAGATGATCTGTCACCTTTGGTCTTTAGCCTGGTGCTGCACAACCAGGCCCTAAAAACTAGAACCTGGATCTTGAAATGAAACCCTGAAGTTGACTGGCAGCCAGTGAAGCTGGAGGAGAAGAGGGGTGATGTGGGTGTGTTTGGAAGTGTTGACGCAGCCATTTGAAGACAGGAGAACCGACGGCCAGTTACCCTTGACGGAGGAACGAACAAACACCATGCAGGCACTACTCAGTGGGGACCGGTAGTCGTAGTACAAGCACCACTCCCTTTTATTTATGCATGCACATGAATCAGGCACAGCTGTAAGAGCACCACTAATCAACAAAGCTCAACACCCCCACTTGCTCTTATACAGTGAACTTATTATCCATTATGACAAAATCAGTTTGCACTCCAAACAAACATTTTTTGAATCTATCCATCTTGACCTTTGTTACAGACTTTGTTAAAACATCTGCAACCATGTCTGTTGTTGGACAATACTTAATGGTTATCTTACCATCATTCAGCATAGATCTGTGATGGACAGAAGACGGAAGCTGTCGAGCTCCGAGGGTGTGGTGATTGGACACCAGCTGGTCCTCGTTATGGATAACGAGGCCAGGGAGGATAAAAGGGTGACAGACCTACTGAGAGGTGTGCGTGGTCGACCTGTCATTGTGGCATCGGACTTTGGGGGGTGGGGTCGTTCGCAGCCGGGTAGGGCTGCCGGCGACGAAGATAGCTGAACAGGTGTTTGGTGTTCCAGCGCCAGGAGGGAAGGCTGGTCGCCTTCTTTAGACAGTTAGGGCTGGGCATAGGTGATGCCAAGGCCGCGCCGACATCTGCCGCTACGGACTCTGGCAGTGGACTTATGTTGTGGATTTACCCGCCGTCCTCGCAAGCTACATCCCGGGGCGTTGGACGGCGTTGGAAGCTCAGACCCCGGGGACGGGGGTCACACCATCCGTGACAGCTAAGTACCGCTGCTTATGTGACTCATGCTGGACAGTTGGTTTTAGAAGAGAGGGCTTGGGCCATGGTGTTTTATCATTGTGTTTTATTATTGACTGTGCAATAAAGTGTGTCTTTTATAAGTCGTTGCCTACTGGTGGTGTGTTCAGGTTCTGACCGGAGGGCAAGATATTCTGCCCGTGCTGCCCACGGCTACTTTTATTACAGATCTAATGAAGTGATACTTTATGTCTATGTGTTTACATCTCTGACGACAGACTGGCCTCTTAGACAAAGCGATAGCACCTTGATTATCTCCAAAGATTTTTACAGGCACATAACAGTCGATCCTTTTATCAGTTGCAAAACATATACAGGTGCTGGCCAGTAAATTAGAATATCATCAAAAGGTTGAAAATATTTCAGTAAGTCCATTCAAAACGTGAAACTTGTACATTATATTCATGCAATGCACACAGACCAATGTATTTCCGATGTTTATTACGTTTAATTTTGATATTTATAGGTGACAACCAATGAAAACATCAAATCTGGTATCTCAGAAAATTAGAATATTCTAAAGGCCAATGAAAAAATGTTTGTTTCTCTAATGTTGGCCAACTGAAAAGAATGAACATGAAAAGAATGTGCATGTATAGCACTCAATACTTAGTCGGGGCTCCTTTTGCCTCAATAACTGCAGTAATGCGGCGTGGCATGGACTCGATCAGTCTGTGGCACTGCTCAGGTGTTATGAGAGCCCAGGTTGCTCTGATAGTCGTCTTCAGCTCCTCTGCATTGTTGGGTCTAGCGTATTGCATCCTCCGCTTCACAATACCCCATAGATTTTCTATGGGGTTAAGGTCAGGCGAGTTTGCTGGCCAATCAAGGACAGGGATACCATGGTCCTTGAACCAGGTGCTGGTGGTTTTGGCACTGTGTGCAGGTGCCAAGTCCTGTTGAAAGGTGAAGTCTGCATCCCAATAAAGTTGGTCAGCAGCAGGAAGCATGAAGTGCTCTAAAACTTCCTGGTAGACGGCTGCATTGACCCTGGACCTCAGGAAACAGAGTGGGCCAACACCGGCAGATGACATGGCACCCCACACCATCACTGACGGTGAAAACTTTACACTGGACCTCATGCAACGTGGATTCTGTGCTTCTCCGCTCTTCCTCCAGACTCTGGGTCCTTGATTTCCAAAGGAAATGCAGAACTTGCTTTCATCAGAAAACATAACTTTGGACCACTCAGCATCAGTCCAGTCCTTTTTGTCCTTGGCCCAGGCGAGACGCTTCTTGCGCTGTTTCTTGTTCAAGAGTGGCTTGACACACGGAATGCGACACCTGAATCCCATGTCTTTCATGAGTCTCCTCGTGGTGGTTCTTGAAGCGCTGACTCCAGCTGCAGTCCACTCTTTGTGGATCTCCCCCACATTTTTGAATGGGTTTGTCGTCACAATTCTCTGCAGGGTGCGGTTATCCCTAGAGCTTGTACACTTTTTTCTACCACATTTTTTCCGTCCCTTCGCCTGTCTGTTAATGTGCTTGGACACAGAGCTCTGCGAACAGCCAGCTTCTTTAGCAATCACCTTTTGTGTCTTGCCCTCCTTGTGCAAGGTGTCAATGATTGTCTTTTGGACAGCTGTTAAGTCAGAAGTCTTCCCCATGATTGTGGTGCCTTCAAAACAAGACTGAGGGACCTTTGAAGGCCTTTGCAGGTGTTTTGAGTAAATCAGCTGATTAGAGTGGCAGCAGGTGTCTTCTATATTCAGCCTTTTCAGAATATTCTAATTTTTTGAGATACCAAATTTGGAGTTTTCATTAGTTGTCACTTATGAATATCAAATTTAAATGTAATGAACATTGGAAATACATTGGTCTGTGTGCATTGCATGAATATAATGTACAAGTTTCACGTTTTGAATGGAATTACTGAAATATTTTCAACCTTTTGATGATATTCTAATTTACTGGCCAGCACCTGTAAACTCTCCTGTACTGTGGCAGCTAGAGCTACAGTGGTGTGAAAAACTATCTGCCCCCTTCCTGATTTCTTATTCTTTTGCATGTTTGTCACACAAAATGTTTCTGATCATCAAACACATTTAACCGTTAGTCAAAGATAACACAAGTAAACACAAAATGCAGTTTTGAAATGATGGTTTTTATTATTTAGGGAGAGAACAAAATCCAAACCTACATTGCCTTGGGGGGGGGGGGGGGGGGTCACGAAAATAAACAATCAGTGATGAACAAGAGTCTGCTTCTAGACCTGCAGAAGGAGAAAAAAACAAAAGGGACACACAACAACACAACAGGAGCAAGCTATCACTGCATCAACCTGATGAGGAAACATTACATCAACATTGTTTAACTGACCAATCACACGATAATAAATCACAGTGCATTTAGTGCCAGCCACAGCCTTAAGACATGTGTTGAACGTGCCCAAGTCCATACTTATGAGAGCACCATGTGAGCACCTGTGTGTGTACACGCGGTTGTTTATGTAAGGTTTCTCTATAGGAGCGTCCAATAGAGTGTGAGGGGCCACAGATCTGCCCCCAAAGATGTGTAGGAGATAGAGGGAGCTCCAAGTCCCAGAGATCCAGGAGTTGCCCCAGAGTGCAGGGACCCCAGGGAGATTGTAACCAGAAAAGCCCCTGCCCCCTCTCTAGAGGCGCAGAGGATTGCCCCGGGGTGGTCACAACCAGCAGCCGGCAGAGTCCCAAGAGATATCAGCGGCAAGCCTACAGGCCCGCCCACAGCCTCCCAACCCCAAGCTGGCCGAGCCCGGAACCCAGCGACCCAGGACCCAGCGGCGACCAGTCCCGCCGGGGACCCAACAGAGCCCAGGGACCCAGATCCCACCAGGCAGCCAGCGGGACTGATCAGGCAGACTCCATAAATCTTAAACCCCTTGACCCGGGAGCCGCGAACACTCAGGCAGACCAAGGTACCACACTCCACACCAGGTGTGGCAGGGAGAGGGCAGGCGAAGATGTATTGTAGCACAAGAAGTCCGAGGAGAGGGGAGGAGTCCAAGACCCCACCCTGACGTATACAGCCATACACAGACACATGTAACTTCTTTCCACCCTCAGCTTCTGAAAAGCACTCCAGTCAACCTGCTGCGCCTGTGAGTGTCTCACACCTGCGGGACTAATTGTGGCTCTTCCACTGCTCAGTTCAGAAGTAACCCAAATGTTTCTGTGGAGTTCCACAGAGGGAAAAAGGAATACAAACCAATGCAAATCACAAAACCATGGAAGAAGTAAAAACAAATCATGCAATTTAAAATACAAACATTTCCCACTATGCTACACACACTCGGACCATTCGTGAACTTCGCTGGTTTCCCCAGGTAACGGCTCATCCAGCCTCACAGTTCTCAGTCATGAGTATAGGACTGGATGGGCTTAATGTAACCCGCGACTCCACTCGCAATTATTTACTGTACTGTTGGCTGAGCTTGTCCCAAGCTGCATGCCTGGGATGTCACCTCCTCTATAAGGATCTGCTGTAAGCGAGGTAGGAATGTGTAGATGCACACCCTCGTCCCTTTTAACCCGGGACACAACCCAGGAACCACGGCAAAGCAGCAACCCTCCTGGGCTCGACGGAACGCTCAACGGCTGAATGTTGGTTCTCTCCTCGCCGACGCCGTGCCTCTCTCAACTCCGTACTCCCAGATTGGGAGAACTTATGCTTCTTCGGGGCCTACACTGCACAAAGAGCAACTCGTCACTACCCCACTCCTTGTAGGCTACCAAAGGGATGCCCCTTTGGCTGACTGGCTAGCGCGCATGACTCTCATCGGCGAGTCTGGGGATCGACTCCTGCCTGGGCCCTCGTTTCTCCATCTTGCCACACGAGGAATGCAGCAAAGCATTAGTGAAGCCACTGGGGGTTGTATCAACTAGACGACTTCACTGCTCTGTGGTGACTTTTTATGCCTGTCATTGACTAGACGCTGTCACGTGATAATGACCGACAAGATGCAGTCCTCGGAAAAGACAGCAGGTGACGAGCTCCTGCGCGTCGGGAAGCAACGCGCTGTGCCAGAGCGTCGGTATCTGACGCCCGCGGTAAAACGGACATTTTACCAAATTGTGACCTTTACCCTCTTGCAATTGAACCTTCCCCTCACCCCCATCCTAACCTTAACCAGCTTGCGCATGCAAAGCTCTGATTGTTGACGCGCTCCAGACATCTGCGTCCTGAGCACGGCCACAGTAACATTATCAAATCAGGTGTCGCCACCTCAAAAAATAATTTAACACGCGATCGTTCATGTCGGCTCATTTCCTTTTATGTTTTCTGTCTTTTACTTGTGCCTGATGCGTTTCACTGCTGTGGGGTGGAGCGCATCACCTTGTCCTCCGGTGATTTCATCTCAGTGGTGCAGCCGGCGCGCAGCACGCACTCCGCTGTTTTTGCGGTTGAAAGGTAACTCATAAGGTGAATATATATGAACCCAGGTAGCAGTTTCTCTTTAGGATTGAGAGGAGATGCAGGAAGATAATAAACAGACAGGACAGAAAAATAGTCAAATAAAAACAAGTTAGTTTTTGTACCTGGTGGTTGCAACAAACAAGACACTATTGAAGGTAATCAGAAGTGAGGAACAGAAAATGAAATAATTATTTTAATGTTTAGAGCAGCAGGAACACTGAGAGGCTGCAGGCGCATCAGTGAGTTTGTGGCCACTGTGCAGGGGGAGGGGGGAGAGGGCTGAAGCAGGGGGAGGGGGGAGAGGGCTGAAGCAGGGGGAGGGGGGAGAGGGCTGAAGCAGGGGGAGGGGGGAGAGGGCTGAAGCAGGGGGAGGGGGGAGAGGGCTGGGGCAAGATGCAGAAACTACCGTTGTTAAATGATAAATGACCCGCACTTGTATAGCACCTCTCAGAGTAAGGACTCCAAAGCGCTTTACACTACAGTGTATCATTCATCCATTCACACACACACACACATTCACACACTGGTGGGGATGAGCTACGATGTAGCCACAGCTGCCCTGGGGCGCACTGACAGAGGCGAGGCTGCCGGGCACAGGCGCCACCGGTCCCTCCGACCACCACCAGCAGGCAAGGTGGGTTAAGTGTCTTGCCCAAGGACACAACAGCAGAATTCTCTGTCCGGAACTGGGATCGAACCTGCAACCTTCCAATTACTGGACAACCCGCTCAACCTGTTGAGCTACTGCTCAAATGTCAAAATGTGGGCACAATTTTAATTGTCAAAAACTCCAGCGACCCCCCCCCCCCCCCCGCTTCAGGTGTATGACGTCATCGACGTCATCAACTGGTCAAAGTCGACTTTAAAAAAATTAAGTCATGCAGCCCCTAGAAGCCACAACACACACAACACTGAGCCGGATGGACTACAGCAGAAGACCCCACTGGGCATGCTGGGTAAATGTCCTTACTAACATGGACCAAGAACACCGTTTTGTTTTTTAGATCACACCTCAGCAGAGAGGGAGTCAAGATGAAACACAGCGATGTGTGTGCTTCCAAGCTGACCATCCCTTCATGACCACCATGTTGAATCAATGCCACATAGAATTAAGGCACTTCTGAAGGTGGAAGGGGGTCAAACACCCACATTATTATGGTGTTCCTAATAATCCTTATATATAAATATAATTTTTGGGATTATAAATAACAATATTTGTCATTTATTTTCATGGTATTTATCCATTTTAGCCTAGTAATTCAGCTTAGACATAATTTCCGATGATGAATGAAGTTAAGAAGCATAAAATGTGAGGAGCTGTTTGAGAGCCACTTAATTTAAGTGAGCCGAGCCACAAATACTGGTTCTCTTAAAAAAGCCTAAATTCCCATCACCAGTTCCCAGACCTGGGAATTTTTAAATCTCACTTTTGAGTTTCAGCTATGCCGATTCTAACCACCAGTCAGCTGTTGCAGCTGTGTCTTCCATCAACGTCCACGGTCATGTCATCACAGAAAATCAATTCTGTTGGATAAAAACACAGCTGGTGTGAAACAGGAAATCGTCCTTTATTAAAATAACAAACAACAACAAAACACCTCTAAAATCACAAACGTAACATGGACGACACACATCAGCGGTCAGTGAGAGGCCTGCGGTCACCTAAAGGACCCCTAAATCTCTGCATTGGTTCAATAAACAACAGAAACCTGATTTTATAAAGGAAACAGAATGAAAATGTAAAATAACACAAATCAAACTCTTCACCACCAGTTTGTCTGACTTGAACATCAAACCTGCATTTTCTAAACAAACTGGTAAACACATTCATGTTCCTGAGTCTGAAGCTGTTCTGTTGCGTTTCATATAAACGTATTCAAGCTGCACTAGAACTTTGACTTCCTGTTGCTCTTTGTAGAGGTGAAGCTCCTGGAGGAGGCAGGAGGAGAAGGGGAAGCAGCCGGATCCCAGTCCAGGCTGATGGTGTTCAGCTGGGCAGAGGAGAGGGCCAGACTTTTGGTGTTTCTTCTAGCTGAGGAGACCGGAGACCTGCAGAGCAGAGACAACTTATAGTTCCAGTTTACAGCTCCGCCAAGCTATAGTCTACACAGATTCAGTTAAGTGTTCCCTTTAGCACGCAGCTTCAGATCTAACCCTAACCTACAGACTTCACCCATCGCTAAACCCGGACCTGGGGGAGGTGGAGGCCGAGTTAGCTCTGGAGCTCCTGCGGCTGCTGAGAGTGGAAAGTGGAGATGGAAGGTGCAGGTTGGCCTGAGAGACAGCAGACAGAGATGATCATGTTAAGCTATCCTGCTATTTCATTCGCTCTCCTACAACAGCACAATGTGGGCTGATTTATACCTGCAGGAGGGATTTCTCCAGCACTGATCTGAGGTCATCATTGTCCTTCATGACTTTATGCAGCATCTCGTTGATATTTTTGTTGAACTCCTTCAACTCCTTCAGCTTGATGTCCTGCAACTCCAGAGTCTCAGCTTTGGTGTCTTTAGCGGAGCAGATTAGTTTGGTCAGTTTGGAGCTCTGAACGTAACAAAAAACATGAAGCTTAGCTGAGCCTTACGTTGCGTCTGTTCCTCAAACAGCCACATATGAGTTTCATTAGAAATGTTGAATGATGGCAAATCAGACCTGCTTTGTGGCTCTGTCGATTTTCTCCTGCAAGGACGTCGTTTCTCTGTTCAGTTTAGCGGTGAGAGTCTGTTTGTGATGCATCTCACGTCTCTCCACCTGGTCGTCCTGCATCAGCCTCTCCAGTGTCTGGTTCATGTCCTGGAAGTGTGTGGCATGCATACAGACTAGGGTCGTCACGGTGTGAAAATTTATCCCCACGGTTATTGTCAGTAAAATTACCACGGTTTTCGGTATTATCGCGGTATTTTTTTAAACGTGTTACATTTTCAGACAACTAAATAAACCCTGTATATCAGGAAAATATTGTCCTCGGTTTGTGTCTAAATTTTGCCTAAAATTTGTTATTTTGTAATTATGTTGTTTATTTGTTTACATTTCCCCCGTTAGTCTTTAAAATACCAATATTTGCCCATAACTTCTTTTTTTTGTCTGTTTGATGTCATCATTTAAAAATATTAGATCAGATGATACTCAGTACTCAAGTAGCCTTCTAATCAGATACTTTTTTACCCTTACTTGAGTAATAAACCCTATATCAGGAAAATATCGTCCTCGGTTTGTGTCCTTCCAGTGAGCTTTTCAGATGTGGGAAAATGTCATCAGGCAGTAATCATTGTTAAATTCATAATTATTCTCGGAGAGAGACCAACTCTTATCTGCCCCTGGGAGCCCCGTAATGCATAGCGTCATTTCAACATGGCGGCGTCCGCGACACGGTTTATATGCAGGTAGCGGCGCTGCGGCTGCTTTATATAGCGACTCGTTGTGTTCTCCCTCAATCCAAATCCTCGGATCACGCATTTTAGCTAAAACGCTAACGTTAGCTTGCCTTGCGTTGACTGTAGAGTTGTGGGTGATGGTCACGCAGATGTGTCATGAGATTTGAAGCGTTGCTGCCTTTCACAACTGCGGTCAAGTGAGCCGCACCTACAATTGAAGTGCGCATTTACATGGCTGCTGGAGAAGAGCTGAGATGAGCGAAAGAATGGGCTGAAAACAGGATGACAGAGCTGCTTAATGTGCATTTTTGATACACACATACTAAGTACCTCGAGTACTACCTGGTACCAAAGTATGAACTACTTTTACTGTGTACTTTTTAAGTAATTGTACTTCAAAATACGTACAAAAAACGTGCCGTGTTTGAGATAGGATAAAACGGTATTTGGGAAAAAGGACATTAGGCCACCTATACACACATACTAAGTACCTCGAGTACAACCTGGTACCAAAGTATCAACTACTTTTACTGTGTACTTTTATCAGTAATTGTCCTTCAAAGTATGTCCAAAAAGCTAAACGTGCTGTGTTTGAGATGGGATAAAATGGTATTTGGGAAAAAGGACATTAGGCCACCTATACATACGTACATACTAAGTACCTTGAGTACTACCTGGTACCAAAGTATGAACTACTTTTACTGTGTACTTTTTCAGTTATTGTACTTCAAATTACGTACAAAAAACTCAACGTGCCGTGTTTGAGATAGGATAAAACGGTATTTGGGAAAAAGGACATTAGGCCACCTATACACACAACACATACTAAGTACCTCGAGTACTACCTGGTACCAAAGTATGAACTACTTTTACTGTGTACTTTTTCAGTTATTGTACTTCAAATTACGTACAAAAAGGGATTTTGATCCCAAAAGTAAAAAGTAAGTAAGATAAAATTTTATATAAATTACTTGCTAATTGTTTCTTTCTTTCTTTGTACAAGCTGGTCTGTTTGAAGTTCAACCAGATGTGGGAGTTTTAGCAGGCGTTCATAAATAACTCTTTAATGTGATTCTGGTAACCTGCCGTATTCTGATGGCTCTTTTCTGAAGTGAGTGTACAGGTTATGAAGAGTTGTGTTTTCCCAAACTTCAACGCAACAGTTCGAATATGGCCAAAAAGTGACCAATATACGAAATGTCATGCTTGATTATTCAATACAGATTTTGCTTAAAGAGCAAGTCACCCCCAAATCACATTTTTTTTGCTGGTAAACTATATAAAGGAGTGTCTAATCATGCTGCAGACACGTGTCGTCAATAATTTGGCAGTTCAGTGCATCTTGGTTAAAATTCAAATATTCTGCCTAAAACTGTCAGTGTTGCGTCGTCATCAGGGAAAAATTCTGCACTGTATTTGAATTTAAATCTGCCACCGTTATTGGCTAAGAGGTATGCTATGATGTCATCTGGTATATTACGATGTCATAATGCCATTGTGAGCCTGTGAGTGTGTGTATTTGTTAGCGGCTCCGCCCTCTCGGTCTGCCAAGAAACAGCATTTGTTGCATTTTTCAAACATGAAGTGGGAGTGAAGTAAGTTTCTTGTAGGGGGTGACTTGCTCTTTAACTAAGGATTGAAATACTCCAAAATACTTTAGGTTGAATACAGTATGTTGAAAGTGAGGTTTCCGCTGTCGGTACAGGATCGGCTCGGGGTCCTTCGACTGCCGATGACGTCACATGACTGCAAATCTACTCGGCTTTCACACACACGTTTTGGAAAGACATCAGCAGTTTTGTTAATAAATTCTTGTTTGTTAACACCTAAATGTTTTCTTTATAATTGTAATTTGTTAATATAACACCGTATTATCTTTGTTTTGTAAAGAATATGAAACTGCATAAAACCAACATCGGACTGACAAAAACTAGAACAGTTCTTATATGTGAAGCCACATCTGTTAGTATTAATGTGGAGTTCGTCTGTATATTTCCTTAGTTGTTATCTAAATACATTCTTTGATTCAAAATATTGCTTGGTGTCTTTCAATAAAGTTATTATGTTTTATTTTGCCCCATTTCATCAACATCAAGAGCTTTTGAGGGTCAGCGTTTATCATTTGCTCATATTTTACATTTCCTTTAGAAATTCTAACATATTTTCTCCAAAAAGTGTTGATTTTTGGACTACAGGACTACAACCGCTAAGACTACGACCGCAAATTTGTTCTGACCAATCAAAATCATAACGTGATAACGTCACTTCCATAAGCTTCATGTTCAGCCAATCAACTACTTTGACGTCATCGGCAGTCGAAGGACCCCGAGCCGATCCTAAACCCGAGCCGAGCCGATCCTGTACCGACACCGGCAGATCTTGTGATCTATCACCCATAAACTAGATTTCATTAAATCTTAAAGTACTTAAACCATCTATCACGACTTTACAATTGTATTTCCCAAAAATGATTCCCACACAGTATACCATTTTTTAAAATCAAACCAGGTTATTAGTTTGTTAAATTGAGTAGACCTCGCTCAGAAGGTCCTGTAAAGTCTCCCCTTCAAACAATAGGTTACTATCACCTATGAACCCATACTGGCTGTTAGATAGAAGTTTGCATTCATGAATGAATTGTCCAGAATTTAGTCAAATAACATTTTATCGTTTTTGAAAAACTTTTTCTTTGTATCTCAAAAAAATTACTTTTTTTCCTTAGTTTGAATTACAATAACAGGTAAAATGAACAATAAAAGTAAAAATAGAACCACATGGTACAATACTATAGTACTAGGAAGTTGGAATGAGTCTCCAGATGTCGTAGTGTCCTTTTTCCCAAATACCGTTTTATCCTGTCTCAAACACGGCACGTTAGCTTTTTGTACGTACTTTGAAGTACAATTACTTAAAAAGTACACAGTAAAAGTAGTTCATACTTTGGTACCAGGAAGTACTCAGGGTACTTAGTATGTATGTATAGGTGATCTAGTGTCTTTCTTCAAAATACAATTTTATCCTATCTCAAACTCGGCACTTTTGGCATTTTGGACATTTTAAGTACAATAACTGAAAAAGTACACAGTAAAAGTAGTTCATACTTTGGTAGCAGGTAGTACTCGAGGTACTTAGTATGCATGTATAGGTGGCCTAGTGTCCTTTTTCCAAAATACCGTTTTATCCTGTCTCAAACACGGCACGTTAGCTTTTTGTACGTACTTTGAAGTACAATTACTTAAAAAGTACACAGTAAAAGTAGTTCATACTTTGGTACCAGGAAGTACTCAGGGTACTTAGTATGTATGTATAGGTGACCTAGTGTCCTTCTTCCAAAATACAATTTTATCCTATCTCAAACTCGGCACTTTTGGCATTTTGGACATTTTAAGTACAATAACTGAAAAAGTACACAGTAAAAGTGGTTCATACTTTGGTAGCAGGTAGTACTCAGGGTACTTAGTATGCATGTATAGGTGGCCTAGTGTCCTTTTTCCAAAATACCATTTTATCCTATCTCAAACACGGCACATTAGCTTTTTGTACGTACTTTGAAGTACAATTACTTAAAAAGTACACAGTAAAAGTAGTTCATACTTTGGTAGCAGGTAGTACTCGAGGTACTTAGTATGCATGTATAGGTGGCCTAGTGTCCTTTTTCCAAAATACCGTTTTATCCTGTCTCAAACACGGCACGTTAGCTTTTTGTATGTACTTTGAAGTACAATTACTTAAAAAGTACACAGTAAAAGTAGTTCATACTTTGGTACCAGGAAGTACTCAGGGTACTTAGTATGTATGTATAGGTGACCTAGTGTCCTTCTTCCAAAATACAATTTTATCCTATCTCAAACTCGGCACTTTTGGCATTTTGGACATTTTAAGTACAATAACTGAAAAAGTACACAGTAAAAGTGGTTCATACTTTGGTAGCAGGTAGTACTCAGGGTACTTAGTATGCATGTATAGGTGGCCTAGTGTCCTTTTTCCAAAATACCATTTTATCCTATCTCAAACACGGCACATTAGCTTTTTGTACGTACTTTAAAGTACAATTACTGAAAAAGTACACAGTAAAAGTAATTCATACTTTGGTACTGGGTAGTACTCGAGGTACTTAGTATGTATGTATAGGATGCTTAGTGTCCTTTTTTAAAAACACAATTCTATGCTTTATCAAAAAGGCACATTTAGCAGCTCTGTGTCATGCTGATGCAGCATTATCACTTGTACTGCTTCGTTTTTGCACAGAACAAGACCCCCCCACACACACACACACACACACGCACGTCTGTCTTTCTATCATAATGAGGACCCTCCATTGACTTCCATTCATTTTTGTGATTTCACCATGCCTAACCCATACCCTAACCATAACCAACGCTGATCTATTCCTAACCTTAACCTTAACTAAAACTTAATTCACACCATACCTCTAACTGGTATAGTAAGCTTCTGGTATGCTTCTAAAAAAAAGAGGACCCAAAAAAATGTCCTCACTTTGCAGTGAAAATGGTCAAAATGGGCCTCAGTATGTAGTACGTACAAGAACACACACACACACACACACACCCACCCACCCACACACACACACACACACACACACACAGCCTGAAACACAGAATGCGGAATGCAGAATATCAGCAGGGGGCAGACTGAGACAGAACATCATGCGTCTGTGACAGTGTGTGTCCTGTCACTGTGACCCGATTGATCATGCGCCCTGGCTACTTGGACAGGGGAGATCTCCGTTTGGGTGACTGGTTAGCACACGTGACTTTCACCCGGGAGTCTGGGGATCGAATCCCAATTGGATAATTTTTTTAATATCCGCCACAGATCTCTCTGAAGAACTCAGCATTGACGGCTTCAGCAACGCTGTGCCACTCCGTGGATTTTCTCTTATTTGTTTTGCAAAAGCACTTCCTTTCATTTCTCCACCTCACCCACAGGTACCTCAACTTCTGCTTCTGTGAAATTGAGCTTCCTTGATCTGCTGTGATCTACGGTCGCCATGTCATTAGCGGAGCGCTGCAACAGCCGGCTTATGTACATGCATGAGATCCACAAGGCACTTTGCATTCACTATTTATGGCAGTAAGTGGGCGTGGTGAGGGCGGGATGTGACTAAAAAGCAGCTGAGAACCTTTCTAGATAGTCTCTGATTTATGAAGCGGAGATTGCGTGCAGCTGTGCGTACTCCATGTTTTATAGATCACAAACCTGCTTGGCGTAAGTACTTTTGTTTTGCTGAGCTTAAGTACGGTTTTAGTAACGATTCTACGTGTTTGATAAATGAGACCCGAGGCCTGTATTGGAATGTGAAGGGCCGTGAGACAACTGGTCATGATTTGGTGCTGTATAAATAACCTGAATTCAATTAAATGAAATGTTAATGACTGATTCTGTGACTAAATGTCTAAAAGTGAAGTTGTGTTTCTTTGAACTGACCTGCATGTCCTGCTGAAGCTCTTGGACCTGTTGTTGCTTCTGCTCCAGCCTCTCCTTGTTTGACCTCAGCTGCTCCTCCAGCTTCACCTTCTCCTGGTACGTCAGACCTTCAAAACACAACATGAGGTTTGGAACAGCTGATTCTTATGCCACATGACCAAAGAGCAGCGTTTGAGTTTGTACTGGATTCTTTGACTTTGCTGAAGGAGCGGTGATACGACGAGCTTAAGAGGTCGTTAAACATTAGGATAGTGTTCTCCAGAGCTTTAGTTTCCAGTGCCATCTTGTGGACTTTAGCCTCCAGCTCGTCTCCCTTCTGCCTGAGTTCCTCTTTATCTTGTGCAGCCTGAAGAAGAGCACACAGGAAGACCCGTCTGATGGTTCTGATCGAGCAGGCTATGTGTGCATCTCGTACGAGGATGTCTCACCTTTACGATGTAGAAGGCCTGAGTTTTCTCCTCCTCGCCTTCAAGAGCGCCCATCGAAAGGACCATGACCTCAAAACGGCTCTTCAGCCGCTCGATCCTGGTCAGTTTCTCGCTGAATTCAGCTCTGAGAAAGAATCAAACACTAAAACAGATCAGCTGATTGTTTCCCCAGAGGTTCCTCAAACAGGATGTTTACATTCCTCTCATAAAAACAGCTGTTGTGTGAGTTAGGGGTCACCACTTCTTACTGGAGCTTCTGTTTCTCCTGCTCTGTGACCTTTAGCTGCTGGCTGAGCGTTTTGATGAGGACCTTTATCTCCTCCTTCTTTATCTTCAAGGCTTTCTCCCGCTCTGACTTCCTCTTCTCCAGAGAAAGCATGGTGTCGGCCTTGCTGTACAGGAGGTCCTTCACGCGCTTCACTTCCATCATGACCATCTTTCGCTCCACCATTTCCTCCTGAGAAGGAATGATTAGAATCTGAAGGGTTTGCTGCCACATATGTGAGCAGTTTCACGATATTAGGAAACTGCTGCGGCACTTGGTGCAAAAATTGGAAATAAGTACAATGAAATATTAATTAATTTAAAAAATGACTAATTTATACAAGACAGTGTAAGTATTGATCAGAGTGGAACAGTCAGGTGCAAAAACAACACAGGGACTGAAACAAGAGTGACTGGAGTGGGCAGTCCCGCTATTGTCCTTCATTATTCCAACTGCAGAGGGGAGGAAACTTGCTTGTGGTGAGAGGTTCTGGTCCAAATCGATCGGAACCTCCTGCCAAATGGGAGCAAGTCAAAAGCCCCATTCCCACCTGTACCGGGTCGGCCCGGGCCGGGTAGCATAGGTTGTTTACATATCTGGGTGGCCTGGAATTTTCCCGGGCCAACCAAGGCTCATTCTCGGCCCTCTTCCCGAGGGGTACTGCTTCAGGCCGACCAGGGCCAACACGCCCACTGCTGACAGCAAATTCACACCTTCCATTAGAGCAAGCCTCTGATTGGTGGGTAGAATCAGCCCATTCACACCTTCCATTAGAGCAAGCCTCTGATTGGTGGGTAGAATCAGCCCACATGGGCTTAAGGCAAGGATGTGTGGAATCAACCGGGCCAGGCTGGGGCCGACTGGGGCTACCCGGCCCGGGCCGACCCGGTACAGATGGGAATGGCCCAAAAGAGATTGTGTCCAGGGTGAGGCGGGTCAGCAGTGATCCAACCTGCATACCCCAATGTCATGGAGGTGTACAGGTCTTATATGGAGGGGAGTTTACAGCCAGTGACCGTCTCAGCAGAGCGTACGACACGCTGCAGTCTCTTCATGTCCCTGATGGTGGCTCCAGTGTACCACACAGTGATTGAAGAGGTGAGGATGGGCTAGATGAATGTGGTGTAGAACCGCATCATCGACTTTACTGGCAGATTAAATTTCTTCAGGTGTCTCAGGAAGTACACCATCTGCTGTATGCCCACCCAGGTACTGCCAGACGGGGCACAGACGGCGGGCATCCAGGATGCACCAGACGGTGTAAACCCGGTTGCCCTCCACAAACCGAGGAGGGGGCTCGGGAGCAGGAGGGGGGGTAAAGTGGAGAGTCGACGTAGGGTTTGAGCTGGGAAACATGGAAAATAGGATGTACGTGGAGAGAGGCAGGCAGGCGGAGATGGCAGGTGACAGGGTTAATGGCTTGGATGACAGGGTACGGTCCGATGAATCGGGGAGTCAGCTTGCGGGATTCAGAGCGGAGTCAAAGGTTGGCCGTGGACAGCCACGTCTGGTCCCCTGGTTTGTAGGTTGGTCCGGGGCGGTGGCGGCGGTCGTGGTGACGCTGATATCGAGCGTTAGCACGGGAGATGGAGGAGCGCGCCTTGATCCAGGACGGGCGATGATGGCGGACCATTGAGAGCGCGGCCGGCGCCCCAACTTCAGCCTCTTGGTGTTGGAACAGTGGTGGCTGGTAACCATAACACGTCTCAAAGGGGGACATGCCTGTGGTGGTGGACACATGCAGATTGTGAGAAAGATCCGCCCAGAGGAGGAAACGAGGCCATTAGGATGGTTGAGAGGACACGAAACAGTGGAGGTAGCAGCCAAGTTGTTGACTGGCCCACTCGGTCTGACCGTTGGTTTGGGGATGGTAGCCGGAGGACAAGCTGGTGGAGGCCCCAATCAGCTGGCAGAAGGCTTTCCAGAAACGGGCGGTGAACTGGGGTCCTCGGTCTGAGACGATGTCGGAAGGAAACCCGTGAAGCCTGACCACCTGCTCCAGCAGGAGTTCAGCAGTGCGTTTGGCTGTAGGAAGACCGGGTAGGGCGACGAGATGGACAGCCTTGGAAAGGTGAGCGGTGATGGTCAGGATGATGTTGAGATTATTGATGGTTGGGAGGCCCGTGATGAAGTCCAATCCGATATAGGACCAGGGTCACTCAGGCACTGGGAGTGGTTGGAGTGGACCAGGTGCAGGTTGGTTGAGACTCTTGGCCCTGGCACAGACAGCACAGGAGAAGGTGAATGCTCGGACGTCTCTGGCCTTGTTGGGCCACCAGAAGGCACGTTGCAGCAGCTGTAGAGTACGTAAGAACCCTAGGTGGCCGGCAAGACATGAGGAGTGCGCCCAGACAAGGGCCTCCTGGCGGCAGCTCACGGGTACATAGAGGCAGTTGGTTGGCGTCTCCAGGGGAGCAGGGTCGGCTGGGAGGGCGGACCGGATAGAGTCCTCCAGAGGCCAGTGTATGGCGGCCAGGAAGGGAACGGGAAGAGAGGATGGGATGGGATGAGTGAATTGCCGAGAGAGGGCGTCGGCTTTGGTATTTTTGGAACCGGGACGGTAGGAGATGTTCCTCATCCACAAATTATTTTACCCAGTAAATAATTATTTTGGTGGGAAAACAGCTGTGTCACATTATTGGTGCTAAAACTGATCGATGGGAATCCGACATTGTAGAATGGCTAATTTTGTGTTATTTTGTAATCACAATTATTACTCTTCACACTTTTGTGACGGTGTTAATCGTTATTATGTTTATTATTATTATATTGTCTTTGTGAAGCGGATGCACCACATGATTTGCTTGAGAGGCGATATAAAAGGTAATTTCTTATTATTAGTAGTATTGGAGGATTTGGCAGAGCGTGATCTCTGGAGGGAATGCCTCCTCTGTGAGCGCGCTGATCTTCCTGAAGATCTTCTGGAGCTATTTTGGACTCTTTGCAGAGCGACAGACAAAACGCATGAATCCGATTCCAGTTCATATTTTATTTCACAACTATGAGAACCTCATAGTTGTGAAATAAAGTTCATGGGTGTTTGTATGAACGGCTGACAATTGAAGGCCCTGGTGTTCAGCTGTGACCACTTCTTTGCCGAACCTGTACTTAGTGTCTCTGTAGTAGACCTCGTCTCTGCTTTTGAAGGCTTCTCTTTTTTCTAGCCACAACCGAAATCCCTCCAGCTGGAGCTGGTCCAGGATGTCCTCACTGAGCCACGTTTCCATGAAGCATAAGACACAAGTTGATGAAAAGTCTCTGTTTGTGCTTCTCATCAGGAACAGAGACATAATTAACATGCTGCATGGAATTCAGACCTTCTAAAGGTGGAACCAACTATTCCTAGTAGTGGGGACCACTCAGACATAGAGTCTCCTGGGACTGGATCCATGTTCCTCGGTTGAGCAGCACAGATGGTTTCTAGTTTGAGCATCAGTGACAGTTGATGCTACAGTAAAAGACCATGGATCTTCTCTGGAAAAACCTGGAATGCTTCTTCAGGATTATTCGGTTTTTGCCTCAAACAGAGAAGTTCAAGAACCTTGGTTCTTTGTTCAGCAGTGATGGATGAATAGATGGAGGTTTGTCTGCTTTCATGAGGGTGTCGTTCTAGTCTGTCGGGGTGACGGTAGGAGTCAATAGGAGACCAAAGGGAAGGTCCAGATGCTTCCTGGGAGTATCTTGGGATACAGGAGGAACTGAAAAGAGTTGTTGTGGAGAGGGGGTGTGCTGGGACAGCTTCTCGTGGTAAAAGGAAAGTTTTACGTAACAGAACAAAATGGACAAAGAGTCCAAAGGGTGAAACTGAAACAGGAGAAGACCGCTCCTTCCAAAGAGAGAAACTAAACATGTTGGAAAGATTTAGGTTCCTCCAGTTTCATCTGAACCGCACACACAACTTCTGGTATAACGGCCGTTCAGATGTAGAGATGTTTGTCCATAATGGGTCTGCTCTGTCTTCTCCATCCCCAGTGAGTCATGGAGGATGGCTGCTTATACTGAGCCAGGATCCTCTGGAGGTTTCTTCCTGTTAAAAGGGAGTTTTCCTCTCCACTGTCGCTACATGCTTGCTTAGTATGAGGATTGCTGTAAAGTCACTGACACTAGTCAGTGACTCGATGCAACCTGCTGGGTTCCTTATATCGGAGACTTTTTACTGACTGGCTTCATTAACTGACCTGTACTGGAATGTTTACTGTGTGAAGTGCCTTGAGACGACTCTTGTCGTGATTTGGCGCTTTATAAATAAACTTGAATTGAATTATTGCACAGCACCATGTATGGGGAAAACCAACTAACTGATACCAGTTGTCAGCACGGAGGTGGAGGGATGATGGTATGGGTTGCCCTGTTTCCGTGTGTGTGTATTTATGGTAAAGGACTTTTTTTGACTGAAGATGAGAAACGACACGATTAAACTTGATTTCCTGTTACCTCAGACTCACCTGTTTCCTCAGACTAAGTCTCTTCAGCTCATTTTCACACCTATAACAAAGTGTCATCAGCATCTTTAGCTCCTCGTTTAGATCAGCCTTCTGAGCTTCTGACTTCTCCTTCTCTCTCCTCAAACAGCGAATATTCTCCTGCCGGGGAGGGATGTGACATGACATTATTCCACTAGTGATGTGTAGGGGGGCAAGCTGATTCACCTGCTGAGACAAACCTCACACTCTCTGAGAGTGTTGGTGAGCTTCTTGGCTGACTTTTGCTTTTCATCCAGAACTTCGTTCAGCTCAGAAATCTTCCTCTCCAGCGTGTGTCTTTCACCTGTGTCCATGTCTCCATGCAGCCTTGCTAGTTTCTTACTGAGTAAGATGATCTTGGTGTCCTGTAGAGAGAAGTCTGAATCAGTGTTGGGTTTAGGAGCGGGGTCACACAGGTGTGTGTGTGTGTGTGTTTTAAAAGGCTACCTGCAGAGTGGTAATCATCTGCTGCCGGATCACTTCCTTCTCCAGCTTCAGATGCTGGCATTCCAGGCTACTTATGGTGGATTTACTTCTGGTAATCTGCATGGTGAATTCTTTTTCCTTGGTCTTGAGGAGCTGGAGCTGCTGTCTGTGATGAGACAGCGCCCCCGTGAGGACATGCAGCTGAGAGTCCAACTCCTGTAACAAATAGTTGTAAACAGCCTCTGTTCAGCAGAAAATACAGCAGCGCTACTCAAATATTTATAAAGAACCAGTTTGGTTTTTGGTTACAGTGTCCATCATAGTTATTAAACATGAGTATTCACTGACTTAGGGAACACATCGTTTTTATTTCTTTGCAGATGAAAACACAACAGGGATGCTACGTTACTAATGACTAACAGAGTTCCTGGTAAACATGACAATGATCCTGAGAGGAGAAATGTGACCACAGGGAACACAAACCCTCGGAGCGCTGGGTGATGGATCGCAGACAGGCAAGTTGCTCTACAGGTGGCAAGCTGACAGCTGACGGCAGCAGGAACCTGAGCAAAGCCAGGTCTATGGGCTTGATCGGGACTTTAGTCAGACAGTGTAAAATCGCTGTTAAATCCCACTAGGGACTAGAGAGCAGGACACGGGTCCTAATTTGTCTCCAAACAAATAAAGATTGATTAGGAATGGGAAATGATTAGAAAGACACCTGAGGGACGTCTACAGAGGGCTGGGGATAATAATGGGACACAAGAGGAAAACCTGGAGTGGGAACTGGAGGGGCTGGGGAACAAAGGGACACAGAACATGACAACTACTAAATGGCATTATTTTAGTCTGTTGTCTATAATCCTTTTTGTTCATGTGTTTAGACGCTTCTGGGGTATTTTGCTCATATTCGCTGCTTTTTAACTACCGACTGAACCACCATGTTGGATTGCTGGGCACTAAATGTGGGCTCTGCCTGCATTGGTCTCAACCGATCACATGTCAGCCGTTTCACTACTTTCTCATTACGCTCACAAGAACTAGTCCCACTTTAAAACGATTGTAATGGCAGAAATGGCAGGTGAAAAGAAAGAGAAGTCTACTACATTGGCGCCACATCCACGCCAGCCACGGAATTATGTCCTCCCAGGCAGGTGATTTGGGAAAGAAAAATGTTCCCGTTCTTTTCAGCCTCAGTGGTTTGGCAACTGGAAGTGGCTTCATTATAGAGTGGAGGAGGTCACTGTTGTTTGTTTTGAGTGCATCCAGGCTGTTCAGAGAAAACGAGTAGTTTGTGATCAGTCTGCTCAGATGAAGACACTTTTTGAGGAGAGAGGAAGTCACCTGTGCACAGACACGCCATTAGAACCACTGCTGCTTTACAGCAGACACCAATAAGCACACTTCTTTCAGATATTGCTGCAGGAGACCAGCAAACAGCAAGGAATGTTCTGGAGCTTTTGTTTTGATGAATTTCATTTTTGGGGAGGAAGGGTCTGTCTTTTAGAGACTCAATGCGTGATATGAGCTGATGTGGGAGCGGACTTATAACATGCCCAAAGAACTCCAATGGATGACAAGTAGGGCTGCTCGATTATGGCAAAAATAATAATCACGATTATGGTGACTGAAATAGAAATCTTGATTATTTAGGACGATTTTTCAATTAATGTTGATTTTATTTGTTTTTATTCGGTCATAAAATTGCTCAGGGCACAATCAGGACAAAAATAAATAAGAAACAAGATGATCACTAAAATAACTCCTGATTCCCAGTATAAAAAGACCAATATACTTACAGCTCATAGTCTATGACCCTAGGGCTATAGACCTTGGTTTAACTCATTTAAGTCTAACCAGTACAGACCCAAATACTGACAGCAAGAATTATACAGTGGCATTTATAACAAAGAAATGCAAATAAATTGATGTTCACAAAATGTTGCATAACATTTATTGAGTCGTGCCAAGGTGCTGTAGGAGAGTGCACTAGCACCGTGTCCTCAGAGAGATTAGTTATTATTTATCAGCGTGAGGAACTTATTTCTACCTTATTTATAAACTATTTATTTACAAGTCCATCAGTTAATGTAATAATTGTCCCAACCACAGCTGCACCCCCACCCCCCAACCCAGTCTCACAGCAATCGGGGCAAGCTGCATGTGTGTTTAGCGCGCCGCACGCACACATTTAGCCGTTTTTAGTGGCTCGGGAGCCCGCAGGTGCGGTGTGTGTGTCACTCACTCTGGTTACTCCAACAGAGAGCCGCCTCTGAGGGACGTTTTTTTTAGCGACTGACACATCACTACATCATTCCCTTTCCTAATGTCCTGAAGAACGGTCCGGAGCGCAGGCGGAGTGTTTAGCTCCATGCTGTCGTTCTTTTTAAAACACAGAAACAGTTTCGTTACCTGTTTTGTCGCTACGTTTCGTCTGCGGCTGCAGTCTTCTTCAGGCTGATGCTGATGGTGGCGTCACTTCCTTCTCCGTTTATCCGCGGGCAGCAGAGGACGTTGTCGCCCTCTGCTGCCCGCTCTCCCCTCTCCGACGATGCAGTCCCATGCGTGGTCCAGCGTGTAAACTCCGTCGTCCCTGTTCGTGGTCCCACATCCACGTCTCCTTATCTCGATAGCTTCTTTAATCCATCTTTTGTATTTCTGTTGTTCGGTGTTTATGATCCGTGTGCTGTCCCAGTCCATTATATGGTTTTCTCTTGAGCAATGATCTGTCACGGCTGACTTCTTTATTGTGCTTTCTGCTTCTTCTTTTGCTGCTCTTGTGTGTTTTCGACTTGTTTCTTTCTCGCACTCCTTTCTATCGGGCAGCAGAGGGCGACAACGTCCTCTGATGCCCGCGGATAAACGGGGAAGGAAGTGACGCCACCATCAGCGTCAGCCTGAGGAAGTCTGCAGCCGCAGACGAAACGTAGCGACAAAACAGGTAACGAAACTGTTTCTGCGTTTTAAAAAGAACGACAGCATGGAATTAGAACCACGACACAGCAAGAACACACCTAAGATGTTCAAAGAGAAATACGGACAACAAGGAACGAAGGACTTCCGCCGTTTGGAGCGATTACATCAGAAACGCGCACGTCTAAGAAACCACCTTCGCTTCTGTTTAAGATGCCGGGACGAAAACATCACACCCACAAGCCTACAGCTGAAAACACCGATCCGGACCAAGACAGCACAAAATATAATAGAAAGAGCACAGAGAGCACTGCTCAAGGAGAGGATAAGGAACGTCATAACCAAACAGAGGCGTATGGAGGACGAACTGGAAAGAGGACACCTGGACTTGAAAAGGAATTACAAACTCGATAAACAAATGGAGGAACTAACTAAAGGACAGATGATGGAAAAACAGGAACAAGAGTTCATAAAAGTAAAAGAAAGACACATAAAGAAGTTAAACAAACTCATAAACAAGAAAAAGAGGGCAGAAATACAAGATAACTCCACACCAAACTCATGGGTATGTAACATTTCACAATACAAACTAACAGAAGCAGAAGAAAGCATATTAAAGAAAGGTTTAAACTTTGCAGTCACACCAAAAGAAATACCATATGATGAATTTATTGTAGCAACAGAACTAGCATGTCAACAGATCACAGATGAGGGAAAGAAAGCAGAACTCAGAAATAACGTAGTTGGGATATTAAAAAACAGCCAAATTCAACACAGCAATATTACAAAAGAAGAACAATCAGCCATGACAGCTTTATCCAAAAATGAACAGATAATTATTCTACCGGCAGATAAAGGAAGAACCACAGTAGTTATGGACAGAGAAAAATATAAACAACAGATGAATCAGATGCTAGAAGACAAAAATACATATGAAATACTTAAAAAAGATCCAACAGACAACATTAAGAAAAACATGAAAAAATTACTGAAGCCACTGCACGAAAAAGGCAAAATAACAGAAAAAACATACAAACACTGGATTCCTACAGCAAACATAACACCAAGAATCTATGGAACACCAAAAATACATAAACAAAACACCACTTAGACCAATAGTTGACAGCATCGGTACACCAACATACAACATGGCAAAAGATATCAGCAGAATCATCAGCCCGTTATTAGGAAATACAGACCAACACTGCAAAAATAGTATAGAACTGGCAAAAGAACTAAAGGTGATCACAATAGAAGACAACGACATACTCATCTCACATGACGTCACATCTCTGTTCACAAACACACCAACCCAAAAAACCATAGACATAGTAGTTAACAGAATCAGACAAGACAAGACTTTACATAAAAGAACAAACCTCACAGCAGACGACATAGCACAACTGATAGGACTGGTAGCTAACTCCACTTACCTCACATATGACAACACAATATACAAACAACTGGAAGGCTTCGCCATGGGTAACCCGTTATCAGCCACCCTGTGCCAGTTTTTCATGGAAGACCTGGAACAACAAGCCATAGCCACTGCCCCCCCAAACTGGTAAATAAAATTATGGAAACGCTACGTAGACGACATACTGGAAATCATACCAAAAGGACAAACAGAAACATTAACACAACACTTGAATAACATTGACAACACAGGCAGCATAAAGTTCACTTATGAGTCAGAAACAGATGGCAGCATAGCATTTATGGATATGAAAATCACCAGACAGACCGACGGGACCCTAAACATAAACACATACAGGAAACCAACACACACAGACCAATATCTATTATGGACATCAGAACACCCCACCATACACAACATGTCAGTAATCAGAACATTATACCACCGAGCAAACATGATAACAGAAGAAAGAGACCGTAAACAAGAGGACAGCTCCGACTCCTTAAGAGTCCATCCATAGATGCAAATAACTACCTGTTGTGACCTGGAGACAACTCTGAGACCGATCTAGTGGCACTGCAGTTTCTTCTACGGACTTCGGTACCTTTGGGGTCCACGGACTTCCTGACATTCCGGATCTACCACAAGCGTCTTTGAGAGGGTACGTAGACTCGACAGATTGCGTCTGATGTGGTTTTATAAACCATCACTTATAGTTTATAGCAGACCAAATTCACTCCCACTCAGAACTCTCATAACATCACATTCACACATCATCACCCCTCACATTCCACCCACTTAGATTCGTTCATCACATAAAGTGTTCCTAGTTGTCGTGTTTTTGTTTAGATAATAAATTGCTTACTTTTTGTAAACTTGACTCTCTTCTTGAATTAATACAGAGTCTGACAATCGCTGAATAAACAAATAATTCTAAACCTTCTGGTTAAACATTCAAAGACCAATCAGACTGGATTTCCATATTTATATAGAAATTCACATCACATTGGTCAAATGCAGTTTAGTATATTGAGTTCAAAAAGCACCCAAAATACATACGTATGCTACTCCAACACCCATGGTTGCAGTTTTGAGTAATGAACCAGTCTGGGAGTTTTAAAAGCCTCAGGAATCTTTTTCAGGTGTTTAGAGTTAATTAGTTGATTCAGATGATTAGGTTAATAGCTCGTTTAGAGAACCTTTTCATGATATGCTAATTTTTTTAGATAGGAATTTGGGGTTTTCATGAGCTGTATGCGGGCTGCGCAGTGGTTAGAGCTGTTGCCTTGTAGCAAGAAGGTCCTGGGTTCGATTCCCGGCCTGGGATCTTTCTGCATGGAGTCTGCATGTTCTCCCTGTGCACGTGTGGGTTCTCTCCGGGTTCTCCGGCTTCCTCCCACAGTCCAAAAACATGACTGTTAGGTTGGTTGGTCTGTCTAAATTGTCCTTGTGTGTGTGTGTGTGTGTGTGTGTGTGTGTGTGTGTGTGTGTGTGTGTGTGTGTGTGTGTGTGTGTGTGTGTGTGTGTGTGTGTGTGTGTGTGTGTGTGTGTGTGTGTCTCTCTCTCTCTCTCTGTGTTGCCCTGCGATGGACTGGCTCTCTGTTCAGGGTGTACCCCACCTGATTGCCCGTTGACCGCTGGAGATAGGCTCCAGGGAGGAGCGCTTCATTTGCAACTCAGGGCAGCGCAAGTGGGAGGAGCAAATAATCGGCTTGCTTTGTTTTTATAATCGTTCAAAACTCAGATCGTAATGGGGATTAAAATTCGATTAATTGAGCAGCCCTATCCACACAGTAATCCATTCCAAATTAGCACAAATGTTAGCAAGCTAACAAGGCAAAAATTCACATTTAGTGCTTAGTGAATTGGTTGTTGTGAAGAGAAAATGGGAGAGGAAGGACGGGCTAACACCCCTTAAATACTATATATGATACATATCTGTGTATATATATATACACAGATATGTATACAGATATATATTTGGGTGAATCGGTGACTGACTGTGTTGTAAAGCACCTCGGGGGGTGGGGGTGTTGTAGAACCCTAAGAAGGCACTATACAAATGACCATTTAAAGCTCTTCAGTGACTGATTGGCTAACAAGAACGTTATCCATTAGCAGCTCGGCTTAAAGGGTGAATTCTATATGAAATTGAACTTTTGGATCTTTTTTGGAAACTGTTCTGCAAAATGCAACAAGGAAGCGCTTCAGCGTGAATAGACCGTTTCCTTCAACCCTTTTTAGTTGTTATCCTCCCCCGAGAGGAGATGGGGCCGTTCGAGGGACGGGACAAAGTGTAATGTGGCTCTGCCTCACCTTGATCCCCTGTTCTTTTTCCTTCAGGAACTGTTCTACCTGAGCAGCCCTCTCCTCCTTGCTGACCGTGGTCCGAGTTGCAGCTTTCAACTTCTCCTCCAGGGCAGTGTTGTAGGCCCTGGCCTCCTTTAACCTAACACACGTGCACACGCACACAGAGTGAAGTGATAATTTATGACACAAATGAGACCTTAATTAGATTCCACTGACTTCTCGTTGTTCTGATGAAGATCCTTCTTAGTTCTGGAGATCTGGGCCATCAGAGCCTCCACCTCAGAGGTGGTTCTGTTCAGCACGACTCTGCCACCCTTCAGCTGCAGGACACGTTAGATCAGGGGCATTGACACTGAGGACACCTTCTGTACATGTACGGAAGCTGACCTCATCCTGAAGCCTGACATAATTTTCCTCCTGCTCCTTCAGGTTTTGCCGGAGCTTTGCTCCCATCATCTTTGCTGTGTTTATCTTCCTCTCCTTCGATTGGTTGCTGTCCTTCTGAGTTTCCAGGAGGTTCCGACTCTTTGTAAGAGCTGCATTCTTCTCTCGGATGGCATGGTTAGCCTGGACAAGTTGCTGCAACAACGAACAAGGTTTACTCAAACGTGCTTTTCAGGGTTCAGGATACAACCTGGTCTACTTCAAAGCCCGACCCATTACCAGAGCGCAACGCTGCATCTCAGAGTCCTGATGCTTTATCTGCTCCACAGAGTTGGCCCACTGAGTGATGAGCTGCTCCACCTCGAGGTGAATCTGGTTCAGGATCTCTACTGTTTTGTCGAAAGCCGTCTGTTTTTTAAACGATATGAGGAAGAACTCAGAGACATTCTGAGACACACCAAACCATACCAGCTTTCTTTATGAAGCACCCACGGGACCAACTAGCTGAACGCTATATAATGAAATAGCGGTCACATGATACATAGTAAAAATAATAAAATCATAAAGACCTGACAAAAACCATAAAAACACCCCTGAAATAAAATAATAAAACACAATTCTCTGATTAGAATGAAAAATGAATTCTAGGGAACGTCCACATTTGTTAAATCATCTAAAGCATGTTTTATTCTGCCTGTGAACAGATCAGATGTCACACATGATTTAGTCTTGACCTGTGCAGTTGTTGTTTCTATCAGCTGTTTCTCAAGTGCTTTGTACTTCTCACTGGCTTCCAGCGCCTTCTTTTCGATGGTCACGGTGAGGGACTAGAGAGGGACAAATTAGAAGGTTCACAAATGTGAACAAAGGCTGGAGCTAAACACTACGGAAGTTTAACAGTCTCACCAGAATAGGCCTTTTTAGACGTTGAATGTATGACACTGAAATGTCATCCTGTGAAACATGTATTTGAATTTTTTCACTAAAAACACACCAGCAAAAATTAATCTGTAGAATTTCATCTTTAAAAACTCAAGAAAAATGTATCTGCTGAAGTTCATCTGCAGACTTTAAATGTAAAACGTTCAACAGCAGAAACGGGGGGACCTCCTGGCAAAGCCAGAAGCAGTTGTTAGTCAATCAAGTGGATTGGCTTTTAGCCAATGAAGTCACGCTCCTTTCATTACGTGACACTGGTTGGTTAACCAAGGACCCCCTTTTCATACATGTAAATACATTGAAAGGCCCCCTATTGGCCACTCGGGCGCAGGAAATTCAGTCGGAATCTAAGGCCTAGTCCACACGTAGCCTGTTTTTTAAAAAAAAAACGAATATCCGCCCCTCCAAAAACTTGCATCCACACCACCCCGTTTAAAAATAAAACTCTGTCCACACGTACCCGGATAAATACGTTGTTAAGGACATGCCAGACCTGTAGGCGGCAGTACTTCCCCCGTTCTTAACCTCGTGCTTCGTCTGTGGTCTTCCACAAGGAGCAGTAATTCCTCTTGCAAAAACAAACAAGCAGAAAGCGCTTGGACGATTGATAAAGCGAGCGCAGCTCTGAGGGCATCCATGCTGTCGGCTAGTGTAAACACAGGTCGCACACGTGATGTCAGCATTTTTTGTCACGGAAAGTGACGTTGCGGACCTTAAAACTCCAGTTTTGTCCGTCCACACGCAGACACCCAAAACGGAGAAAATGCAGATCTTCACTTTGGCCGGAGTTTTTAAAAAGATCCGTTTTCGTGTGAAAAAACTCCGTTTTCGTGTGGATGACAGGCCAAAACGTAGAAACATATCTACGTTTTGGCAGATCCCCGGCTACGTGAGGACAGGGCCTTAGATTGGTCGGGCTATGGGTGATGCGAGTCCCCACATGCCAAAGACAGTGGCAAGTACGGGGTCAAAAGGTGAGCCACACTGGACTGGCTTGTGCGAGCAAAATCAGCCAGCCGACAGGAGCTGGGCTGCAGGTCAAAAAAACTGTGGTCAGAAACAAGGGTCGCACAAGGGTCACAGGGACGAGAGGACAGAACTGGGCAAAAGGTCAGGTTGACTGACCCAACCTCTTTGCCCCACCCCTGGCTTGGAAAGATGGGATTGGAGGAGAACAGAGTGAAGACAAGCCCATCAGATCCAGAAGCCCTCTCGGGAACATTGGAGAGAAACTGAAGAATGCTGCAAAAGATGATGTAATGACCTGTGTTAAGAAGAATGCTGCATGTAGTGAAAATGACACCAAATGTTTTGTGTTGAGCTACAAAGTGTGTATCTGGTAAATGACCCCATGACCTTAAGCTGGCCCAGGAAGGGTATATAAGAACAGCTCTGAACAGCAGAGAGAGAGATTCGGAGATTCGACAGCAGCTGGGGCAGAGGACAGAAGAGACAGAGCAGATTTGGTGGGGTCATCCCCCGTCCAAACCTGGATGGGGGATGACAGAAGGACTCTTGGAAGAAGAGAGAGGGAGTTCTTGGGGAGATTCTGAGAAGACAAGAGCTAGTGTAAACTAACTCTTATTTAATCATTTTGAACTAATTCCTCCGTGGGGGATAGCAGTTGTTTTCACTTTACCCATTTTTGTATTTTGATTTTGTAATAAACCTTTTTTGAAAAAGAAACATAATCCTGATTCTTTCAGGTTTTCTCTAAAGCTTCACGTTTGGAGCCCTGGCCATAAATTGCACAGAGGTAAGCATATCGATGATCGGTCTCTGAATTATCGGGACTTACTTTACAGTTTATAATAGAATAATATAAAGAAACCTTAAGATAAGGGAAGTTTTAACTTCCCCCTCCTTGCGAGTAACGAGTTGTCTTAAGGGCGATAAAAGCAAAATATTCGAGGTTATTTTGGCTCTGATTGCAGGTTGAAAAAGTCTCTAACCAGCTGGAAGGTTGGATTAATAAATAAATTGATAAACTTATGTTAGCCTGATCAACTAGCATAAATCATTTTATAGTTACCAACCTCCCACATAAGCTGTTAGAGGCGCAATTAATTCCGGGTAACCCAAACAATTGCTGAGAGGCTTGGCTTGCCTCCAGACTTCTCTTTAGTATCTTAACCAAAAGGTAACGAGTTTAAAAGAAGTGTAGCACTCTGGGGCTGGCTATTCCTGCAAGTCATTTCACCTTTAAAATAAAAGACAAGATTCTAATTAGATAGTCCAATCCAGGATCTAGTACGATTATACTCGTCGATACACCCCCGAACCCTGATGGATGCACCGTCTCATAAGTTCTAACGGAACTGGGTTTTAAAGGAACCGGTAAATGGGACGGGCACGCGACATGGGCGGGGAGCCTAAGTCATGCCCATCTGTTCCGGACCATGGGAAGAATGAAAAAATGAATGGAAGTCAAAGGAGCTAAAATCGCTATTTTTGAAATCTGCTTGTTATGTGCCAAGGATTTCACATATGATATTCATGAATATATTCGTCCTGAGAACTAATGGGCATGGAAGGCTTCCTACTTAAACGCCATAAGCGGGTTGCAGCTGTCAGTCAGTGAGGAGCTCGACCTTCTGTCAAAATGGTTAGGAGAGCAGTCGGTGCGTCATGTAAGGAGGATCCGAGCTGTGCATGTGGGCAGTCCTACTAAAGGACTGTTAAAGGTTTGGGAGCACCTAGAAGACTGTTACGGCTCCCCAGAAACTGTAGAGAAGTCTCTCTTCGACAGGATTGACTATTTTCCGAGGATCAGTGACAAAGATGCTAACAAGCTTAGAGAGTTGGGAGATCTCTAACAGGAAGTAGGGTCTGCTAAAGATGAAGGCTTCTTACCAGGACTCACTTACCGCGATACTGCTTGTGGCATAGCCAACCATTGTAGACAAGTTACCTTATGGTATTCAAGAGAAATGGATGGTTCAAGGTTCCCAGTACAAAGTCACACATGAAGTTGCCTTTCCTCCATTCTCGTTCTTCTGTGACTTTGTCTGCAGAGAGGCACGAATGCGAAATGATCCAAGTTTCGCCCTTTCATCAGGACAGCAAAGTTCAGTAAAAATAGAGCAGCAAGGGAAAAGTTCAGACTACACCCAAAAGACTGATGTCTCGCCGGAGACTATGAGTCAGGCAAGCAAATCAGAGGACGTTGACAAAAAATGTCAACTTCATAAGAAGCCCCATCCTCTCAGGCGGTGTAGGGGGTTTAGGAACAAACCTCTGGAGGAAAGAAAGACCCTCTTAAAAGATATGGGCATTTGTTTCAGATGCTGTGCTCACACGAGTCATCTGGCAAGGAACTGCAAGGCGGTTATCAGGCGCAAGGAATGCAAAAGTGACACTCACATTACAGCACTCCATCCAGGACCACCCCCTGTAACTGCAATCAAGCAAGGCGGGGAGAAAGAAGCTGAGGCGGATCAACCTGATGTCACTTTAAGCCGGTGTACAGACATTTGTGGAGACGAGAAAGCATCAAGATCCTGCTTAGCTAAGGTGTACCCAGTTGGTCGCCAAGAAATGGCAGTGAAGCTGTACATAATCTTAGATGATCAAAGCAACAGGTCACTCGCTAGGACCGAGTTTTGTGACCCATTGAACATCAAGGGAGTGAGATCAGTATACACACTGCGTACCTGTGTAGGTGTAATGGAGCAACACATTCTCACACCCTAAGCGTCGGAAACAAACGCTTGGTCAGCCACCCTCCACGTCAGACCCCAGACGCCAAAAGTGCCCTTTTTCGTTACTTATGTGCGAAAAGGGTTTTTCCCTTTTGTAACTGCAGATCCCAATGCAGCGTAAAACTGACATGATGGGATATCCGCTGATGCGGCACTGAACCAGCTCGTTTAACAGCACCTAAACCTTAACGTTTCACTATTTATAACCTTCCCCTCTCCCTCATCCTAACCTTAACCCTCTTGCTACCTAAAACGTTACTCTCACTGTGATCAAGCGTTTGTTTCCCCTGCATTCTGACTCTGACAGTCAGAGTCTGACTGTGAATGTTCGTATTTGCCGCCCAAGGGGAACGTTAGAACATACCATCTGGCGAGGGGGAGGTTACACATACCCTCTACTTTTAACCTCCACCGTGGTAGTTGAAACCTCCCCCTCGCGTTGGCTCGGTCCAAACTCGACCAATGGCGAGGCGCCTCCCGCCGTTCACTTCATAGAGCCGGCTTTTAGGGTGACCGACACATCACTAACATGTTCGCTAGCAAGATGGTTAAGGTTAGGATAGGGGTGAGGGGAAGGTTAAATAAGAGGACAAGGTTAGGGTGAGGTACAATGAGCTTGTTTGGTGCCCTGGCTGCGGACATCCCATCGCGTCAGTGTAACGCTGCATTGGGATCTGCAGTCAAATAAGGGAAAAACCCCTTTTCGCACATAAGTAACGAAAAAGGGCACTTTTGGCGTCAGGGGTCTGACGTGGAGGGTGGCTGACCACGCGTTTTGTTTTTGACGCCCTGGGAGTGAGAATGTGTTGAATGGAGACCACGGGGAGAAGGGCAACAGGTTTTGTAGTGGAGTCCTTAGACGGAGTGTCAAAGGTGAAACTACCAACTCTGATTGAATGTAACAATATGCCTGATGACAGGAACAAAATACCAACTCCTGAGGCAGCGTGGTCGCATGCTCTCCTGAGGCCTATCGCTCACTGCATTCCCCCACTGGATCCAGAAGCCCAGATTCTTCTTCTTCTGGGTCGTGACATCCTCCAAATTCATAAAGTCAGCGAGCAAAGGAAAGGGCCCAACGACACCCCGTTTGCACAGAGACTCGACTTGGGCTGGGTCGTGGTCGGAGACGTCTGCCTTGGATCAGTGCACAAGTCTGTGGCTGTAAGTGCTCACCACACCCATGTACTAGGCAACGGACCACCCTCTCTTCTTCCTCCGTGTCCCAACCGGATCCGTGTCAAGGAAAAGCTCAACACAGGACTCCACTTGAGGCCCCTGTAGCCTGTGATACCCTACATTTCGATGATGATGTCATCGGAAACACCATCTTTGAAAGGTCAAAGAACGATGACAAGGTTGGATTATCTATAGAAGATAGGTTCTTCTTAGAAATCATGAATAGAGAGATGTTCATGGATGACCGCAACAGTTGGGTGGCACAAACTTGCCCAAAAAAATCTTCCTGAAAACCACAGACTGCATACTGTGGATAATTTGGACTGATTCCATGACGCAGATATTTTTTTCAATAGTCCTCCACCAGGGATCATCTCTGGTCTCAGCTGCTCCTAGCAGCACTACCTCTAATTGATCTGCGCACTGTGCAAGGCTCACCGAAAGCTTTAAGCAGCTGTATTACAAACACATGGTCATTTCTTAATATTGTCATATTTGTGCTGAACTAAAACACCAGACAGAATGATATTTTGCCATTAACAGCGGATTTTTAGAGTAATTTTACTAATAGCTGAGAGAAAACCCACATCTCTTTTCTGATCGATTTTTCCTTCCATTCTGAGATTGAGACTGGGTCGACCTATACTAGTTTTTCTATTGCAGATAACAATGCAGATATGTAGGAGTTATGGTAAGCCAAAGGCCGATATGTACTGCCAATTTTTATGGGCCGACCCCAAACCCAGACCCCAACCAGATGGCCAGCTCCCCCTCCTAGCCTCCAGCCCCGGGAAGCCAAGCGACAACAGAAGTGTGCTAAGACCCCTTGTCTTCCTCCGCCTGCTCCAATACAGTGTTAGTGAGTGTTGAGGAGGTGTATTCCATGGCTGTGGGGAGCGGACAGTACAGGCATCGTCTAGCCAACACCAGCTGATGCCACCACACAACCCCACTTCCCCCCACAGCCCTCTACGTCTAAGTGCAGTTTAAAATTGGAAGTGGGCACCGGCACTCAGGATGAGGCTGAAAGATCCCCTTGCCAAATGTCGTTGAGTGCGCTCACTCCCAAGGCCCTAAGTGTGCGTTTGCGTGGAATGTCGCTGGTGGAAGTGTTTAATGTGCAAATAAAATTGGGGGGCAGGAAGCCATAGGAATGCGGAAATGGGATCCATACCCGCACCCCTAACTTGCCTAGCCCCCAAGGTCCTATGTGAATGTTTGTGTGACGATGTGAAGAAGCAGGAGGAGAAAAATGTATGGGGATGGGGAGGAATGGCTGGTTGGCCTACGCCCTCCAGGGATTCAGTTTCCCCAATGGCCCAAATAGGCACCTCTGTTGTCAAAATGCCCCCCAAGGCATGGAGATCCCAGCTCATCTCGCCAGACACTTGAATCTCTCGCGGGCCACATAAAAGGATGTGGCGGGCCACATCTGGCCCGCGGGCCTTGTGTCTGACACATGCGGTTTAGATAAATGCAATTAACTAACCGGAGTCACATGATCAAAGGAGCATGATTTGATTGGCCAAATGCCAATTGACTCAACTGACTAACGATTGCTTTGGCTTGAGTCATCAGAGGTCATGCCATTTCTGCTGAAGATGAAGATCTGCAGATGAATTTTAGCAGATGAGATTTTTTATGTTGAAATAATACAGTTGAATTTTGAAGATGAAATTCTACAGATGAACTGCGCTGCTCTGGGTGGCTGCATGTTGGAGTAGCTCTGTTGACTATATGTAAGTTTTGCCTTTTCTTGGGCATTTTTTCTTCTAGTTTCTCAAGAAAAACTGTATTTTTTGGACACTTTACTTTTCTGTTTCTGGTGCTGTGAAGCTTGGAGGATTTGTACTGCTATTTTTTTTTAGCTTTTTTCACATTTTTAGCATTTGTTATGACGTGTAACCATGGCAACAAGCTGGTTTACAATCGGGAGCAGCTGATTAACATTGGAAAGGCTGAAATAATACCTCAGCTGCAGCCACAAATCCCAAATGAGCTAAAACGCAAGAAGCGTGGGTGCAGAGCGGGAGCAAAACGGAGACAGAGAAAGAGGAAATTCAAACCATCTCTTCCATCGATCATAATGGGCAATGTGAGATCACTGGCCAACAAGATGGAGGAACTCCAAGCCCTTTCAAGGACTCAGCCAGAGTTTCGGCAGTTTCGGAACCGCTGGAGGAGATGATGCAAAGAAGGATTCTCCAGAGAATCAAGAAAATGATGGACGACCCTGAGCATTCTCTTCACAAGACTGTCCGACAACGGAAGAGTGTCTTCAGTCAGAGGCTTCTTCAGTTTGGCTGCAACACTGACCGCTACTGGAGATCCTTCCTGCAAACAGCCATTGTAATATACAACAACTCTTTGATGACTTGATTATTATTATTATTCTGAGCTACTACAGCAATCAATTTCCCTCTGGGATTAATAAAGTATTTTTGAATTGAATTGAATTGAAATCTTTGCTGGTGTACTTTGAGTACAAAAAATCAAATACATAATTTCACAGAAGAAAATGTCGGTGTGAAAAATTCAATGCTTAAAATACGACATTCTGGTGAGAGTGTTGTACTTCCATAAAACACAGATGTTATCCACAAGTCAATGTCAACACTGCCGCCTAGTGACCAGTTATGCTCAGCAATCAGCAATACCAAACCAAGACTGCAACTTTTCACTTGGATCAAAGTTACAAGCAGCCTCTTCAGAGGCGCTGTGGACCTATGTGTGGCACTAGAGCCACAGATTTCAGACTCCTGTCCTAAGAGAAGAGTTTGTCCAGATGCTTACATGCATTTATGCTATTTTCTTACACTTGTATTGATGTCTCCGGCACCAAACACCAAAACAAATTCCTCATGCGTAACAATAAACTTGATTATGATTCCGACTCAAATGAGTTTGTTCTAGGGCGGCACAATATATCGTAAATATATCGTTATCGCGATATCAGCATGCACAATATGCATATCGCAAAGAACAGATAAATACCGTAATGAATGGTCAGCTCAAATGTTTGCTACACATGATGCATTCTGTCATTCAATCGGAAGCATGAGATGTTTTTTTTTAACAAATCAAATGGAGCTCTTCACCCATTTGGCCAAATGGGTGGGTTCTCATAGGTCAGATGCCCGGCCCGGAGACAGAGGGCACTTAATTTTGATGGTTGGCAAACACCTGAGTTTGCTTTGTTCTGCTCTTTTTACTGATTCTGCTTTTCCCGGGATCCACTGATTGCCTTTCCTTGTTCATTTTCTTTTTCCCTTTTCTCACATCTTTTGCTTTTCTCAATTTTATGATTTGTTTATTTCTTTGTTTTTGATTATTTTTGTTCCTGAGTTAAATTGTTATTTATCGCAAGTAATATCGACATCGCAATATTAATCATTGCTATCGAATATCGTAGGTTTTCCTAATATCGTGCAGCCCTAGTTTGTTCAAAATATAAAAGCCGTTCCAAAAGCTGCACGTGCAATGTGAACATTTCCGTTTTAAAATGTGATGTTCTATATCTTTTTACCTTGATCCTATGTTCTTCTTGCTGAGCGTACTTGACGATGGACATCATGTCCTCGTCTTTACGTGCTGATTCCTCCAAGAAAGCATCCAAAATCTGCTGGTCCCAGTCCATTTGAAGCTTAAACTCTTCAAGTTTATGTTCTGTCTTGAACATGCTTTTCTGAATTCAGTCAACAAAAACAAGGTTAAGAAGCACCTTATGGCACAAGCAGCTGTAATTTAAAGGTGATGTTTTTTATGAGTAAAGACCTCTAGCATGTCTTTCTGCCCTCTTAAAGTCCCGTTTTCCCTCTTCATCGCAGCTGTCTGCTGGACCAGGTGACCCGTCTCTCTCTCTGCCAGAGCTGTGAGATGATTCACTAACTCCACCTCACTGACCTTTGCCTTCAGCAGAGCCTGTAACACACATCAGTGCAGAGCTACATTAGGGCTGAATAGCATGTCATCAACAAGAAATTTTGGTTCAAGATATTTACATCTTGGTATTCCAGCTCTCGTTTTGCACTTCTGATGTATGTCGTCATTTGTTGTTTACTGTCCGTGTTGTTCCCAATATCATTATCCAGCTGCACCAGCTGCCTCTCAGCTTCGGAAATCTGTTGTTAAAAACACATCACATTAGACCAAGACACCCTGGACATGTGGCATGAAACTAGGGATGCACCGATACCGATACTGGTATCGGTGCAGATAACGATACGATACCAGTATCTGTATCGGTAAAAGTTAACCGATACCAGAAACAGATACCAATGCAGTTGCTTGAAAATGGCTTCACTGTAACTTGTCCTTCCTGTTCACCTAATATTTTAGTTTTGTGATGATTTCATTCATATATTTTACTTTTTATCTACCTCACAGTAGGGGTTGCATGACTTAATCTTTTTGAAAGTCGACAGTCAAGTAATGAAAATCGAGTCGACTTCGACTAGTCGTTGCTGACGTCATACATCTGAAGCGGCGGCCGGGGGGTGGGTGGGTGGGGGGTCGGTTGTTTCGCTGGAGTTTTTGACAATTAAAATTGCGCCCACATTTTCAAAGTTAAACACATTTCTTTTAACAACGGTAGTTTCTGCTTCAGCCCTCTCCCCCCTCCCCCTGCTTCAGCCCTCTCCCCCCTCCCCCTGCTTCAGCCCTCTCCCCCCTCCCCCTGCACAGCGGCCGCAAACTCACTGATGCGCCTGCAGCCTTTCGGAGTTCCTGCTGCTCTAAACATTAAAATAATTATTTCATTTTCTGTTCCTCACTTCTGATTACCTTCAATGGTGTCTGTTTGTTGCAACCAGCAGGTACAAAAACTAACTTGTTTTTATTTGACTATTTTTCTGTCCTGCCTGTTTATTATCTTCCTGCATCTCCTCTCAATCCTAAAGAAAAACTGCTACCTGGGTTCATATATATTCACCTCATGAGTTACCTTTGAACTGCAGTTCTAAAAGATCTACCGACCGCTAAAACGGCGGAGTGCTCGCTGCTCGCCGGCCGCATCAGTGATTGGTGCGTCACCGGAGGAAAAACGGGTGATGCGCCCGATCCACAGCAGCGAAACGCATCAGGCAAAAATAAAAGACAGAAAACATAAAAGGAAATGAGCCGACATGAACGATCACGTTACATTTGTTTTTGAGTGGCGACACCTGATTTGATAATGTTACTGTGGCCGTGCTCAGGAGGCAGATGTCTGGAGCGTGTCAACAATCAGAGCTTTGCATGTGCAAGCTGGTTAAGGTTAGGATGGGGGTGAGGGGAAGGTTCAATTGCAAGAGGGTAAAGGTCACAATTTGGTTAAATGTCCGTTTTACGGCGGGTGTCAGTACCGACGCTCTGGCACAGCGCGTCGCCTCCGCCTCGATCCAGACGCGCAGGGGCTCGTCACCTGCTGTCTTTTCCGAGGACTGCATCTTGTCATTATCACATGACAGTGACTAATCGATGACAGGTGTAAAAAGTCACTACAGAGCAGTGAGGTCGACTAGTCGACTAGTTCATACGACCCCTACCTCACAGTCTTTTCCTGTTGAAAGCAGAGAAAAAAATAATATCTGTATTCCAAATCATTGCATTTTTTGTGTGGTAGATGTATCGGTATTGGTAATCGGTATCGGCGAGTACTCAGATCCAAGTATCGCTATCATATCGGTTTGAGAAAAAGTGGTATCGTTGCATCCCTACATGAAACATTGTCCGCATTTAATTTGGAGAGGGTTAGTATGTAACTATAAGCTTTACTGTGGTTCTATAATACAGTCGGTAAACTACAAGCTCTTTTAATAAAAGTGAGCACCGTGCTATTTAACACGCACAAATGTACTGTATAAATAAATCTAGTTTAAAAAACATTCTAATATCTTTCAATTCAGACAGAACTGTAAAGAGATGTTCACCCTTTCGCGTTTAAACGTTCATCAGACAGAAAAAACCTAAAAGCAGAGCACAGCAGCGTTCAGCGTCTTTAGAAGCGATGACATCAAATTTTCCGTCCACTTAAAGAAAAGGCATATACTAAAATAAAACTTGCAACGCTGCGGTGCTGGTTTTACACAGCTGCTGTTACAGAGCACACACTAAAACGCTAGTCTCTCTGACCTCCGCTAGCAGAGCCTTGTTTTCAGCGTTGAGCTCCGGGACGGCGTGGCGCACGTCCCACCCCATATCAGCTAATGCTGATTTAATAATGTGCGACATTTCCCCCAGTGGTATTCTGTGAAAGAAGTGTTGTAAAATAACAAACTACAGATTTTGGGCTGGAAGGGCAGCAATTCCCGTTGTGGAAGTTCCTCCTAGCAGTAGTAGTGTAGTGTTGAAATGCGTTACCCCGTCAACAGACGTCTTCCCGCCCGCACGTCAGTCCGTTTTCCTTGCTAAAACGCGCACATTTTAGCTTAGAATGATAGACTTCTTAAGACGAGTGTAAAACGTAACGATGTATATAATGGATGTATGTGGAAAGTCTGTTGACTATATCCTTATTTAACAAATGTTAAACAGTCTCAACACTGGCATTTAGCCGCGTTTCACTTGTATAATGAACTAAAAAATGAACAAAATAAGATGAAGTTGTTTTCATTCAAACTTTTCTGTCAATATTATCACTTATAATAATTGGAGGTTAAGGAGAAAATGGAGATAAACTAGTGGGAATCCGTTTTTGATGGGGTAACACATTTCAACGCAACACTGGCAACGTTTGCTTTTGGTTGCTATGGGGAGCCTAACTGACGCCCATCTACTTCCGGACAATGGGACGCCGGAAGCGTGATGCTTTTATGTATTTATGTATTTATGTATGTATGTATTTATTTGTTTATTTATTTGTTTGTTTTTGATGAAAATAACAAGTACAAAACAAGTCAGGAACTTCACATGGTAATAACAATTTCAGATATAAAAAGATGACGTGAGTTACTTTTGCAAACAGAAATTCAGCCATCTTTTGGTCAATTATAGCACTTTTCTTACTCATTCTGAAGATGCATTTAAGAGTTTTAAAATACTGAGTGAAGTAATTAAAAAAGAAGAAAAGAACAGGTGTGGTATTTTTTCATTTACATGTATGAATAAAATATTTACTCAAAATAATTACAAGGTTGACAGTATCGGAAATGTCAGAGTCCAGATTGTCCATGTAATAAAGAACATCTTTGGCTGTAAGGAAGGCACATTTGAGATTCTAAGTGAGATCCAACTGTGAACGTCGGACCAGAAGACCTTCACAGATTAACAGTTGTTAAAACAGATGCTCTTTTGTTTCTATTTCTGATAAGCAAAAAGGGTCAGACTCAAACTTAAATCTTTTATATGAAAGTTCTCTTAACAGGGTATATACGGGATATTATTTTACAATGTGTCATGTTATGTGTCCCCAGCTTCAGTTCGTTTCTTATGTTCATTGGTCCCACCTGCCTCTCTGTGCCCTCTTGTCAGTTTTGTGCCGTGAACAAGGCCGGATTAACCAATGGGCAACTGCTAAATACGCCTCTTTCAGCCAGATGAGTTTCGAGCCGGCGCTGGTTCCGGTTGATCCGGTATTTTTCAAAATAAATCTAGAACATTTGTGGTGTTAGTTTGATTCACAAACAGTAAAATTATTAATCCTTTTAAAATCATTCATTAAAATAAATTTATTTGTATCCGAAAGGAAAAAAACGATTATGAAGTTTGAATAATTAAAAAATGGTTTTAATGTTTAAAGGGATTATCTTATTTTGTCGAGCAACCGTTCGGAAGTGACGTCAGATTCAGGCGCCGCAGTACGGACGGCTCCGATCGCGACTCAAGCCTTCAGGGATGTTTACCGCTGCTCTGATAAGACTTCAGAAGTCATGGAAATCCTACAAACACCGTTTTGTGCCTTGGGTTGTGTTTAATTTGTCTAAAAATGAGAAAACTTTGCGCCAAGTGACGGAGCGCTCAAAAGACAAACTGATCCCAGATGAACGAGTTTCTGAAAGCCTGTTTAAGCTTTTCGGAACTCTCCTGGAGAAGAAGAGTCCTGTTTGTCTGGACCACGCAGCTCTTGTGCACCCAACACCATGCTCTACAGGTGAAGAGGTGGATGGTGGATATCCTGCACGTGCTATGTTACAGTCTCTTGGATTTTGTATTGACCGCAAACCCAGCACTTTACCCCTTGCTGGAACTGGGGTGTTCGTCACCAGAGGGTTTATACCCAAAGGTGCAACATGTGCAATGTATCCTGGCACCATTTATCAGCCGTACGAGCCTATTCTTCTTCAGTCCTTAAGAAACCCATTTATATTCAGGTGTATTGACGGTGTCCTAGTCGACGGATTTGACAAGGGCATCTCCAAACTGGTATTCAGGTCCTGCAGTGGCAGAGACAGAATTGGTCCTTATGAGACCAGTGACACCAGCTGGCTGACACGCAGTCCTCAAAACCCACTCGCTGTGGGTCAGTATATCAACAATTGCTCCAATGAAAAGCCTGCTAATGTGTGCTATCAGGAATACGATGTACCAGACTGCTTTCCTATTGAATTCTTGCAGTTTCTCCCAAATGTCAACTACAGCCATGACACCAAGAGGCCTCTACGCTGTGTTGTTCTGGTTTCACTCAGAGATATCACTGCAGGAGAAGAACTGTTCTCTAACTACTATACCATTGTGCATTAAACATTTGGTATTTTTTAACTGGGAAGAAATAAACTGGAAAAGGCCAATAGGTGATGTTTTTAATCACACCTGGGGGGGGGGGGTAATTCCACATAGCGAGTTGAGAATATTGAGACTTTCCTGATAAATTCCTGCTCAACTGTTCACTCAAGGATTCATCTTAGGGATGGACAATATATCGGCATCGGCCGATGTTAGTCATTTTTTAACATATCGGTATCGGTCCGATACAGAAAACCAGGCCGATATTAACAACCGATATATTTTCCATCTCGTCTCCATTTGTTTGCCTGTTTCAGAGGGTGAGGGGGTGATGTGCAATTGTTTAGTCATGTGAACAGTGAATGAAATCATCTCAGAACTGTAAATGTGTGTGTTGTGTGCACATAACGTAAATTCAGCTTTAATAATTTTCATTCCATACAAAATCTGCTGATTTTAGAAGCATCAATGTCCGAATATCGATATCGGCTATCGGCCATAACAGTGATCGGAAATCGGTATCGGCCCGAAAATTTTATATTAGTGCGTCACTAATTCATCTGTACCACAAACGATGCTCAGGTGGATTCAGTCCTCTTTTAAAGAGCAAGTCACCCCCAAATCAACTTTTTTTCACTGTTAAACTATGTCTAATCGTGCTGCAGACACATGTTGACAAAAATTTTGCACTTTAGTGTATTTTAGTTCAAATTAAATCTGCCATCGGTATTGGCTAAGAGGTACCCATGCATTTTTTAGCGGCTCACCCCTCTCGGTCTGCTTGGCAACAGCATTTGTTGTATTTCTCAAACAGGAAGTGGGAGTGGAGTAAGACTATGGTAGGGGGTGACTTGCTCTTTAAGTCAAGTGAGGAGTTGCAAGCGAGGCTCATACATGTCCACAGGCAGTCCCCATTAATCATCAATAAGTGAGAATGAAAGGAAAGAGCCTTGTTCTTCTCCCCAGACAGAGCAAGAATCAATAATTCATGCCTACAAGGACTACAAAGATACCAAAACAGAAACCACCAGCTGTGTGATTAAATCTGTGTAGCTGCAGCTATTTAGTTAGAATTCTTAGCGTTTCCATGGAAATACTGGAAGTCCACTTCAGCTCTGTTTCTCCACATATTTTATTCTGATTTTCATCGTTCATGTGTTGTATTCATGTACGGTTCCTGAGTTTTAATGTTTAGAGACTCAAGGATTTTGTTTTCTCTGAGCAGCTGTGAGTTTTAAGAATATACATTTGTGGCGGTCACGTGACCCAAAAGTCAACCGTTTGTCACAAATACACATTTAGCCCCCATTTTACACACGAAGGAGGATGCAACATATCACAACCGGGGCACAGGAGTTAAGTGCTCGCCCCGTAATCGGAAGGTTGCAGGTTCGAGCCCCACTCAGTCTGTCGCTGTCATTGTGTCCTTGGGCGAGACACTTAACCCTCCTTGCCTGCTGATGGTGGTCGGAGGGATCGGTGTTGCCAGTGCTCAGCAGCCTCGCCTCTGTCAGCGCTCCCCAGGGCAGCTGTAGCTACATCGTAGCTCATCCTCACCAGTGTGTGAATGTGTGAATGATTTTGTTGTAAAGCGCCTTGGGGGGTTCCAGGACTCTATAAGTAGTCTATATCAAATACAGGCCATTTACATATCATCTTCAGCCTTTATTTACAGTATAAAGAACTTTCCGTCCACCTGGCAACCCAAAGTGCTGTACACTCACACAAAAATTAAAACACTGCAGAACCAAGCGATGGCCAGCCATAAAATGTACATAGCCACAACTAAAAACAAGCGATAAAATAAAAAAATGTTGATAAAAACAAAATAATCAAGTAAAAACACAACCGGATCATCATTTACTAAATTAACTAGAAATATCTAAAAAGCTAAAACTAGCTCACCTGCTGAGGGAGCGCCACCGTATAAAACTGAGTCTTCAACTGACTCTTGAAAACTGACCGTGAGGGTGATTTTCTGACCACGAGTCATTCCACAGTTAGGGGCTACAGCTGAAAAAGCTCCACCTCCTCTAGTAGAGCGTCTCACGTGTGGGATGACTAGCAGGTCTTGCTGTGAAGACCTAAGTGCTCATGCTGGGGTGCAATGGACGAGTAGATTAGAGAGATAGGCAGGGGCACGACCATCGACATATATACTGGACAATTCGTGTCCATAGGCTCCAATTATAAGTTTTTGTGCCGGAGGTGGCCACCGCCATTTTGACACCACCGCCGTGTTACAGGTTCCGTCAAACCCAGACAATTCCAAAAAAGGGAAAAGAGGTGGGGCTGTACGGCTGGGATCAAATGACGACACCCGTCCAACTGAAGCGATGCAGCTAGAAGCTAACCCAAAGCTAAAGCCTGGTTCATGCTTCTCGTCAGTTGATCCCAGCCTTACAGCCCCACCGTCAGCTCCACCTCTCTTCCCTTTTGTAAAATTGTCTGGGCTTGACGGAACCTGTGACACGGTCAAAATGGCGGTGGTGGCCACCTCCCATTTGTCTTCAAAAACGTGTTATTGGAGCCTATGGAAACCCATTGTCCAATATTTATATGTCGATGTACTAGACGGGCAGCTTGAGGAATACGCAAACGCGAGAAATCATCCGGCGTGGTGATGTGTTCCTCCACACCTTAAGCACCAGCCTGGTTGATGATGAATGGCTGCAGCTGCGACCGCTTCTCAGGGCCGCCTTCCTGGAAGGAAGGACTCAGCAGAGGGTTAGGGAGGGCTCACCTCAGTAACTCGGCAGTAACTCCCGGCGTGATCCTGCCACCTCTCTCTGTTAAATGCTGTTAAATGAAAAATGACCCGCACTTTAAAAGCGCTTTACACTACAGTATGACCATTCACACACATTCACACACATTCACACACACACTGAAGGAGATGAGCTAGACGAGGCGCCACCGGTCCCTCCGACCACCATCAGCAGGCAAGGTGGGTTAAGCGTGTTGCCCAAGGATACAACAGCAGAATTCTCTGTCCGGCGCCGGGATTGAACCTGCAACCTTCCGATTACTGGACAACCCGCTCTACCTGTTGAGCTACTGCTGCCCCTGTTGTTGCGTCAATGCATAATCTGCATTCACATGTTGTTGCAATATTACTACCAAGCGTGGAAACACAAATGCCACAAAATTCCCACAACGCCATGCCGGCATAGCACATTTATAAGACACACCGTTGTAGTAATATTACGCTGATTTGCTGGCGCAGTGTGTCTCGCAAAAAGGGCTAAGGAGAGCTTGGATTTTAGGATTAGCTCGCTCGGTGTAATACACCCTACCCTCACCTCGGGCTTATGGAAAAATAACATTAAAAATATCGTCTTTGTAAATAAGTTGCTTTCAAAAAAACAAAGTTTTTAAAAAAGAAGCGTTCAATTGTACAATTTAAATAGCTAAATATTTGTGCTTCACGCAAACTCCGACAAATGATACACTAGAATCTCAGCTTTCAGAATTTTACTTTAAAAATTATATTTCACAATATTAAAGTTTTTTTTCCTGCTTTGCTGTCAAGAAGGGCAGATGCTTATCCTCCCCTCTCCTCCTCCTCCAGCCTTTCTTTATGTTTATGTATTTAGAGTAAACATAAACATGTATTTAGCATAAAACATTTAGCAGCACTCTTTGTCCTGTCTTGTCTATCAGAGCGCATCTCTGTATTGTTTTGAACCATGGATCTGGTGAGCTGGTCTCTGAATGCGACTGACCAACCCCCCCCCCCCCCCCCCCCCCACACACACACACACACACACACACTTTACAAGAAGGGAGCTCCCTCCTGTCCTGACAGAATGCACCCGATAGGGTAAACATGATGGATTCCTGGGATCAGTGGAAGAATGCTGCTTTCTGTGGAGCACCCACACCATGTTCATATATCTGGTTTTGAGGTCACTGGCTTCTTGCTGTTTGGAGCTAGTGGCTACCTGGTTTATCGGAAGATTTCGGAGCTGACGGGAGCAACTGGCCGGTCTCTCGAGCTCCGAGAAGGAATATGTTATGCTTTGAACTCTCAGACTCAGATGTCGCTAGAGACGATTCGCGAGCTGGAAGGTCTGAGGAGCAATCTCGCTGCATTTACGGCACTCGCGCGCAGAATGAAAACCAACTTGGAGAATTTTGCAGCTTGGTTTGGTGGAAACTAACCCCATGATTTGACTGTTTGGTGATCTTGAGACCAACTAGGACAGAAGGTAGAGAGGAAAATGAAGCTCTTGCCTGTTCCAAAACAATTGACGTTATCTGAATTTGGGTCACCTCTGCCTGACTTTGGAGGCTGAGGACTTCAAAACTCCCTCTTGGACAGCACACAGACATCATCTGCCCCTCCCTCACCCTACTCCTCACATGGGACTGAGCCTCCTTGATTGGTTTGCAAGTGATCTTGCTGATGGACCCACTGATTGCTGACACAACATGCAAGCACACACACACTCACAAGTCTCACATAAACACACACACACACACACACTCACCATCTTGGACTCACTGCTCTCTCTCATCCTAAATCTCTCTCCCACAGCTAGCAGCAGAGGTTGGAGGGTGCACTGGATAGCTGCACACCCTTTCAGTTGCAAATGGGATCCTTGCCCCTCCCACCCACCACTCAAAGATTTATGCTGTGACTGTCTGAAAATGTGCTTTTATGTTTGGAGGTGTTTTTCATGAACCCCAAATATTCTCCCTGTTGGGGTGGGGGTGGGGGGGGGGTTGTTTTTCTCCTTCATCCCTCTCCTATAGAGCTCCGGACGTCACGTGACTCTCAGAGAGTAGACGCCATGTTGGCAGGCAACAAAGGTAAACAAAATGAACTGGATCGGCTTGGATTTTACTTCGTCTGAGTTTACTTCACACTTTAAAACCGAAGGAATCGTTTTATATAGTCAGAAATTAAATAGACTAAACATCTCCGACCCTTACCGTGCCCCTGGGATACTTTTTTAAAACGCCAGAAGCTGTCGGAGCGGACTTCTTACCGGACCTGGCCGGGGAACGCCTTGGGATTTCCCCGGAGGAGCTGGCCCAAGTGGCTGGGGAGAGGGAAGTCTGGGCCTCTCGACTTAGGCTGCTGCCCCCGCAACCCGACTCTGCATAAGCGGATGAAAATGAATGGATGGATGGAAAAATAACAGATTTACATGTAAGTAGTTTAAATCGAGTGCTGTGCTGTTTGAATGTATAAACTGAACACCAAGAGAAATCACTAGTTTGATTTTTTTCCGTGAATAAAATAAATATGTCAGGCAGGAGCGTCTCAGGATCTGTCTGAGATCTGTCTCGGTGAGACAGATAATAGCAATCCAAAGTGCTTTTTATGTGTGATCTGACAATTGATCAACCATTGCTTAAAAATGAAATACAGCTTAGCCGGTTAGTTGCTGTGATCATAAAACACGTAAACGGCAGCACGCAGAACTCACGAGGCAACGTTTTACGTGATGTTTACTTGTTGCTATGAGTAATAAGACAGAAAAAGCCACGCCAAAATAAGTTTAGGAAGCCCACTAAGAATCATAATAAAAGCATTTAAAATAAACACCATACACAGTTGAGGAAACGTTGGTTTAAGTACCTGATATGAAGCGGTCACTGCATAAGCGAAAACCTTTACTCTCGGGATCCCACAGCTTCATTTCAGCCCAGTCACTAGCGCGTTTTATTACAATGATCCAACGTTTGTGGCGCTCCGGATCTTGGGGAATCCTGTAGATGACTCATCCCTTATGTCGTCCGCGTCTGTTCTGCATCCTGGGGCTCAACGGGAATCTACCATATTTCCTGTTCGATTGAGTTTTCTGACAATAACAAATAGTCCAGCTGCCGGCTTCTGCCTGCCAATATGGCGCCGTTTCGATTTGAACTGTTGCATGCCGGGAGAAGTGACGTCAACTCCCGGAGCTCTATATCCTCTTGTTGCCCTTTCTTTTCTGCATAAATTGGAGCGCCGTGAACAGCTGCATGCCCACTGTTCAGCCTGATTTTGTTATGTGTCCTGTAATGTGCGGTAGGGCAAATCTCGGACAGGTTGTTCTGAAACTGAATTTCATTGTGCTGGGACGATGGCTCAATAACAATTAAAGTGATTGTGATTCTGAATAGTTCAGATTTTTTTACGTGGGAAAGTTACGGAATTTTGTTATCTTCCCTTTTTTAAAACAATCTTTGATTAACTCCAGTTTGGAGAAACAGATTACTTTTAACCAGACAGTTATTTACAGTTACAATGTGAATGTCTGTCATCAACAAAAGAAATGTTAAAGCAGTTGATATAACAGCTTTTTAAATACTATTTTTAAACGTTGCTACCAATTTTTCATTTAATGTTGCAGGAGTGATTTTCTACTGATTTTTGCTGTAAATATACTAAGATTCATATGAAAATAACAGTGTGTGGCCAACTGTACTACAGTGCCATGAAATGTTAGCCCAAACTGCTGTGATTTTTTTTAGGTTGGAGTTGTTTTACATGGCAGACACACACTTGTACCAGGCCCCATTTTGAGTGTTTGCTGTCTATCTGATTATCTGTGCTTCTATGAAGTGAAAACAATCGAAAAGCTATCTATAACAGACGAAGTAACCTTTCAACAAAAAAACTTCTTCTCTAGATCTGAACTGTCGCTTTGAGTATATTCCTCCATCAGTGTGTTAATTATTATCAAATCTTATTCCTTCTTTTAAAAATCCTGCCAATCAAGTGACTGCGGGGGAAAAAAACATTGTTTTATGACAGCATTTCAGTTTTTTCATTATCAACATTCATCATTGTTTGGAACCGGAAGTCTGGCTTCTAATATATTCCACAACCTAGTCACGATGAATTTTGACCCACCTGTTACACTATAGAGGTCGAGGTACTACCCCATTACTGCATTATACCTCCGCACAGAAATATAGTCTTGAGCGATTTAAACACATTATCAGTTTATTTACAAATATGTTGGACATAGTAAACTGTGGATAAAATGTCAAACACACAATCAATTAGTCAGTCAAATAATATTTTTGTTAACCAACGTGAGCTGTAGAGATGTCAGTGAAGATCGTCTGACTCCATAAAAGCAGTTGGCGTCGCCATTAGCGATCTTTTCAGTCGCATGCTGCGGTTGTGAACGGATCATGTCTGGCGACTCTGCTGATTACAACAGGTAATAAGTCTGCATTCAGTCACTTCCAGACACGAAACGTAATGATCGGTGTTACCTAAACCTTCGATTCCGGTTAGAAGTACAAACGGTAACTTAGTAATATGTCGTTAGCTAGGCCCTAATGCTGCTAGTCGGAAGTGATTTGGTTGCTAGTGTTAGCGGTTAGCCCCTAGGTTCCGCGCTGTTCCACATTTAAACGACGTCTTCGCTCTCCTCTCTGCGCTTGGCTACTCGGACATTTTTCCTGTTTTCGGTAGTGTGGAGGTAATTTGTCGGGCATGACCACAGCTCGGCCTAGTTCTCGGAAGAAACCGCTGTTGGCTTCACAGGCCCAATCACCCGACATATTAGCCAATAGCGGGGAAAGTCCATGTCAGAAAGCACTGAACGCGTGGGACGGTGATTTTATTTTATTTTTTTAATTTTCGAAATCACGTGTGCCGTAGTTGGCGTGTGAACAGTTCTCACATGGATAGAGGTTTCATAAGTGGGCATTTTCGGAGGGGCAGGTAGATGCGCCGGCAGTGGAATTTGACGCACGTGCCCACTGGAGCTCCAGGCAGCGAAATAAGACTCACTGGGCGTGACCCTCCCCCCTAATTTAAACTGCATTGAGTACATTTGAACCGGTAACGCATTTTTCTTCCAGCTCAAGAGACCGAGACCATGGAGGGCCAGATGGGATGGAGCCTGATGGTGTCATCGAGGTAACATTAAACACCACATATATGGAGCTATTACCCCTGGGTCGGCACGGCCCGGCCCTTGTAGGTTAGTTGCGTGTACATCTGGGTTATATGCAGGGCAGAGACCTTTGAAGAGGCGGGTGCTCAAAGTTCATAAAGGGGCACATATAGAGCAACATTTTTAAACAGATTCACCATCCAACAAGTTAAAAAGTTCACATAATGAGACTCTTGAAGTCTTTGGTGTGACCCGACAGAGAATCGAACCTGATCTCGCAGTCCCAGGGAGGACACTACCACTAGGCCACTGAGCTGGTCCCAAGTTGTCCTTCTGTCTGTATTTGTATTCGACACTGACTGAAGACAGCTCATGTCAGAGGTGGTAAAATATGAGTAAAGTAAAATAAATGCAACCACAAGAAGTTATCCAGCGTGATCTGCAGCTATGGTAGCTGAGATCTTTTCCTGTCTGTAAGAAGTTCCTGGTCCAATTCCACAATCTCACTCTGAACCCTAAACTTGAGAGCTCTGCTGCCAACCTAACACCCTTTACAGAAGGCCACACACACACACACATTTCATTTCCAGAATACTGCTATGGCCATAACTTTGCTTCACGGTGCTGACCCGGAGTATTTACCTCATTATTTATTTCTAGTGTTGTAATAACATGATAGTCAACAATAAAAATACACAATAATGTAATAAAACATGCAGTTATGCTCACATTCACTTTTACCATCTCTTGGTGGGCAGCAGAACATTTATCACATGTTTAACCCTCTTATGATCATAAATATAACTGGTATTGTTTTTCTGGCTGTGAAATGGTTCCAAAAAGTGCAAAATGTTTGTTACTCTGCTCCTTTTATCAGAACAACCTCAGCTTTCAGTGTCTGGTTTCTATTTAGTATTTATGTTGATCAAAGTCTGTAAAAATGCAGCTTAAATGAAAAAAAAATTGAAATTTTTACATTTATTACTAAATAGGAACCTCAAAAGGACTTGGTCAAACTATTTTTAATGAACAGTTTAAACTCTGAACTTAATCACAAACAGTCAGAAAACAGTGCGACCTCTGGCCTCATGTTTACCAGTTTAATGACCGCAGACCTGTCTGACCACAGGTCTGTGCTCTGGTTCAGAGAACGACATGAAGTAAAATAAATATTAGGTAAAATAAAATAACACTCACACATCACAACTGTCTGGAAATTTCTATCAGCATAATAACTATTGATAAGCCGGATAAAAAGTAATAACAAAAGGCGAAATCTAAACATTTCATGACAAAAAGTCAACTAATAAAATTCTGCACAGATATAAAATTATATTTTCAGCTAAATAAATATTTATTGTAAGTATAAATAATGCTGGAATGAAGCTGAATCTTACATTTGGTAAATAGTCGAGCGTTTGACAGTAATCAGTCACCAGGAGCTTCTGGGACATCTAAGGTGGATTTTCTTTGTGACGTTTCCATAACGTTATAAAATCTGCTGATGCAGGTGATCAGTTCTCTCCGCTTCGTTCTCCGCTCTCCCGTCGCGGTTTGCTCTGTTTCCTGTGATGCTGAAAAGCTAATGGCGATTTTCTTAATACCAACCGTTGGAATTATTTTCATTCGATTAGTTTTTATGACGCGGAGAATCTCCCGTGTCCTCTTTTCTGTCTCAGACATGCTGACTCTGCTCAACACGCACCAACCACGGACTCGAATGTTAATGTAAACAAAAGCTGATATTAAAATCCATCCAGCTGACGTGATGCAGGCAGAATAAAACACTCACAGCTAGCTGAGCGCAGACTCCAGCCGACGAGCAAAACGCCGGTTTCAGTCGTCTCCATGGCGACTGATTTAGAGCGACAGCAGGGACAGCCAATCACATGTTGGCACGACACGGCAGAGCTAAACTGTGAGCTTGTGGGCGGGTCTAAGGGTTCAGCATGAGGAGGCTGCCTCCACGTGGTCCTAGTGCCTGACCGGTATCCAAGTATGACAGTTTTAGACGGTGAAATCTGACGGAAGACCGAAAAAAGGCACTTTAAGCACTTCAGATAAAAGTGGCAGGTGCTCAAGCGCGAAAAATGTCCGCGACACGGACTCCGTCTTCTGAACGTTTTTTAATTTTTTTAAATTTAAATTTTTTGTACAAGTTGAGAAAAGAGGCTGACGTGTTTCCTAAATCCTTCATCAGTCCAAGCAAGGCATTTTCTTTGTTTTCATTCTGTTTTAGCATCCAAAAAACGAGCACCGTGTTGTGTGCGTCAGTGATATTCAGTCTACGAGGAAATCATGCAGTGACGAAGGTTCCGCCTTGTTTCAAATGCAAGCTGTGATTAAATGCGCGAATGTTTTTAGCGCATCTTTTTTTCTAATTAATTATAATTAACGCGTTCAAGACCCACCCCTAAAAAATAGAAATCTTATACGTTATAATCATATAATTAGTTGTTGTAGTTGTATTTACAAGAATTTCATTTAGACTAGGGTTGTCCCATTCCGATATTGATATCGGAAATGGCTCCAATTTCTACCCAAAAAACCTTGTATCGGATTACATCGAACTGCATCAAAAATGTCCAATTTAAGCAGGCCGTTCCATGTAAATTCCATTCCAGGTGTTCTATCCAGCAACGCCCAGATCCATCACGCAAAGCCCGCATCACGTGATCAGAACGTGCTTGCTAGGGAAATGGCAAGGAACCAGAGACGTGTCGGCTGTGTGGCAGTATTCCTCGTTGAAGCACGAAAGACCGTGTTGCTCGGTGCGACACTTGTCATGGAGAAGTTTCCCGTGGTGGGACAGACCCAGGGAAATGTAATACATCGAACCTCACTGCACATTTGAAGACGCATCACACAAAGCTGCATGAGGATTTTCACAAAGAAACAATACCCTGGCTTTAAACAAACGCTGCCTGAAACCTTTGCGAAGCATGAGAAATTCCCGAGAGATAGCAAAAAGGCATCAACCCTAACAGAGAGGACATGCCAGTTTATTGTGCTCGATGACCAGCCCCCGTGGTGGTGAGGAATGTCGGGTTTAGACACTTAATTGAACACCTCAAGCCTCGCTACGTTATGCCCAGCCACCACTACATTATTCTTTAATTCATTTGTTATACATCATTATCAAAGTTCACATTCATGCAGCCAATGGTTAATAAATAATTTATCTGTTTTTTCTCACTTCCTGTCTGGCTTTTCTTTGTTCAAAGGCAGATTAGGCAGTTTTGCTTGTTTTTAGCGCTCCCTTGTGTCCATTTTTAATTCTGTCAACAATGAAGTGAAACTTTTCTCCTCGCTGTCCATTTTTCTTTTTAACACCTTAATCGAACAGCTGAATTGTCTCCCAGCCTTTCGTTGTGACTACAGGATGGTTGATCATTAAATTAAACAAATTAGCTGTGCTCATGATCTAAAACGTGCAAGAAAACTGCTTCAATCAGACAGCAGTGACGGGTATGTCAGCTCAATTTTTTTTCCAAGTCCCAACAGAGCGGCCCGCCAGGCTGCAAGTCGCAACTGCAGTATTCTGGCCATAGAGGGCTATAGTATCTAAGTGACGTTTCATTAACCCTGTAAAAGGTCATTGTCGCACATACGGCACAGAACTCTTCACTTCATAAATTCCCCTTTTTACGACCCCATCAGACACCCGAGGCTCTGCAGGCAGTCAGACACAGCATTTATCAACGTAAAACAATTAAACAGTTGAGAGCTAAACGCACGCATTAAAAAAAATATATATATATATGCATACATACACACACACGGCATAAAAACACCTAAGTGGTCTGACTGTCCGAAGTTCAGCTCAGAAGCAGCACAGCATCAGATGACCTCATTGATGACTTTTCATCCAGATAAGAGATGTGTGCATCAGCAAAAGGCTTCTGTCATTGTTGAGGTTGTTTATTTAATCTGTGCCTACTAAGCTAACCCTAAACCTAAATGACACAAATGAGTCATTCAGGGTTTCCACCAGTGCTTCATAAGGCTTTTGCTTGGCCACCTGCCAGGCTAAGCGTCATGCCCCGCCCCCCTCCCCAACACTACCGTGTCCGCTGACACGAACGGTGCAACGAAACTAGAGCCCTCCATCAGCTGATACCGGTGAGAAACAGCAGCGGAACGTGTGCGACCCCCCCCCCCCCCCCCCCCCCCCCCCGCGCGCTCTCACAGAGGAGCGCTGCAGAACCATGGCAGCGCAAGGACAGACTGCTGTGAGGAACACACAGCAGTCTGTCAGTGGGAAGCAATGTGCTTCACATCCATCTCCAAAAGCAACACTGTTCACAACCACCTGTAGGGGTGTCTCGTTTAGGGTTGTCACGTTGTGAAAATGTAACCTCACAGTTATTGTGACCAAAATTATCACGGTTTTCGGTACTATCACTGTATTTTTTAAACGTGTTACATTTTCAAAATTAATCCTGTATATCAGGAAAATATTGTCCTCAGTTTGTGTCTAAATTTAGCCTAAAATGTGTTATTTTGTAATTATGTTGTTTATTTGTTTACATTTTTCCCTTTAGTCTTTAAAATACCAATATTTGCCCATAACTACTTTATTGTCTGTTGTCATTTTAAAAATATTAGTTCAGATGATACTCAGTACTCAAGTAGCCTTCTGATCAGATACTTTTTTACCCTTACTTGAGTAATAAACCCTATATCAGGAAAATATCGTCCTCGGTTTGTGTCCTTCCAGTGAGCTTTGCAGATGTGGGAAAATGTCATCAGGCAGTAATCGTTGTTAAATTCATAATTATTCTCGGAGAGAGACCAACTCTTATCTGCCCCTGGGAGCCCCGTAATGCATAGCGTCATTTCAACATGGCGGTGTCCGTGACACGGTTTATATGCAGGTAGCGGCGCTGCGGCTGCTTCATATAGCGACTCGTTGCATTCTCCCTCAACCCAAATCCTCGGATCACGCATTTTAGCTAAAACGCTAACGTTAGCTTGCCTTGCGTTGACTGTAGAGTTGTGGGTGATGGTCACGCAGATGTGTCATGAGATTTGAAGCGTTGCTGCCTTTCACAGACACTTTTTGTGCACGTGCTGCAAACAGGATAGCCGTCTTCTATCAGCTGTCCCTCGACATTCTTCAAATGTCCAAAAGATGCCCGTACTTCCCACTTTGTCTTCGTTGAGGGATAATAAATGTCCTGAGCGCTGCCGTCTCCTCCTTTGACCATTATTTCAGCTTTAGCTTCAAGAAAGTTTTGGTTGTAAACAACAAAGTGCGCATGTGCCGCCGGCAACTTCAGCAGATGATACGGTGGCTGGTAAGGGTCACCGCGCCTACACCGCAGCCACGGTAAACCACCAAGATAATATAGTTTTTTTTTTTTAAAAAACAAGACGGTTATTATTATTGTCAGCTTTTTGTTTTTTACCGGGGTTTACCGCTACACTGGTTACCGTGACAACCCAACCTGATCGGTCTGCTTTGATCTATTTTGAAATCCGGCAACTTCAGCGGATGATACGGTGGCTGGTAAGGGTCACCGCGCCTACACCGCAGCCACGATAATCCACAGCGATAATATGTTTTTTAAAAAACAAGACTGTTATTATTATTGTCAACTTTTTTACCGGGGTTTACCGCTACACCGGTTACCGTGACAACCCTAGTCTCGTTCTGATATTAATATCAGATGTAGGCCCACAAACACTATCAGATTATATCGGTTTGCATCAAAAATCTCCAATATTATTAGTACGTTCCTCTTTAAATTCCATTCCAGCAGTTCTATCCCTCAGCGCCCAGATCCAGCATGCAAAGTCCCCGTGATCAGAACAATGTGCTATCAAAGTAGCGAGGAACAATGTCGGCCATGTGGCTTTATTTTTTTGTTAAAGTCTGAAAAAGACTCGGTGCAACGCTTGCCATGCACAAGTTTCCTGTGGTGGAACATGAAAAAGTCCAGCTGCATCGTGCGTCTGAAGCAGGATCACAAAACATTGCATGAGGGTTTTTGCAGTGCGTGAATTTGAAACCTGTAGCAGTTGGTCAGTGAACAATGTTGTTTTTTTCCTTAGATCCCATCCCTCCACTGTTATGCAATCAAAGTTAAATGAAAAAATTGGTCCGTTTTTACACTTACTGTTGCTGGCTTTTGTTTTCTCGTTGAGTAATATCACTGTTATCAAGCCTTTTATGCATTCCACACCATGAAATGGGTACAAGTAGTTATGATTTGTGCTGATATCGGTATCAGTCAAGACTGAAGGCTGCATATCGATATCGTATCGGAAGTGAAAAAAAGTTGTATCGGGACATCCCTAACCACCTGTTTATCAACTTAAGGGAAACACCACAGACTTCTCCGCCTCCACCCATGTGCTCGGAGACATGTTCCGGAGAAGGCTAGGTGAACAAAACTTGGCCGCGTGGGGGCATGCCGACGCTGCAAAGACGGGGTCAGGCCAGATGTGAAAACGCCAAAAACAGGACCAGTGAAGATTCCAGCTAACTCCTGTTCTGTCTTTTCCAGAGCAACTGGAATGAGATTACAGACAACTTTGATGATATGAACCTGAAAGAGTCCCTTCTCCGGGGAATATATGCGTATGGTTTTGAAAAGCCATCGGCCATTCAACAGAGGGCGATCATTCCTTGCATCAAAGGTACACAAGTCGAACTGCGTGGTGGTTTTTGATAGAGTGAAATGATGCTTAACCATCTTTCGGGACTTACCAAATTATGGTGATATTTTTTTTCTCACTGATCACTCTTAAGAGGCCGTGTTGAGATTTGTATCGTTTTATCTGAGATGTTTATGGAGTTTTAATACAAATTCTCTCATCGTTAGGCTATGATGTCATTGCTCAAGCCCAGTCAGGCACAGGCAAGACAGCCACGTTTGCCATCTCTATCTTGCAGCAGCTGGATATTGAACAGAAGGAGACCCAGGCTCTGGTGTTAGCTCCCACCAGAGAGCTGGCTCAGCAGGTATGCTGTTCCTGAGGTCATGATAACCTCAACAGTGTCTCAGGCCTAGGCAGCATACTGAGGACACTGTTCAGATGTGAAGGTACCGTCTTTTACAGATTTGTCAAAATTCATGAAATAATTGATGCCATCTTCTGATTGGTGTAGTCTCTGTCCGTGACTGCATCAGTCTACAAGATGATTAAGTTGGATTGAATTCTGTTTGTTGATGCGGAAACCGAGTGATATGATGGTATACCATCTTTCGGGACTGACTCTTGATGTGGAGAGTTCCTTTTGCTTTACTGATCACTCCAAACCGTTTTTTTCTGCTTATGTTTGCATTTTTATTTGCACCATTTCTGAACTGGTGGCATTTTTTGTCATCTCCCTTTAGATTCAGAAGGTAATCTTGGCTTTGGGTGATTACATGGGGGCAACCTGCCATGCTTGCATCGGAGGGACTAATCTTCGCAGTGAGATTCAGAAGTTTCAGGCCGAGGCTCCTCACATAGTGGTGGGCACCCCGGGCCGTGTGTATGACATGCTGAACAGGAGACATCTATGTGGGTATCGCTGCTCCTGGGAGGGAGATTAGCACACGTTCTGGAAGTGAGCCCATCTGACTGTTGTGTATGTTTTTCTGCAGCCCCTAAGTGGATCAAGATGTTTGTTCTGGACGAGGCTGATGAGATGTTGAGTCGAGGGTTCAAGGATCAAATCTACGAGATCTTTCAGAAACTGAGTACAAACATTCAAGTGAGTATCCGTAGCAGAACAAAGAGCCTTGAGGCGAGACTCGTGGTGATTTGGCGACCCTTCTGCAGTTCAAGAACTGTGCTGTAGTTGTGTGGTCCAGTTGTTCTGTTCCATGCAATAATGCTAGCAGAGTACAATGCAGACGGAGATTAAAACGCACTGAACCGAAAATGAGATGTGGTCGAACCTCTTTCTTAATGTTCGCTGGCTGCATTCTCGAGGTGACGTGCTACACCTGGCCGCAGAGCTAAAGGTTTCTGTGTCGATGTTCTGGTGTCGTGTTCTGACGTGTCGTTCCTTCCTCAGGTGGTCCTGCTCTCGGCCACCATGCCAGCTGATGTTTTGGAGGTAACAAAGAAATTCATGCGGGACCCTGTTCGCATCCTGGTGAAGAAGGAGGAGCTCACGCTCGAGGGTATCAAGCAGTTCTACATAAATGTGGAGAGAGAGGTTGGTTTGCTGTGGTGCTGCTGGACTGATTACCTTCTCTCTAAAGCACCCTGCTCAAACTGCAGGAGCTGAACCTGTTTCAGCTCATGTGGCCGTGTAAGCATGGGTACACCAGGGAAGAAGATTAACATCACAGAATTGCAAAGGAGACTGGGAGGGACCTCTTTCTTAATGTTCCAGTTCCTTTGTCTCAAGATCCTGTGTTACACACCCTGCTGCTGAACTCCTCCTGATGTTCAGACCTGTCAGGTTGATGTTCTGTTGACGACAACTAATTAATGTTAATGACTGTTTACAGGAATGGAAACTGGACACACTGTGTGATCTGTACGAGACTCTGACCATCACCCAGGCTGTGATCTTCCTCAACACCAGGAGAAAAGTCGACTGGTTGACAGAGAAGATGCACGCTAGGGACTTCACCGTCTCTGCTCTGGTACGACACCGTCGGTCTGCTGATTAGGTCCTACTCTCTTCTGTTCTCTGATGAGTAGTTGTTTTTCTTCTCTCCAGCACGGAGACATGGACCAGAAGGAGCGTGACGTGATAATGAGGGAGTTCAGGTCCGGCTCCAGCAGAGTGTTGATCACCACAGATCTTCTGGTTTGTATAGATTCCAGATCTCCGTGTTCTTGCCTGAAACTGCAACCCAAATCGTTGTCCATCTTGCGACAGTCTTGAAATGACTGAAACGGTCCAACGTTTGGGAGATGAAGGCTCGTTCTCCACAATGCATTCTTTGATGTAGGAATCTGTTACTGAAACACGAGCAACATCGGCAAAGTTCTAAAAGCGGTCAACCACCCGGGCCAACAGTCAGTAAGGTTTTTCTTCTCCTAGGCTCGTGGGATTGACGTGCAGCAAGTCTCTTTGGTCATCAACTACGACCTTCCTACAAATCGTGAAAACTACATTCATAGGTGAGGAGAGCTGTGGACTCCTGCGCTCCGTGCTCTCCGGTGTTGTACTAACGAGGTCCTTCTCTGCAGAATTGGACGCGGTGGGCGTTTTGGTAGGAAAGGAGTTGCCATCAACTTTGTCACTGAGGAGGACAAAAGGATTCTTCGTGACATCGAGACGTTTTACAATACAACCGTGGAGGAGATGCCCATGAACGTGGCCGACCTGATTTGAGCGCCGAGATCTGGTTTTGTTTTTCTTTACGCAGCGATCGCGACCGTTCACTTTCATTGTGCTTACATTATTCAAGAGGGGAGACTTCTCAATGCTAAACCTTGGGTCTAGTTTTTGGTTTGTGTTAAGAGAGAGGTGACTTCTTTGGTCATCCCTGCTGGACAGTTGAAGGTTCTGACCTCGTCGGCTGGCTGGTTGGGGCTGCAAAGCTATGGAGTCTGTAAACATTAAGATCCTTTTCAGGTATTTCAGTTTAATTAAAATGCGTGTTTTTGATGTTCTTCACCGTTTAGTAACCTACTTGTGGACTAAAAGGTATAAGTGCTGTATAAAGTCTGCAAATTATGTTATGCTAACATGTGTGCAATGTCTTGTGGGCCTGCTTAATGAGGCACTCGTCATGTTGAACCGTAGCTTCACTCGCTTTGGTTTCTTTTGTGAATTTTATTTAAATGCATCATATTTTTAAATCCCCCTAGTTCCTTCAGAGTTCCTCACTGGTTGGCCATATTTTGCTGACATTGTTTTACTCCAGTGTATATTACCCTTTCTACCCCTTAATATCCTTTGATTTCATTCCACAGAATTGTATGTGTTAAACTAAAATTGCTGTAAGTAAACTTTATTTTGTTGTCATGACGGTTTGGTGTCTGACTGGGTTGTGAGGTGTAAGAGTTTTCACATGAATGTGCTGACTGACTAGCAGCAAGGGTTAGATACATGTAGATACCTAAGGTTTTCTGTATGCCCGTTGTCCAGTCATCCTCGAACAAGACGCGACCCACATTTCCTGCTGGTGGTTGGAAGCAATGCCTCAGTCAGGGTGCCCCAGGGCAGCTGTGGCTACATAATGGCTCATCTCCGGGTAGTAAATGGGTTCATGACCGTTGTAAAGCACCTTGAGGGTCCTAGGTCTCTAATCAGAATAAATGAAAGGTGTAAGACTGGTAAGTGACCTGTATTTGATATAGCACCTTCTAGTGTGTGTGCTGAGGTGCTAACAAAGGTTGAATGTGGAAAAATAATGAAAAGCACTAATTAATACCTCCATGGGGCGTTTTAAGGTGTGCAGATTGAAGGTACTGTATTTCCTTTAAAAGTTATATTTTAATTAAAAAATAAAGCGGCTTTAAATTAGACTTCATGTCTGTCCGTCTGCATTTGTGGTTAAGACCTGCTGGTTTACTCCGTATAGGTTCTGCCCTTTAAGCCTGCGCTCCATGTTGAATAACATCTCATGTCTGCCAGGGCAGCTGTGGCTACAACGTAGCTCATCATCAGTGTGTGAATGGATGGATGAATGATACACTAGTGTAAAGCGCTTCGGCGTCCTTACTGAGAGACGCTGTACAGTGCGGGTCATTTATCATTAATCAGGCTTGAATATACGCCTGCCTAACCATGGGCTGCTGCACCGGTATATAAAAGGCACAAACCCCACCGTTGGTCTTCCATTTTCTCTCCATGCAACCAGATAAAGAGAAAGTTTAAAGAGGATGTTCCTTAGGCTGACTCGTTAGGGTGCATGACTCTCACACGGGAGTCTGGGGATCAAATCCTGCCCGGACCCTCATTTCTCCACCTTGCCACATATATAATAACTTGTTTAAACCAACCCCCCGTAATTCGGTTCTTGATATGAAGCAAACAAGGAAGTGAGGAAAAATTGCAGTTCCACCCTCATCCACTAGGGGCTGGTGTCAGAAGCGAGCAAATCCTCATTGACTCCCATGTTAAAAATACCAATTTCACAGCAGAAATAAACATGTTTACAGCCTGGTACCAAAACGTGTTTTCGGTTTATATGATCTAGTTTACACTCATGATAACTCTGAGGGGGGTGAATGTTTTTTTCGCTCCTCTGTTGTAAGTGTAATAGAAGCCTAAAATTCTGTATAATTAATGAGCATCAGAGCCACGTGACTATGTAACGCACTTTGGGGCTAAGGTCTGACTGATATTACTTTAACCATCAGAAGAACATGATTCGAGGAAGGAGCCTTAGGGTGTGAATGAACCATAACAACTTAGATTGAGCTCAGGCGGGTTTATGTGTTGTGTAACAATCATAATGTCACGTTGAGTTTAGGAGGTTTGGACCCAAGACGCAGAATCCCCAGAACGACTCGAGGCAGGAGTGGTTAAAGAGCAAGTCACCCCCAAATAAACTATTTTTTTCTGATAAACTATATAAATGCGTGTCTAATTGTGCTGCAGACACGTGTAGTCAACAGTTTTGCACTTTAGTGCATTTTAGTTAAAATTTAAAATTTCTGCCTGAAACTGTCAGTGTTGTACCGTTGTCAGGTAAAAACTCTTCACTGCATTTGAATTTAAATCTGCCACCGCCATTGGCTAAGAGGTATGCTATGATGTAAACTGGTAGATTATGATGTCACAATGTCGTGAGTGTGTATTTGTAGTGGCTCCACCCTCTCCGTCTGCTAGGCAACAGCATTTGTTGCATTTTTCAAACATGAAGTGGGAGTGAAGTACGCTTCTAGTAAGGTGGGATGCGCCAAAATCCAAAGCCCAACTAATAAACTCTCAAAAACTCACTGAAAATTCCAAAACAAACAAACAAAAGCTCACACGTGAGCACAGACTCGGGAAAACTCGAGAGGGGAACGAGCAACGCAGACACACACGACAATGAACCAACAAACACACAGAGTGACAAGACAGGGCTTACATAGACTGGGAGGATGAGCGGGAGATGAATTGCAGGTGTGTGGGGAGAGGGACCAGGTGAACACAATTACCAACTCAGGGAGGAGGAAGAAAACACTGGTGGGAAAAAACACTAAATACTGAAAAGTTGTAACAAAGGAAAATGACCTAAGAGAAAAACAAAAGACCAGAAGGCATGAACATAATATTCTAAGGGGAAGCTGACACTAAGGAAAACACTACAGAAGGAAACTACAGGGGGTGACTGAGTTTTGCAGGTGATCTGAATTGTATCAAATGTATAAATATTACATGTGTGTAACTTATAGTTTTATACAGGTAAAAACGTGTAGTGGAGATAAATCTACCTGCATTTTACTTTCAACACTTTGTTTTCTTGTTTTTATTTAACTATTTCCTGTCCTGTCTGTCTCTCATCTTCCTGCATCTCCTCTAAACTCTCCAGAAAATCTGCTGCCTGGATTCTTACTTTTTCACCTCATCAGTTACTTCTGAGCAGATCAAAGGGATCTCCTGACCGCAAAGTGGAGAGCGCGTTTCGATGCTGCGTCAGTGAGGTGAAATCACCACAGCACAGGTGATGAGCTCCGCAGTAGCAGAGCGCTTCAGGCACAAATAAGACAGAAAGTAGAGAACATGAGCGGACATGAACGATCGTGTGTTCATTATAGATCTTTGGTTGCGCCACTTTGAGAATGGACCGTGCGCTGGACGCAGCTGCCTGGTGCGCTGAGCAACAACAACCAGCGCTGTGCTGCTCTCTACTCAAGAGTCCATAAATGATGTAATTTAGGTAGAAAACTCATGCCACACACCTGCCTCACCTGCTATATAATCCACAGTCAACCACCAGCCCTCTGCCAGATTTTTGAAAGCTCACGCCAGTCCAGCACGCCAACCTCTTCCTGTACCATAGATCCGGACCTCGTTTCTGTTCCTCGTTGGTTAGATATTGTAACCCCAGATTCTATGAGTATAGTGTTGCACTTTAAGCCAAAACTAAAGCTGTAACTCTGTCAATAAGCCTGAAGAAGAAGAACAAAGTCTACTTTTTACAAAAACCCTAGACCACAGTTTTAACCTTAGCGAAAAAGGGTAACCCAGCTTAGGAGGATCTCAGACTGGCTCTGGATCTCCTCGAATGACTGCTGTGCTCTCCTTTTGAAGTCCTCCAGGCTGCTTGATGGCCGACATGGATCAGCTTCTCCTGTTTCTGGCGTGCCTCTCTCCAAGGTCCTGAACTGCCACAGAGGGAGAGTGAGTCGCTCCGGAAATTGTCCCAGGTGCTGAAAAGCTCAGCAGTGGTGACAGCAGGGCGCAGATAAACATGACGGGGAGGACCGAGGGTCGTCAGAGACGGCTCGTAACATGTTTCAGGACAAGCACCACAGCAAAGGAACAATTGTTCCAGGTGCAGGAACAAATGGGAAGGCAGCCCCTTAAAATGATTGTGGAAGTTGACATTCGTTGGAACAGTACATTCCAAATGTTTCAACGCGTGTGCGACCTGAGAGAGCCAGTGGGGGCTGCCCTGGCCACCTTACCAACAGAAACACCCCCACTGACAGCACCGGAGCATGACATCATTAAGGACACCTTATGCATTCTTGCTCCATTCCACCAAGCAACAGCAGAGCTCTCATCTGAGAAGAGGGTGTCGGCATCAAAAGTAATACCTCTGATGGCAATGGTTCACCATGCTATTGGAACCAAAATCCTGACGTTGAGTACCAACATGGCAAAGCAGCTGGGCGAAAACATGGTGAGAAGACCGCGTGACCATATACATCACGTGAGTCTGTTAGAGTTTTGACACTACCAACACTGCTGGATCCCAGGTTTAAAAAATTGCCTTTGTGAGTCCAACAAGAGCACAAGAAGCAGCGACGCGTTTAAAAAATGAATGTGTTGTCCTGATGAGACAGACTGCTACAGCGGCACCCCCAGGCGTTTCACAGATCATCTGCTGCTGTGGCCCCCAGACTCTGGACCTCTCTCCCCCTGAGCCTGAGACCAGTGGACTCAGAGGTCTCCTTTAAAAAGCAGCTGAAGACTCACTTGTTCAAGCTGGCTTTTGTATGACCTTCTTCACCTCTCTCTTTATTCTGCTCTCCCCACCTATTCCACCTTCCTCAGGATCCACTGGTTTCCCTCTTTCCTGTTCACTCTCTCTCTTTCTTTACATTCTTTAATCACAATTGTCTATTTTTGCTCATTTTAAATATATTTTTTAACATTTTCTAAATGCTTTTTTATATTTTTACATTTTTTGCTTTTGTGAAGCGCCTCGTGATTTTTATCTCGAGAGGCGCTTTAGAAATGATACTTTCTTCTTCTTCTTCTTCCAAACCATCAGCATCAGCTCAAGTTTGGTGGCAGATGCCACTATTGAAGTTGATCGCTATCTTGGAGAGCACAACATTCCACGAAATGAGGATCTGTTGCTCCACTGGAGCAAGACAAAAAGTTTACATCCACACCTTTATGAGTTGGCAAAAACGTCGCTGTGCTCCCCAGCATCATCCGTGCCACGTGAAAGGTTTTTTTCAAAGGCTGGGGAAATACTGTGCAGAAAAAGGAACAGGCTCAACCCAAAAACCGTGGAGAAACTTTAGTTTTTGAATAAAAATGAGTAAAACCAGTAACTTTTTGGTAAACTTTTATTGAAATTGACTTAATTGCCTTGATTCACAAAAGCTTTTCACATAAAACTATAATATCTGGGCGAGTAGTGTGCTTTTATTATTGTTTATTTTATCCCTTTTATTATTGTTCTGTTTTTACATTTAAGGTTTCCACTTAGCTAAAATTTTAATTAACAATAATTATATTTTATGTTTCACTTTTGCACAAAAGGAGAACAATACACCCAATTTCGTTGCATCTACATACATTGTAGTACTGTGAAATGATAGACTGTGATGTGATGATAGTCGTAATACATTAAA